AGGATATCTTATTGCAATAGCAAGGCTAATTGGTATTGACAAGGATAGCAACAGACTTTTGATTTATTTTTCAACATTTTCGAAGTGAGCAATAAAACTTTATGGCTTTTTGAAATTAAAGTTTCAGCATCCCATAACCTAGTATTTTCTTCTTCAAATAAACCTTGAAATATTGCACACAATGCAGTGAATTGAAACCAGCCTAACGGCACAAAAATGCCACTTTTTTGAAAAATTGTATGCTTTTTTGTGCAAAAAAATGAGCTACAAAGCTAAATTGTATTTTTGATAGTATTCATGACCATTTTAAGGTTTTCCAGAAGCGTAGGAACCTGGGGGCTTTGGGATGTACCCCCACTTTGTCTCATCAATGGTGAAAAGCTCACCATTTCGGTAAATCTACAGCATAAACTAATTATCCCTGTTCACCATGTCACCGCTATTCGATACGCTTCTACATTCCTGCTCTTTACAATGCACTTTTGGTAAGGCCACAAAATAAATAACATTTGTATAAGACTTGACTCGCAAATTTTGATAAAGATAACTTAACAATAACTTAAAATCTTGGTAGAATAACCAAATTATCAGTAGATTTTAGTTTTCAATTTAACATAGTTTCTGTGTGACAAATTTCTATGTATAGCATCTTGTCACCGTTGAAGAAAACTAAAGTAAAAGTTCCTGAAATTGTTCTTACAATATTTAAAAGAACCTTAGCACATAGCTAGTTCATTTGTTTGAAACAAAACTGTTTTGATCATTAATGCTAATACAATAAAAACTCCGACTTCAAATTTTTTTAATTCTTAATTCATATAAAAAACTGCTAACCCTGCAAAAGTTGTGCTGTGGTACCAGGTTAGTGTTTTATAAAAAACCTTGGCACTGAAATGGAATGGAAGAAACTAAATAAAAATTGCAGTATTTTCTATCAATAATATTGAATATACTATATATCTAGAATTCTCCTACTCGCAGCATCAAACATTTTAGAGCTTCAAGGGAGGAGGAAAGCTGTTTGATTACAGAGAAAGATGGGGTCTGAAAACAGCTAAAGGGGCTGTGCCTCGAAATATTTTACAACAGGTTACAAAAGCACTTCTGCTTTTCTAATAACTGACATTCGTGGCCCAGTGACGTCTCCTTCAAAAAATCTGCCATAGCTCTCAAAGTTGATCTTTGTATCATCATCATCAAGTGACGGAGGGTTCAAAATAAACCACATTTTTTCCTGTCTTGTGCCATTCGAAATATCTCTACAATACTTCTTCCATCTGCAATTTCTTTGATATTGTCGTTGTATCTAACTTTTGGCCTTTCTCTTCCTCTCTTTCCATAAACCATTCTCATAAATAAATCTGTTGTTATGTCATTCGGCCTAAGTATGTGACCTATGAAAGGCATTTTTTTTCGGTTTAGTGTTGTTAGTAGCCGCTCGTTTACAGTCATCTTCTCCAGTACCCATACATTAGTTTTCTTTTCAGTCCAACTGTTGCGCATTAGGCGTCGGTAACACCATAGCTCAAAAGCTTCTATCTTCTTTTTGTCTGACTGTTTCAGCACCCTGCATTCTGAGCCATACCCTGGGTACCAGACTCGCTATATAAATTCATATATAATGAGTCTGGTACCCAGGGTATCTGAGCCATAACTCGCTATACTTAAAACCAATGAGTGTAAAAGCATTTGCTTTGTAGCAATTTTTATACTTTTACCTTTCCATATGTTCGTTAGTGAAACCATTGCATTTCTTGCTATACATAATCTTCTGCGAACTTCTTTCTTGTCGTCATAATTATCAGTAATCAGTGTTCCGAAATAGATAAATTCTTCTACATTTTCGATTTTCTCATTTCCATTGACTATAATATGCTCTGCTTCATTTTCATTCTGGTTATTCTTGATTATTTTCATAAATTTTGTTTTACTTGCGTTTAGTGCAAGTCCGAATTCCAAGCTTGCATTGTTAACTCTGTTAACTAGGTCTTGTAATTCTGCCATGCTACCAGCTATTAAGACAACATCATCAGCATATCCCAAATTAGAAATGGTTCTACCGCCGACTTTGATGCTACCTACAAAATCATACATAGCATTTCTCATTATTTGTTCTGAATAGATGTTGAAGAGACGAGGAGAAAGAATGCATCCCTGGCGAACCCCTTGCTCAACTGTGAACCAGCCTGTTAGACCATGAGATGTTCTGACTGTTGCCTTCTGTTGTCCATATAACTCCTTAAGTAGGTCTATAATATGTGCTGAGTATCCCATACTGGTCATTACATTCCATAGTATATTATGAGAGACCATGTCAAAGGCTTTGGTTTGATCAATAAAACATAAGAATATGTTGTTCCCGTGTTCTCTGTTTTTCTCTATAACCATTTTGAGATTGAGAATTTGGTTTCGTATTCCAGTTCCTGATCTAAAACCTGCTTGCGCTTCATTAATTTCTTCATCCATCTTACTTTTCATTCTTCCTGCTATGATTTTTAGAACGATTTCGCTGCAGCGACTGATAAGTGCGATGGTTCTGTTGTTGCAACAGTGTTGGATGTCACCTTTTTTTGGTATTAGCACAAAAATTGACTTAACCCAGTCCTCTGGCCATTCCTTCTTGTTCCATATTAATGTGCAAAGTTTGTGGAAGTATGTTATTATCTGGTCCCCACCTTTTTGAATTAATTCCGACACTATATCATCAATACCAGGACTTTTACCATTCTTAAGTTCCTTGATTGCCTTTTCAACTTCTGAGTACAACGGAGGTGGTTTTTTTTTTGGTCAGCAGTGGTTGTAAGTGGTGGATCAATAACGTTGCCATTTTTCTTATATAGATTGTTGCAGTATTCCTGCCACCTTTTTTTTACTTCTTCACACTCACATAGAATGGCTCCGTCTTCCTCTTTCACAGTGTGAATGTGAAGTTTGAATTTCCTGGTCAAACTTTTTACACCTGCATAGATATTCTTAACAGAGTTGGTAATTGAGTTCTCTTCTATCTTCTGATATTGTTCATTTATGAAGTTTTCCTTGTCTTTCTTCATCATTCTCTGTACTATCGAGTTTTGGATTCTATAGTTGGCCTTGTCAACTTCGTTATTAATGCCTTTAGATTCCAGAATTCTTCTTTTCTTAACTTCTTCTAATGTTCTCTCCCCTCTCCTCTTCCATTCTCCTTCGCATTTCCTTTCCCCCGTTCTTCATCCTTTGACTCTCTGAGGCTCTGGCATCCAGAGTAACGTTTCACATGAAATCAATTGTTTATTCTGTTTTCTTTTCTTCGGAATGGTATTTTTGGCTACATCTAAGAGGATATTTTTTCCATCTTCCCAGAGTTCGTTTGGCGTCTTTTCCTCTTCGACATCTATTAGTGGCTTAAAGGAGTTAAATATTTTAACTCTGTATTCTTCATTAATAGCCGCATAGTCTAGCTTTAATGGTATTTCTCTCAGATCTTTGTATTTCAAGCAAAAAACATTTTGTTAATAAGATGAATGATGTGGTTTAGATCCAAATGGTAGTCAGTGTTCCTTTACTTGATACAATTTTTTTACTTTCTTTGAGTGTCTACTGTTAACTAGATAATTTTAAGACAGAGCCCCCCCCCCTCCCTCCCCAAAAAACAGAACTAAGTTACAAAATAAGGAAAGGCAATAAGGGAAATTGGATCCATAAAAACTGACAAGGGTTGTCATCAGCCAGGAAGCTTACTTAAGGCATATTTATTGTAATTACAGCAAAGAATGCCTTTCGTCGCAGATTGCAGCTATCTGTTTGCCGTTTGTCATAGGAAAGTTTGTCCCCTTATTACTCTTTCCCTGAAACGAGGTTAACCAAAAGACTATTTTTCTCCTCGTGTTGTAGAAGTCAAAAAAGGCACTGCACAGTGTTCCCTACTTCCCTTTTTTCCGTTTCTATAACCAAGTCCTCACAAGAAGTGACAATCCCCTGAAATGCATTGGTTTACCAAATGAATAAACCCTCAGCTTTCTGGCACTTATTTTTAAAAAAGTGCGGTCGTGATTAACAGATTAATTGCAAACAGTCATCAAACTGATAAAAACAAAATGCTTATATACGGGACTTTAGCTAGGGGGACAAGCCATGTTCTTATGAAGAGATGGAGAATAGTTGATTGTATAGAAAAAGGTCACCAGAGCAGGATGGGTAATCGCCACTTAGTCAGCATGATAGAAAAATGTTTTAATAATCATATAGTTTTGATGCTGCAGACAGTGGCGGCGCCAGCTACTACAAAATGGGAGGATAATGGGCGTGGCCAGCGAGACCTTTCCCACTTTATCTCGTTTCAGTGCTTTGTACCAGGCTAATTTTCCTTAAACAATAGGATCTACCTCTACCTAGAGCTTTTAAATCCATTTTTCGAAAAATATGTATGTAGACCATGTTTTGGAAAAGTGGGGGAGGGGGTACCCCCTTTGGCGCCACCACTGGCTGCAGAGAGAAAAGAAACTAGAGCCCTTTGAAGAGTGGAGTGTTTATACATCGTGAGCTTTAAAATGGTCTCCTCTATAGTGGCAGGTGTAGTATTTAACCATCCACAGCGGGGGCTTGTATAAGATGTTTAAAAGTTATTTTAAAATGAATTCAGCGGTCACCTCTGATTAGCTGACAAATTTTTTTCCCTGATCGTTTTCAGGTCAAAGTCTCATAAAAAACTTTTTAAAAAGCCGAACTTTAATTAGCGGACACTCTAATTAACGGACAATATTTTTTGCACAAAATAGTCAATTTAGCTTTTTTCTTTCCAATTAGCGGGCGGTACGAAAAAGTTAGGAGCTAGCGAACAAGAAAAATGAAACGAAGGCATATTTGTTCAAATATTTGTCTTACTTTGACACTTGACGATCTAGTTGGCTTTTTACAGCTTCGAGCTTCTTTACAGCCCAGTTAACTAACTTTTCTTGTCCATGAAAGTGGCAAATTACTGGAATCTCCAGACCATAGCCACTAATTACCCAGATTACATCCAGTAAAATGTTAACTATATGACAAAATTGAGAAAAAAAATAGATAGAAATTTGGTGCCGTCTTCAGTTATCCTGAATAAATTTGACAAGTCTGATAATTTACAACAACAGCGAATAGTTCATCTTCAAATTTATCTTAAAATAAATGTTTGTTATTTGCATCTAACACAGTTACAAGACTTTGCAGCTTTCATTCTGTGGAATTTGGTATATGGACCGTCATTTCCACGGCAACTGAGCTCCACATCAACTTCTACGAACTCTTTGATTTTGCAGGAATCGCACGTAGAGTGCATTTGGAAGTCTTCGTAGGAAGGCACTGAAGCAGCGATGCAAACCCCAACACATGTATTCACCCAAACCGACTTCTTTACACAGTTGGGCTGCTCCACAGTGACTCGGTAACTGTTCAACTGACATCTTACATTCTCTAAAGCTTTTCGATACGGATTCGCCAATATGACATAGGGTAGAGTGAAAAGATAAATCCAAGCCAGCAATTCGTATCCTATTCTCGCCATTTTCTGCAGTACGACGTCGTTTGAAATTGCTGTGCTGAATAGTACTTTTTCTTAGTCTCTCCGAGTGCACTGTGTCAAGCGTGTACTATAGCCCCTGGGAGAAAATAACAATTGTTAAGGAAATTATTTAAAACGTGTTTGTATGTTTGTTACAGAAATGTGTTTGTTGATTGTAACAATGAAATGGTTTTAAGATTCAGATAGCTGTTTTGGTAGGGTTCAGATGGCTACCAAATGTTGGAAAACCAGGACAATCAATGGTATTGAATGTCTCAGGATAAGTCAAGGGACATTTATTGAAAGTAGAATGCGAACTTTACTCCACTGGTTACTTCAAACTGAAAACCAAGGATTTTTTTTCCCTGTTCAAGTTTTATTACCTAATTCTATATCTTTCTAAATACACAAGGGAAACCATTTATAGCACGGTCGGGTTTTCTTTAACGGAGGTTTCGAGAGGCGAGGGTTTGAGTATTACCAGGAACAGTAAGCCTAGCTGCCCCTAAAATAATCTCTAATCGCCTAGTTTTTGAATCGCAGTGTTTATGTTTATGTGTTTATCTCAAATATACGTCAGAAGTTTCTTGTAACAGAAAGAGTTCCTCGCAAATAATTTGAAAGGCAAAGAACGATGAAACAATTAAATTCAATGCCTGTTTTTTTTTTCAAATCCTAATAGCAAACCAGTGTTCAGATATATGGTTTCAAGATAAAATAGTCTTTAACTATATCTTGATAGTATCAAAGATATGAGAAAAACCATTGAGACAATTTAGAAAAAGGCATTAACATATGAAGAAAATAGGAATCCACGCTTAAAAGAACACCATTAAATCACCCTGACGTGCAAATTTTAAAACTGCTGTCAGGTTTCAAAGTTAAAGCCAAAACCTTATAATGATTTGATGAGGAACAAAAGGAGCCTATGCTGACATGGTCGTATCTCAACGAATTTGCAGCATGTTGACTGATTTTGCACATTTAGTTGTATTTCATAAGGGTCCTTCAGATGTGAACAAAATTAAAAATCTAACATTTGAAATTACGACGTCATTACTCAATAACCCTATAAGGAATAATACTAGAATAAGTTGATGAAGTCCTTCGCGCATTGCTCTCCGAAGGAGCGCCAATTAGTTACTAACAATAATTTAGTTTACGACCAGATTATGCGGTTCTAATTTCAAAGAACAATCTACTTTCCTCTGATTCTCGCTTCAGTGTTTGCTAATCAGGTTGCCCTCTGAATAGGCAACCAAGGGGATCATAAAGTGGATCTTGATATTGATAGTGTTTACATAAGTTACCAAGCATCCCCCACACTTACTGTTTGGAAACCCCGTAAGAAATTTGAGAAACACCGTAAATAACAGATACAAAAGGATTAATTCGCGGGTAGCATTATTAAAAGACACGGCAATTTGGTAAAAGGGGATTAGAATCCAATATAGAGAGACTTATTCAAATAAAGTTGGTTGGTTTGACAAATTAACTTTAGCTGACTGAAGGTTGTCATTCTTATTATAAGTTTGGACAAAGTGATGTTTTATCCATTCAATTATAGTTGCTTTCGTTTAATATATGAGAAAAATACCCTTGCCTGGGAGACTTCCTTCGAATCGATGGATGGGCTCAACTTTTATAGCTACACCACACGGTGGCTGCACTTGTTCCTTATTTGTTGTCAAAAGGCCTACCAAAATCCAAACAACAAAGAGGTTTACCAAACGTAGTTTCAAAAAGAACTAGTGGTTCTATCATCGCATACCTGTGACGTCTGGCAATCCTTGGATTCAGTAGAGACTAGCTCTTCCACAACTCAAGCTGTAGGTATCACAAAATCTTCCATCACATATCGCGACGACATCGACAAGCAGTTTTAAACGCTCAACGGAGAAGGCCGTGACAAATATTCCCACACAGACAGAGCCCGAATTGAGAAAACAATTCAGCCAAACAAAGAAGATTATTAGAAATCAAAGAGATTTTGAAACCCACTCATTTAGGAGGCGTTACGCAAATCAAATTAACCTCTTTTTGAAAATCCACTGTTCATTTAGCGCAAGGCGATTATTGAGTATTAAAAAAATAAACGAAATCTACTGTGAGCAAAAGTCTTTAAACTCCATTAATCACCTACCAAATTTTTTACTCTTATCCGGCTACTCACCAAGGCAGCTAGAGTTATTTTACTCATGCCGAGAGCCATTACAAACTATGATGACATTGAAAATGGTATTTGCACCTTTTCAAAGACGCATTTCTCTCCAATTTTATAAAGAAGCATCAGGGAGATCATGCTTGTAAAATTCCAAGATTAAATGACAGTCAAAGACAAGGGTCTGTCATAATTCGACCCAATTTAAAAAAGACCAATTCTCAGGAACATAGTAAGTGTGGAACTCAAAACAGGATTGTAGCAAGCATTTGAAAAGTGAAAAGGGTGAAGGGGCGTTTTCATATTAAAAAAAAGAAACATCAACGAAAGCAAGAAATTTTGTAGCAATGCAACGGACATCATTTTTCAAACTCAAGACTCGACCCTAATTCAAGGTGCAGTGCAGTGACAACCAATCTATGCAGCAATACATCCATCTTGTGCAATGATAAAACAAATTGAAATGATTTAAACCCGATCACAATCTCTTAGCTAGATACATGTAGTCTTAAAAAATGCATTACCTTAAAAAACAGCGTTTGCGTTGTTCACCCTTTGAATTTTGATCTTGTGACTCAGCAAAAGTTTTAAAAATCAAACTATACTTCTATCGCTAGAAACGGTATATTGATTGTCCTATTGTACACATTCAATCTTCTATACAAAATTTTATGCAACCCTTTATATCTGATATTTTAACCAATTTTACTTCTCAATGGGTCCTACTGTAAAAATATTATTTTAACAAACCATTTCTTGAATTTTGTCAATGTCATTTAAATTCCATTTTCAATTTATTATGGAAATGTTTAGTAATAAAAAATCTTCTCTAATGGCCTGCTCAAGGCTCAAAGGTGCTAGAGAGTGTGTTCAAATCAAACCATTATTAAACTATCTGAACCTTTTTACCAATCTTTTAACTTCTAAGTAAGCTTGATTTTGTCGCATGTAATGAAACTCATTTAAGGGGGACACTGGCACCGAACATAACAGCCAAATCTCGTACGTTTGATGAAAGTCAATATTTTCCATTACTTTGACGGTTTTGTTCAGATGAGCAAATTTGTTTTTGAGACAGCACAGCGCACGCATCGAAAGTAAAATAGCTGAAACATAACACGTGATATTGAGTTTTGTCAGTATGTAACAAATAACAGTTTCATTTATCTGAGTGAAAGCCTTCTGTAAAGACCTTAACTTCATTTCGTTTATGATTTACTTTATTACCCAGGGCTCGTGCCACTGATTCTAAACTAGCGGGATCACCAATGTGAAAAGCGTTTCCTCTTACCCCTTCTAGCCTCAAACGTGTCAAGGGTTTTGCTGATGTACTTGTGTACTTTGGTTCAATGTATTTGTTGTAATCTAAAAGTTTATCTATTCTAATAATTAATGCTGATCTTATTTTTTTATTTAGCGAAAAGGTGGTGAGGCCATGGCCCCGCTGCCCCCCTCGGGTGACGCGGGCCCTGTTACTACGAACATGAACACGAGTTGATATCTCAATGACTACAGTTATCGTTCGTGGAACAAGGCTACAACGGCTTCGCATTTTGTCCGCTCGGCGCTCATGCATTCTATATGAGCACTGCATCACAAGATCGTTGTTAGGTGGAACTCGCTACAGAATCATATGCATTTGCAAAATAAAAATATGGTAAATATAAGGCATGTGTATGAGACGAATCGTCAGCGAAGACCATGCGTTACAATATTTAGGAATGTCAAAGAAATGTCAAACGATATTTATGACATAAAACAGTAAAATACCTCCTTTTTCACGACAATCTAGCTCCGCTGATTATCTAATAGTGATCTCCTTTCAATCAACGCTAACGACAGTCACAATCAGATGCCAATTTGAAAGAATAGAGAGAAGGCCACTGGATCAAGACTTGATTCCGCCGTAAGGTGATACGTGTTACTGGAGTGGGATGATGACTGTAACGATAACAATCACTACAGTATTGAATTCTTTCTATTGAATTACAAATCAGTTACCTAATAATGACCGGGACCAACAGAGGATTCATCTCCTACCAGCATTCCGAGAGCTTTTCCCTCACAGATTGCAGAAAGGAGAGGGAAATATTAGCCAATAACATTAGGAAAAACTTTTGATAGGAAATCCTATTTGCAAACCTGGGCAAAAAGTAACTGTGTTAAGAAAAAATGTTATTTTGCTGAAAACAATATAGAATATAGAATAAATATGATAGCTGGATACACGTATTTTTTCATTAGAAACTAAGGTCCGGTGCTGGTAGGCAGTTTCTTAAAATTTTTGTTCATTTTGCTATCAAAATTTTTTACATGTTTCTTAAATTTCTTAGGTATTGATTTTTTTAAACGTTCTTCCAAGGTAAAGTAAATAGTTCACTCACACTCAGAGATAAACTAATAAAGTGATTAAGGAGTTTTGTTTTCCTAGAATGACTAACTCTGTCAGGGCATTTTTTAAGAATTTTCCACTGGTGGGGCATTTGAGAAAAGGGCATATAGATAAAGGCAGAATTTACAGATAAACAGGCTTTCAAAAATATTCTAGGGGAATCGCCTATAGAAGCAGCAGTTCCAGGGAAAAATGAATTGAGATTTGAAACCTGTTTAATGAAGATTTCATCCACAAATATCTCAAATAAAGTAAAAGGTAAAAAAGTCACCGAATCATAAGGGCACTTAAGTGGTGGGGCAAACATGTTCCACTGGCGGGGCAATGAAAGGGGCTGGTGGGGAATTTCCCCACCACTTTATATGTTAAAAAATGCCCTGAACTCTGTTGAGATCTGTAAACAGTTAAGCTCGTTGAACGTCATCAGTGTCAAGTTGAAGTCAAAACAAAATTTTAAATGGGAACTTCTTTAGTGTGCAATTTACTGAGGATGAATGCAAACTCCATGTCAAGTGTAGTGTTGCAATATACAGTGATTTTCAATGTCAAGACTGTTTCGGGTGTCAACTAGAAAAACTAAAACTACGAATTATAAAAGTTTCTTGGCTTTTTCCAAACTGGTTAGGGTTATTTCTCAACTTTCGAAAAATTGAGCCTACCGTTTTTTTATAACCTGTTCTTATAAAAAAATGAGTGTAATGGATTAAGACCAATGTCGAGTTTAATGAACAATGAACAAAATATCAAAAAACGATTTAGAATTGGTGATGAAGTCATCAAGAGATAAACCGGTATCACTGAGCCATACCTAGCAACTTCTACTCTGTTTTGGTTACCTTTTCCAAAACAGCATTGATACGTTTGCTGTGACTTCACCATCAGACACGCTCATCATTGCCAGAAAGGAGTTTTCCTCCTCACTACTAGCATTCTGTCTCGTATTACGTAATCCTTATCTCGTTCAGTAATTATATACTTAGTACTTAGTATTTATAAACTGCCATATTTGTAAACAGAGATAGGTTTAACATTCGCGTGATTCAAAGGAAGATATTTTGATGTCATACAACGTCAGACAACGAGTTGTGTGGGACTGGAACCTCAGACACATTTTCTTGCCTATCTGAGTTACTTGACCGATAACTTCTAAGAGATTCCATAATACTTTTTGTACAATATTCTATTTTCCTTAAAATTATATATTCCATGCATTTTTCTTATAAATATTTCATTCACAAACTTTCCAAATTATATTCGGCTTAGAAATGACTGAGAGTGTAGAAAATTGTTATTCTTACTCCGATAATACGCCTCTGAAAATCCTTGTTAGGAAAACAATTAAAACAAGGCGGGTTTTGATGTTGGAGTGCAGTTAGCATTTTTTTAATGGCCTTCCTGATAGTAATAGTGTGATGTCATAAAAAGCCTATTTTTAAAATTTTTGAACTTTGACCACATAACCCTAAAAACACCATAAAAAATTCTAAATATACAAAATACGTTAAATATGTTGAAAATTGGGTGAGATATGGTCAATGAAAAATCTAAAGTTTGCTAACAGATTACTGCTATTTTGGCCCTGTTTATAAAGATGTGAACAGGGACCAAATTAGAGAGGTTTGATGGAGAAAGGGCCTATGTTATGTGGCCAAATATCGGCCAATTCGGAACACATTTAACTGATTTTATACTTTTAGTGGTATTTTATGGTGCACTTTCAGGTGAAATAGATTTATGAGAAGTCATCACTAAAGTACCCTGGGCAAATAAATGATCTGGGTATTAACTACAATCTATCTGTCCTACACACATGGTCAAAAAATGCAAATTCAGCTTGTAGAATAAGGGCCCCTGCAAAGTACGCTATAACAGTAACATAACTACAGTATTCTTATACGAATATCCTCTGTTTATAGCAAGAAAGAAACTGTCGATAAAAACTCTTACCGTATAAATTTCGAAGGTGCGTGCCTCCGAATGCTGCGATCAAACTGTTACAGCAACCTACTACAATGTTTGATTTTAAGGTAGAATGGTTGCTGTGGTTCCACAGGAGGATAAGGCTAGGTTTGTACTTTCCTCAAGCCAAAAATTTATTCTGGAATTCTTTCCGCCCACGTTTATGACACATCATTCCTACGCAAGTTCTTCTTTATCAGGGGAGCCTACACCGGGGAGGGGGGCTGGAGGGGCAGCAGCCAAAGAAGGGCAGAGGGGGCAAGAAGTGCACTGAAATATAAGAAAATATCAAAGTATCGTATCGATAATTGACGACCACTTTGACCACTCTCATTATGTTAATTCTATTAGAAAATATTAGAAAATTTAAAACACCAGCACAAAATGCAAAGGTTGAAAAGTTTATCTGTGACACGGTGGGCTACAAGAGGGAAACGGCAAAGATAATAGTAGATAAACAAAAGACTTGTTCCCTCAGAAGTACTCCAGAAACCAAAGAAGAATAAATCGGTATTAAAACTTTGCGGGCAATCAACATTTTACAACCAACCCATTTATAACAGCCATGATTTTATAAATCAAAATATTGTGTATAGTGTGACAAAGCCATTTAATACCTATTGAATGTATGGATATAACATTTTATCATGTTACCCCACCTTCGAAAAATTCTACGATTTGCCCTCAGCACCAACACTGCCCCTCATGCCCTAATCTTGTGCAGGCGTTCCTGTTCTTTATATTTTCTTACCCTCTGTGTGAAAGTTAAAGCACGTTTAAAGTCTTGGATAACACTACCGTATTTTTTATTATAATTTACTCAATCTTCGAACATAAAATGAAGTTAGCTGTCCAAATTTTTCCCACGTGTGTGTTACGCGTCAAGTGTGAAAAGGAAAACCGCGGTATAGGCTGTCCGCCGGATTCTGTGAATCTTGCAATGAGTATAATATAAATACGAGGATAAAATTTAGCAACAAACTAATATTCGTTTTGAAAATTAATCTCATAACATTGGATTTCTGTCGCCGTTTTGTTCTGTTTCTGAATTTTATCCTCGTTTTTATAAAAGCTCTGGTATACAGAATAACAGTCTTTTGATGGTACAAAATTTGAAAATGACTTTGAAAAAAGCAAACATTTGAGTAAACCAAAGCTTTTCGTCTGACACTCTTCAGAGTTTAAAACGTTAGAACATAGAGCGAAAACTCTACGTTAGGCAGTATATATACCCAGTTGTGGATAAAAAAAGGCCAATCAGAAACGCGAGCACATGTTAAGGTTTACCAATCAGTGCCGCTCGCCTGTTGAAATTGAAGAATTCAAAAAAATCTGCTTTATTTCTTCACTTTTATTTTTATCATTATACCAGAGAATGAATTCCAGGCACTATGCATATTTGACTTGATGAATGCCATGTAAATCTCTCTAAATAAAAGTTTGCTGACATTGCAAAATTTCAAGTGCAAAGTTTTTTTTAAAATGAGATCGTTTGGATAATACAGATCTAACAAATATTGAAATTAAAAACCTGTTAACAACTTGAAATTCACTGCTGATTTACTTTGAATGAAAAAATCACTTGTAACTAGATATGCAGCAAATGATTGAGGGCGGATGTGCCTTAAACAAGAATTTAATGGATGTTTCTCGCAACGAGTCACTTCCGCATTAGTGTACTGATAGTTTCGAATTGAAAGCAGACAAGTTTTCAAAGACCTTGCAAAATTAAATCTGTATCTGTGTATTAGTTTTGCTGCAATATCATTGCAATGCTACATCTCGATTAAAGTAATACAAAGACACACTTCAAATCAAGATTCTCACCGGCGAGTGCCTCATACCTTTCTGACCCTTTGGCAGTCGTTCATTTCATTCTAACTTCAATACTCTTCTCCCAAACGAAAGATACACGCTAATGTCCTTGCTATTGCTGAATTCGTTGCAAAATATTTCGTTCCGAATGCTTCTGTAGCAATAAACAATGCTTTTTGCGTTATTTTCAGGGGCAACAAAGCTGCTGCACCGCATTTCCTGTAGCTGTTAATAACAGTCCAATGATATCGCCACAGAATTATATAATTGTCTCTTATATGTAGGGAATTGTCTAGTTTCCATACTGCTCGACCTGATAGTCATAAATAAGCATGATTAATAGTCATAAATTAGCATGATTAATATTTTCAAGTAAAGGGTTAGGGTTAGGGTAAGGGTTAGGTTTAGGTTTAAGGTTAGGGTTAGGGTTAGGGTTAGGGTTAGGGTTAGGGTTAGGGTTAGGGTTAGGTTTAGGGTTAGGGTTAGGTTTAGGTTTAGGGTTGGGGTTAGGTTTAGGGTAAAACAATTACGTCATCAAGTCGAGCAGTATGGAAACTAGACAGCTCCTATATGCAGTGCTTGTTCATGTGTCAGACGTTCTCCAAACCGAGGCGGGCGTCAAAGATGCAGATGTCAGCTGTTTGAGAAGAACCAAAACACAGGACCCTAGGTAGGGATGTAATTATGGATAATTTTGGAAAGATAAAGAATACGGAATTTCCGACCGACGAATAAGCCAATTGCAACTTTGTGCTAAAACTGTTATCAGCCTTTTCTTACAGATCCTTAACAGGATCCTGTTTGGAATTACGACTTAGATGTTCGATTACATTCGAATTTCCTACCAATTCAAAGTTTTTCAAAGATTGGGGGTGTGATACCCCATACCCCTGGTATTTACATGCCTGTGACCCTAGATGCCCGAGGATTTCTAAAGGTGTACAGTCTACTTCGCTTTTATTAATTACGCTTAAAGTCACGCTACTGGCTAAAGTTGCATGAAATTTAGGCCCAAATATGCAAAACTATTCAATTTAGCTTCGTTGATAGCAGTCCATCAGTGGCAAAGAACACCCTGTAAAGGTATACGGTTATTTTGTCTGAAATTTCTGATAAAATGGTTGTCCATTTTTTATCAAAGTGTTGCATTTTGAGAGGTAAGATATCCGAAATCCTCGATTGTTCTGAATCAGGTGAGCAAGCTCTTAAAAACGTCTTTTTAGAGGAGAAGACCAGAAAATCTCCCGTTTTAATTAAGTTCTGATGTCGTCACGTTATGTTCAAATTTGTAGTAAAAATGCTTGTTAGATTTTTGTCAGAAAATCTCAGTTTATTGCTTTTCCTATTAAAATTCCTATCTATGCCACTGCAGTCCAATAACGGTCACAGATGTACAAGCTACGTTTGATGTGACTAGAGCCAGGGGCGTCGCGACTGGGGATGTGGGGGGTCACACCCCCCCCCCCAATAGTATCTCGAAAGGAAATTTCAGGTAAAATCCGCCCAGTGGAAGAAACACTCTAGGTATTTCAGCAACCTTCATGTGTTAACATTAATAAAGGATCAAGCAAAGATAGATGCTCCTTTGGCTAAATATGATATTTCTTGATATGAAGGAAGATAAAAAACTAATGTCCAGGCACTCTTTAGGTAAAATTGTGTCTTGTGTCCATTTCCCCTAAAAAGGCATGCTAAGATGGAAAGAGGGATCTAAATTGGCAACCATTGCTGCTTGTTACCTAGCTTTAGAAGTACTGACAACATGGAATTTTTCAAGACCAAGGTGAAATTGTACCAGTTGTTTTTATCTGCTGTTCAATTTATTCGCAAAAATAAAAGAATTTTCGGTAAGATTAGGAGGATTGCTTCAGTAAAATCTACTTAAAAGAGTGCATTTTCCAGGGAAGTGGAAGCATCAAAATTCGAAAATTTTCTGCCCGTCCCGGTATACAGATTTGGGAAAACTATTAGGAAAGTCCGTTATAATCATTTTTAAATGAATGTTGTGAATTATATGCCACACAGTTAAATTGACAAAATGTATTGCAGAGGCCTGTGACAGCAACTTAAGAATTTCATGTAATTATTTTTTAGTCAGGTAAATTTGTAGTCCACCCCCCCCCCCAACAAGGCTTGCCTCGCGACGGCCCTGACTAGAACTTGAGACTAGTGATTTTTGTACATAAAGTCCACTCTCACGCTCATTTATAGGGTACCGAGCTTGTTGTCATGTTTAAATGAACAAATTATAGTCCCATCGTCATAATTATTGTCGACAGATTTTCCCCTTCCTTGAAAAGATGACAAGTGATAGTCGCACGGCGACAAGGGGGCTCACTTGTAACTAATTTTTGAAATTCCCTATTACTGAGTTTAAGCATAAAGTCGAGCGTTAAATGCAGTAAACCACTAAAGGAAATCTTAACCATTGATTTTTCATGAATTTGACTTTGTCACCTAATTTTTGGTGCACGACTCGAAACAACATACGAGAACAACCAGCATCAGCATTAAAATGGAACAAGTTCTGACAAAAAGTTTGGTATTTGATAAGTTGCAGCACTGTGTTCGTCTTTTTATCACCGAATAGTGAAAGTCATTGTCGCTATTTCTGCTTGTTTTTGCTTGTGTCAGCAGATATCATAAGTTGTAAGCATCATGAGATTTGATTACATATAAAAACTGTTTACATCTAATATAACATAACATCCACTTTAGCAAACAAGTATGGGCTAATATTTTTGTTTTCGATTAAGATTTTCCTGTGAAATGGAATTAATGAAATGAATTGTGCAACTTTTGAGCTAGTAGAGGTATAGTTTTGGATTTTGGATTTTGCTATACTCAAAAGGTTGCAACATTTCATTTCATTTCATGCAACATTTTGTAGAAATCAACAAACTGGAGCGCTGGGTGGAAATGGTATTAATCCCACTTCTGAGTAAATTTTCCTTTTTTTAATGCTCCTTGAGTGAATGCTCCAGATTGGTTGTGAAGCCTTTAGGAGTAAACGATTTTATTACATTATTCAAACAAGAGCTTTCATTCAAACAATCAACAATCTAAAACGAGGCCAATTCATAATAGCCGCTTTCAATAATCAGTGCAATAATCTGACAAACAAGAGCTCCGGCAGTGCAGTTGCTCGCACGCGAGCAGGATCTAACTCTTTTTTGCCAAAAACTTTTAGCAAATACAAATTAAAACTAAGCACAGAAATGTTATGGACAAACAAAGTAACTGGTGGACCCAGACGAGTGAACCATGCTGCAGTTGGTGTCCCGAAAAAGCGACTCGTCTTTACATTTGGAGGTTATTGTACGGGAGAGGAATACAACCAGATATTAAAGATGGATGTCCATATTTTTAATGCGTGTAGGTTGCAGAATAATTTGTTTATAGAATTCCGTCTAAACTGTGCATTTTCAAACTTTAGAAGTGTTTTCCCGCACCACTTAAGTAGATTATTTTGACACAATTAGCAATCCATAGTCGTGCACGCTATTTTTTAGAATGTTGAGCCACCCAGCCAAATGGCGGCACTGTAATCGCTTCAAATACCTTAAAATTGGAAATAACTGCACATCAAGGACTTTATACGCCTGAGGATGTTCGAAAACAAGGATGCAAGGCAAATGTTGGGTTATATCTATAATCTTCATTAAATCAAAATACCAGCTTAGGTTTTTATTGTGGCTGCTATAAAAAGTAGTTTCTTACTAAAGCTGGAAAATTTAGGGTGCATTGAAATGAATGATGATATTCTACTACGCTGAAATATGTTGAAGGGTGTTTAGTTAAAAAGGATATATCTGTAAAGCAACTGTTAGTCATGTTTACCTGCAGGCTCTTATTGGTAAACAATGTTTATTTTTATGCAAGAATACAACAAAAAGTAAGAGATTCAGACCTCCCCAAAATTTTTTTGTTCTTGTGAGCACAAACTGTTTTGTAAAAGGTACCTGCAATTTGTTTTTCATATTTAATATGTAGGATATAAGTTTGTTTACAATAAGAGACATAAAATAAGGTTTAATGACACATCATACACAAATGTAATCACAACAGTATAATTGAAGATCTTTCTCTCACGGTTAGGAAAATCTATCATTCTGTCTTTGCTACATAAAGCACTTTTACAAAGCAGTAAAGCCTTAAGCTTTACTTTTGCAGATTTCTCAAAATTCTCTGAATTTGAACCAAAGATCGTTTCCAGACACATTTGAGATAATCAACTAAATTTATTTGAAGTTTTTGACAAATGAGTACCCTTTAAGGACTGCAACTGCAAAATGGGAAGCATTGCTTTCCTTTATTTTGAGTTCATATGATTGTATTTTTATCTTTTTTCAGAGTTTCTTGATAATTTTAGTCAAAGGTAAAAACACATTTAATAATATCACATGGTGAAACTTGTAGCTGAATTGTTTCCTCTAAATTCTTAAACAATTGGAAACTTTGAAAAAAACCACTTTTTAAGATGTGCCTGCAGGCGTAATTTGATTTGCATGGTTTGCTTGCAGGCGCCACTTCTGCACTTTAGCGAGGCCTGGCCAGAGCTGGAAATTCCATGTTTTTTTGGGTCGCAAGATATTTTGCCACAACAACACAACATGGATTTTGACTTGCCAAAAGGGAACATTTTGTAACATGACAATGTACACAAAAGAAGCATGATACAAGATCTTTTTGAAAATTTGATAAGATTTAAAAATGTTGATAAATATGGATTTAAATGTAACAGGAAAGATAAATATATTCAAAAGAAGAGCAAAAAATATACCCCCTTCTACCTAAGTTTACCTTAAATAAATGGTATTGATAACATCTTAATGGTATTGAGATTCAAATAAGTTCCAGAATGGTTCGGTTTAAAATGCTGAAAATAAACTAGCTGGGAAGTGATTATTTGGTAATCTAGAGCAAGCTAATAGTTCAAAAGAATTCTTCTTTCTTCAAAATCTTTGAATAGTAATTTTCTTGGTCCTTTACCTTTTGTTAAAAAGAATTAAAAGAAAAATTATATTGTGACACACAATTGCTTTCTACTATCTGTATAAAATAGATTAACTATATTCTTCTTTTCAGGTTCTTTGCAATGGTATGCAATGAAAACCCCATCAAGACTAAATAGTAATCAATATTGCTGTGTACCATACATGAGATATGGTCATACTGCATCCCTTGTTGGAAGTAAAGCATATATTTTTGGTGGCAGGAGTGACAGAAATGGTGCATGCAATGTCCTATATTGTTTTGATACTGGTAAGGAACTTTATTGATCTTATTTCAACATTTGTAAGAGTTTTTCAGCTTTTGTTATTGCTATTTCAATTCAAGGATTCAGATTTATCTCCTTAGATAAATAATGATGTCATGTTGTGCCATTATAAGCTAGTCCTCGTAATGTGAAATTTGTCAGAGTGCTTGCAATCCCATGCCTTAAAAGGTTTAGGCATGCCATTACGTGTATGAGAGTGGTTTCAAAGATTTTGAGTTCCATTAATATGCTTGAAAACGGAGTCATTTGATACAAAACTGCAGTCATAAAAAACCCACTCAAAAGTGGAGTCAGTGATTTGTAACAGTGAAGACAGAGGCAATCAAAAACAAAGTCAATCTCTGTTTGAAAAAGAGCTCAAGAAAAAGTTATGAGAATGGATGAAAATGAAGTTATGGAAACACACATGGTATTGTTTTGACCAAAATGGAGGTGCCTGAATTTATGGGACAGTTAAAGAATAGGAATATTGCCAGGACTGTTGTAAGCGCTCAGTATGATTTTGTAAACACTGACAAAAGACAAAGAACCTAGAGTTGCTGCAGCTCTTGTTTGACAGTTATAGAAAACATACAGGCACCTTTTTATAAGAAACAATAGGGAAGAAGAGCTGAGGATGCAGGGTAGGTAATGCAGTGTGTCTAAGCATCAAGTAACCAATCATTGCATTTTATGTTCATCTGCCAGTGTGGTGGGATGTAAGGTGTTTTTGCCACCAAGAAACAACATCTTTTATCAGAAAAAGCAAAAATCCTAAGTTTTTTAACATGCTTTGGAACAACAATCAATGAACCAAATTTTCCTGTATTGGTTGATGTACATATCAATTTTCTTTAATATTATTGTGTAATTCCTGTAGTTTCTTTTATCTAGTAATTCCTGTAGTTTCTCTAGTAGCAGCTTTTATCGATTAATTGTATGTAGTGGAATTTAAAATGTAAAAACTGAACTGAACTGAACTGAACTGAACTTTATCATTTTTTATGCCACTTATTGTGCAAGAAGATGAAAAAATCAAGAAGTTTATAGACTGCTAAGGGAAGCAAAATATTAACAATTCTGTCAGAGTAGTTCCAACAGTTATTTGCAACAATAACATGAAATACAAATTTTGTCTTATTGAAACATAAAAATTCAAAACGTCAACCAGCTACTCTAGTGAAAAACTTTCAGCTAAGGTTTGTTTTTTATTTTTTGTTGGCAAATCTGATTCCATTTAGATCAGATTACTTAACATAAGTTTGCCTTTGTCACTGTATGTCATTTATTGTTATCACATTATAAAGCAATTTTTGTAGAATCTGACAGACAGTCTAGTCTATACCCAGCAACTCTTCAAAGCTAAATCTTTTTATTGTAGATATGTTTACTTGGTCTATTCCATCAACTGATGGCATTCCACCTGAAGCCAGAGATGGGCATTCAGCTTGTGTAATTAAGACAAAAATATATATATGTGGAGGATTCAAGGAAATTGTAAGTATCCAAAAATTAAGATGTTTATAGCAGCAAACTTGTCAGTCTTTTCAGCCTTTACTGTCACAGTGATTATGCAGTTTTGTTGTTAAACAGGGGCAGCTTACAGCGTTATTAGTGTTATTAGTCTAATAACAGTTTTTTTCCAAAGCTATAAGCTTGTAGTTGCATTCATTGTTTATTTTCATAGACAATGATTTGTGCTCAAGGCTCTGCATGTCAATAGACTTTTATTGAAATTCTTTCGCCTTCAATCTCCCTTTGAAAATGTCAACAATAGCCCTTGCTAACATCTCCGTTATTAGGATTGCGTTTCTAATAACGTGAATTGCCATTTCCTTTGTTTTTACTCTGTGAATGTGACATATTGTCATAGAAAACAGGGCATAAAGCCATTGTATTTTACTCGCACGTTATTAGCCTCCTCGTTCTAATAACACATTCCGGGATATCGGCTGCTTACTTCATGAAACAAAATAGCAAACAAAATAACTACCATAATTCAAACGGGCTCTGTACACTGAGTTGTTTCTCAAGTTTTTCCGCATTTTCAACTGGTAAAAGTCTAATGCATGAACAACTCTTTCGCTTATAGCGATGGCCTACCCAAAGACTTCTCTTTTCTGATAAAGATATTAACGAGGCATCCCATGGATTTGCGGTTAAGAAATAAAAAAATTACTTATTTTTGTAGCCCGGGTCTTGTGCTGGGAGATTTCCAGAAGAAAATATCATCAATTCTTTTTAAAAGTATTGTTTAGGGCTCTACTATATCCAGGATGGTCTGTTATTTCCATAGTTTACATGTCTTCGATGGCCCCGTTATTAGAAAGCCATTTCTAATAACGCAGTAGCCGAAATGTTGCTGGGGCCGCATTGATAAAACCCATGAGGCATCAAAAGTCAGCCGTGCCCTTAGAACGCATTGCTGTAGCAGCCCATTCCTGTGTAATCGAGGTCGGCTGCAAATAAATTGGGGATTGGAGTTTTGAATTAAATTTTGCATGGCTATCAAAACCACCGCCATACCCATGCCTCAATTCTACATTATTTTCCTTTTTCAACAAGAAAACAGCCTCAACATATAAGGGGTTTGAAAGCCCAAATTCCCAAACAAAAACGCAAATGGTGGGGGGGAGCCCTCTATGCCCCCCGTAATTTATGCCATTGCTTGGCTGACTAATAACAGTTTATTTTTGGTGCCAGCCACCCCTGTTGTTAAATTAGCGAAAGTTCTCAGGCTTAAACGTAAGAACATACACAACTGTAGACATGTAAGTTATGTGCCATGAATGTTTGCCCTGTATTTCTTTTTTCATTCCAATATTTCTATATTTGTTGCTGATGAAATTGTGAATAGCCATGAAATAGAAATTATGTCTGGCTCACCTTAAGCAAACTTATATCCTGAAGAGTCAGGAACCATTTCAAGATAGTTTGAACCATGTATTATGTTTCACAAATAATTGATTAGTGATTTTGACATTTTTAGGACCAGCGTTTCTCGTCAGATCTCCATATGCTGGAAACAGAAACAATGACTTGGCATAGGCCATTCCAGGTATGCTGTTTTTAATGAGACGAGACATAAGCAAGAACTTATTAAAAATTTATCAGTCAACCTGCCTGTAGAAGACTGTCTGCTCCATATAAAGAGAGTTTTGCATGTTTTGGTGTGAATCTTTACATGTAAATCCAATGTGACAACCAGGCAGCTAAGCATTGTATATCATTAGATGTATATCATTACATTAGATGTACATAGAAAAACCCACGGTGAATATGACACATCTCCTTGGAAAACATTTCCTTAAAAAGAAGGAACCTACCCAAATTACTTTACAAATAGCAAGGTAGATTGTGCCCTAAATAAAATTTTCAAGCTCAAAGATGATGCAAGAAAATTACAAGTATAATAGCAGACTTTTCATATTGATTTCAGTAAATAAAATGTTATGCTTTTTTCCTCATGACAAAACTTTGGAATTTTTCAGACAACCCTGTGTATATGGCGAGATTTCCACACTTCAACTGCCATTGGAAATAAGATCTATGTATTTGGTGGCAGAGGTATGAAGTAATTTTTTATTTCAGATTTAGTTGTTCTAAAAAATTGCTTTTTCATTACTTTTCTGAATTGAATCATTGTTAGAAGTAAACAAATTATTTTTATTAATAGCTATTGAATAGTTATAGTTAAGTTTCAAGATAAGGCAACTTTTGGAAATATTCATTTTAGACAAATTCTTGCTCATAGATTTCGTTGTGGTTTTCATCTTACGTTGATGCTTGAAAAATTACTTTGACTAGTTTTAACTTGTTTAAATACCAGATTAGCTGATTAATTTTTGCCTGAATTTTGTACTTTTGAAAATAGTTTCAATTTCTTTCATTTCTAGGTGACCGCAATGGCCCTATACACACTAATGAAGATATATATGATAACGCAGTTTATGAATTTGACACAGGTAACGTATAAAATAAATAGCTTCTTTTTCTAAAGAATGCTTCTATAGCGAAATATGTCAGCTCTGGGTTGCACTTTGGGTTAGAAAGTACCAAAAGGTTATTTCAAAATTGGACCTAAGTTGGCAGAGATTCATGCAGGAGGAAAGGTTATCTATTCAATATTATTGGCAGGAATTGAGTTAAAAACGTGATTACTTCTGACATAAAAGTTTTATTCATAAGACTTTGCTGATTGTTGAATAGCTAATGCAAATAAGAAAGTCAATGCAGTAACAGTGTTATTGAGCATTTTGTAAGTCATTGAATTAAATTGGGTATAATTAAATGTGAGTTGTGGCTTTGTACATGAGAAGTGATTGTAGCTTGAGTTACTTTTTTTACTATAACTCTTCCAATTATTTTTACCAGGTTGAGAGTTATTATCGAAACATTGTAGCATCTGACTACTTGCTCTTTATGGTTAATTGTATTAACAAATTCAAGGTGTTGCTCAGAGTTATTTAGAATTAATAGATACCCAACAAATGTTGAAAGATTATGTGAGCAGGAGAGAGATTTCAACAACTCAGAAGTCTCCAGAAAGTAGAAGCTAGCCATGTTCATAGATGCAGTGTATGAAACATCTAACAACACAAAGACTAAGATATTGTATTTTAGAAAATTTATCTTCTTTTTAGAATTTCTTTCCTAGTTATTGTGGATTGTAATCAGCAGTTTACAATGACTTGTTAGCCTGCACATTTGGTCATATCAGAAGTACTTCAGGTTGTTGCTATGTTTGGTTAGCTTTTTAGTGCATCTGTTTTTCCCTTCAAATGTGACCTTTTTTCAAGATATGGTCTTAACTATATCACTATTTTTTGCAGAGAAACTGAAATGGACTGTCCTGTCAGTATCTGGAAATGTACCACATGGCAGAAGGAGCCATTCTGCAAGTATGTTTATTGGGCAATTCACTTGTTAATCTTTTATTTATCTCTATCCTTTCTTTATCAGTATCACCTGGCTTTATCAATTGTTGATTTTAGTGACCCAAAATATTCCTCTAAAGTATTAGGTTTTCATCTGGGAAAGCAATCCATAGCTTGTTGAGTGTGTAAATGAATTGATTGTTGAGGTATAAAATTTTTCATCTTTTCGGAAAGAGAATGATCCCATCTAATTATGAAGCTTGTGTAAAGCCAGGCTATCTTGTTTCTGTCTGTCTATTATTAATGCAAAGGCCCTTTTTCAAGATCCTGAGATCCTAGGAACTGTGTTCAGAAGACTCTCAAAAAACTTGTCAACAAAAGGCAGTGAGAAAACTTAAGAAAAAAATTAATCCTTAAACGTCAGAATTCAAGAAGAATTTGCTTAAAGCATTGCAATTCTTTTAGTGAATGACGATTTTAACTTTCAAGTCTTAATGTCAAATATGTATTCTTCTCTTCTATTTTCTGCATCGGATGACTTTTCAGTATTTTGTTGCTGTTAGATTCTGATGTTCATTTCTAGTTGCATATAACGACAATATTTACATCTTTGGTGGCTACAATGGACAGCTAAACAAGCATTTCGCTGATCTTTGGAAGTTTAACCCAGGTAACAAGCTATATTTGTCTCGAATGCGCAGGGGTGTGCAGGCACCCGCGGGTTGATTTGCTTAGACTTTGCATTTGATTTATAATGTTTCATTTAGCTACTGTTAGAAACTATCGTGTTTGCTAGGGGTTTGACCTTTTCCGTCAAATCCCGACAGACACACTTTTGGTACCTAAAGAATAATCTTTAAGAAAACCTTCCAACACTGTTCGTGTCTGTCGTCAAACGAATATGTTTAGAGGAAACCCGTGCCTCCATCTGGGTTATACCTCTGAATGTTTTAGCTGCTTGATTTGTTATTTTAAGTTTTTGCTCATTGCTGGTTGAAGTTTGTATATACTATTAAGACCGTTAACCCCTGCTAAGTTTTAGAATTTGAGGGTATTAATGTTTTTAAGGTTATCAGTTTAAATGCTATATTTTTCAAACATATCATGTTAATAATTTTAAAGAGGCATTGCTTTTTCCTGAGACACGTTTTTGTACAAAAATATGTTCATATTGAAAATCTTAGAAGGTTAGTTTGTCAATCCGTTTTTTGACGCCCCTTGTAAGCCTCAGTTATGTTGTTATCTTCAGTTGTCTTTAACCAAGTCATCATTTTTCAACTTGATGAATGTTTTCATTGTCCATTTTAGTAAACAAACAATGGACAGAAGTAAAGACAAAGGGCGATGGGCCCTGTGCAAGGCGAAGGCATTCGTGGTCTCTTCTTGATAACGAGGTTGTTTTATTTGGTGGCACATGGTAGGTTACGAATATAAGTGTCACGGCCTTGCTCAATATAAATTTTCATTGGTTCAGTTGAGAGAATGATGAATTCTCTAGAGTATCTGTAACATACAATTTATCTTAATAAGTCCTCCGTCCCACTTGTATTGTTGATACAATACCTTCAAAGTTTTGAGCAATGAATCGATTATTAACAGCGATTGACCTTTTAGTTTGATTATCAAACCATAGTCTCCCTTAGTTTAGTAATGATAAAAAGAAGGAAATATATTTTGCATTGTGCCATTTGACTTTGTTTGAAAGCGAGAAGTACATTAAATCTCCTTATTGAGCTTTGTTAGCTGTTTTGATAGTCTTGAAACCTTGTATTAAGTGCCCAAGGACTCGTAGTGTTATTTCACTAAGATTAAATCATCTTTTTGCAGGTGTCGGCTTGAAAACGTTTTTGACGGAAATTGTGTTTTATTTTTTCATACGGTTTTTTATCGTTGCTTAATTTTTTACAGTCCAAGTGCAATTCCAAAACAAGTCGATGTACAGGATGAAGATGAGCTTGCGAATTTAAAAGATTTATCTGACGTTTATATTCTTGATCTCAGTAAGTCTATAATGTGACAATTTTAAAGTTTGTTATGCTTTCCAGTTATTTTGCTAGTCAACAGGGTCCAAGACTATTTTAATGGAGGAGTATGAATTATGAAATTTGGGTATCATTCATTTTTAGATTTGAAAAATCTTGTCAAGCTTCTTTCGACATGCTTTACAATCTGTCCATGTAAGCTTTAATAAGGGAGGTAGCATAAATGCAAAGAAGCAAAGATGATGATTAGATCAGACTAAAATACTTTTTCGTGCAATTTTCGCGTTTTAGAAATTTTTGTAACCTACGAAAGAAATGTTTGTAACCATCGTACTGTTTCTGAGTTCAGTTTGAATTGCAATCTTGAACTTTTGACGATAATTTAGGCATTTTAAAGATCTTCATTTGTAGCCTTACCCATTCCAAAGAGACGTGCTATTGATAGATTGGTCTTTTAATATACGTTGCTTAAGTACAAGTGATTTGAGCTTGAAATTCCTGATCATTATCATAATAAAAAATTTTTAAAAAACTTTTCCTATAAGGCAATTCCTTTATCAGCTACGGATCTCTCAGTCAATCTAAATCGATGAATCATAAACCCTAAAACTCTAGAGATAAACATGGGAGATAACACGTGATAACTCTGGGAAAGGTTTAATGATTTGGGCTTGGGTTGCCATTTGTTAAAAAGTTGTTAGGGTAGGGCAGATAAACAGTCCCGGGCTAATTGACTAAAATGTGTAACCGTCATTTTTGCACATTTTGGTGGGTTGAGTTTAGAGATTTCTCTCGCCCTTCCCACTGTTTGGTATGCCCTTGGCTCCAGCTAAAGGACAGGGCGCAATTTGAGGGTTTGCAGTGCAGTGAGAATTTTAAATCATTTCCTGTGTATCATTTCAGCTCCTTTAGGGATTTGTTTTCTTTCGCCTGTAAAAGACACCTTAAACCTATTGCCCCTTTTGATTATTATTTCTTTTTCAGGTCCAAGTTTAACAACGCTGTGTAAAAAGGCTGTTCTTGCATACAATGTTGATTGTTCTGAGCTGCCGCTTCAAATAAGGTAAATTATTTTCTCATGAAATATGTCTTTATAACCCCCATAATAAAACGATACACAAGAAATTTCATGCTATCATTTTATGAAGGTTTGTACCAGACTCTAAGAGTTTTTGTGCAGACTCTCCAAAGCTACTTCATGTACCTTTAAATCTTTATATTCTAGAGGTGAACTTGAGTCGATGAGACACAATAGCTGCGAACAGAAATTCTCAACAGGGATGACACAAGGCTGAGTTTCAGCAACTAAAGAGATCGTCATTTGTGTTGAGCACAAGTGCTTCACCTTAAGTAGATGTAACAAATCTAATCTTCGGTTGCTGTAGCCCACTTCCAACTACCACACCAGTAACTTTAGTTCATTTTTGTTTTTTAGTTGGGAAATCCCTTTTTGGAAGTAATATTTTGTAATGATGTTTTTGTAAATATAATAATAATTTATCGAGCTACTTGTTTAAGATTGTAAAATTCTAAGAAATTTTATTACGTTTTATTAGTTTTAAGGTTTTTTAATTCAAGAGATATAAATATTAGCATAAGACTATCGTAGTTAAATAAATCGTATATTAATGCTTTGTTGTGATGGCGTTTGAGGCGCATTACTTCATTTAGTGTAAGAGGATTTAATACCTGGCTATGCTTCGTTGTTTGTTCTACTACTGACTTGTCATAACTTAAATTGCCGAGTGAAAAGTGCAGCCTAAAATAATTTCAGTATCGTTTATTGATTTAGTTGCGATTGATTCCATGTATAATGTTTACTTATATTGAGGTGGAAGGCCAAGGCAAGACATGGCCAAACTCATCTATATTCACACACATGTTTACATGGTGTCTTTATGCGTTGCCCAGAGGGCCTGGGACCTACTCTACTACACCATGAATCAATCAGTTTCCAAATGCTGCATGAGCTTATCTTCGAATACTACAATTTTAAGTCCGGGCAAAGCAAATCCAGTATTTTATTTTATTTAACTTCATATTTTCAGTCTTCTCTAAGATTATCTAGCTTTCAAAATATATGAATAGAAGATGGTGGTATTCGATTTTTTGGCAAAGGCATTCTGTACGTGTCAGCTATCACCTATTCCCTACTGATAAAATTGTTTAAAAAATCTTATATTCAGATTCAAAAGGTTGAATCAACCTACCCTAATTTATTCCTACTCATTTCTAAACTTTCTTGGTAATACTGAACTTTGTTTATGTAAAAGATTTTGTTTTACCAGTGCTTGAGCTAGCATTGTTTTATACGCATACTCGTATTGACGTCATCCTAAAGTGATTTTTACTTTTAGCATTCATGTACATTCTGTAAATCAAAATATTATTGAGGATTTTATGAGTTGTAAGGATTTCAATTTTTTGTCTTTTGTTGTATTTGCCTTCTCGTTGATCGATCATTTTGTTTGGAAATCGTTGGGAATTTCTAGTTTTGAGCGTTTATTGTTGTGTTTGTCGGAGATACAGACAGAAATCAAAATAAAAAACATTTCGTTTGGGAGAGAAATCAAAATCTTTGGAGCTAAGTAAAACTGTAACTGCGCCATCGCAATTGGTAGTTTTTAACTTTGAAAAGTAAAGGTAATTGTTATATCTAATTCATGGCAAATGCTCACGGGGAGAAAAAACTCTTTCATAAATGTGGGGTGAAAACAAGACGTCCCTGTTTTTTTCTTTGATAACATTTATGTCACAATATTATTGCATATCGCAAGGAACAATTTGCGTGGATATCGAGTGACGGATATGTTCTTGTTCGAGGAGTGCGTATAATCTAAAACACTGATAAATGTACCCTTAATTCAGGCATGCCGGGAATGGAGAGTTGAAGGGCTGTAGCTCCCCAACTTTTTCGGTGATTCAGGATAATAAGGTTGTGACATCAAAAATTCTGTGATAGTGGAAAACCACCATATAAAGTTTATCAATTTGTATAGCGCTCCCTCACTCAAAAATTTGCTCCGGCGTCTCTGTTATTGCCTTAAATCCTTTAAGGCAATAAATCCCTTAATTATTTTCAGGTATTCATCCATAAAATACATGTATCCAAATTTCTGAATTTTTAAAGAGTAAGTAAATTTAAATTTTCTGACAGGCTTCAGCTGCCCGAAACCCTACCATGCACTTCAGGGCAATTCAAACCCTGTTGGCACGGCAACTACCATAAGGAGGCTGAAAAGCAAAACAAGATGGACGTCACATTGTTCATTCCACAAGAATCTTCAACATTTATATGTGCTTGATGCATAGTAAAATATTCCATGTTGGCCAACCATTGTAGAGCAAGTCTTCTCTTAGAGAAGGAGCATTTTAAACTTAGAAAAGCTCCAATTTGGGTAGGTATTTATCAGTGAAATTTATGTATAGGCCTAGCTATGCAGTATATTGTTTCAAAGTGACTTGGTTGTAAAGCTTTTCATGAACGGTAAACAGCACGATTTATGAAATAAATGTTGTATTTGGTTAGTTTGGAAGAATCCTTAAAATCCTTTTGAAGCAATTGAAGAAAATTACCATAATGGGTCAACATAAAATACTTTTCATCTCAGTAAAAAAACCCCTCTACATTTGTCACTCATTTACCCAAACTTTATACTAGAAGAGTTTGTGCTTATTAATAAAATGATAAAAAATTATTATTAATATTACTTCCAGGTAGAAATGAGAGACAAATGTATTTAATTTTGGGCATGTGTTCGCTTTTTAACCTAAAGACTGAAAGTGTAATTACAATAGGTGCCATTAATAGCTAATGGATTTTTTTTAATAGAATTTATGCTAGTTTAGCATAATAATGACGACTCTGTTTTTGGTCACTATAATGCCAGCTACCAACAAATAGTGTTTAGACTTTTAAGTTCAAATCAGGGACCATTATGGAAACAAGGTTTTATTGACCTTTTTAATGCTATCCCTGCCATTTGTAACCTTGGGTGTTTCTTAGTCTACGTTTTTAACTTCTATATGTAAATTCTATATATCTCTAATTAGATCTTTTTCTTTTTCTTAATTTTAGATTGTAATTTATTTGATGGCAAAATTATACATACATATACATACAGTTCTGCAAAGTTTGGTTAAAATCAACCACTGCTTACAGTCATAACTTATCAAACAACAATTTTGTAACTATAACCAGAAACTAATCTATCAGTTTAAACATTTTTTTCTTCAATAACTCAGCTTTCTTCTTCAACAATTTTTATTTTCAAGGGCATAGAAGCTCAGCCACTCAATGATGAAAATTTCCTAAAATGGCAAGCAATAATAAAAGGGCCAAGAGACTCAATTTGGGAAGGTATTTTTTAACCAAATCACTCTCCTACAAAGGAAATTTTAGCCATTGTTTTTAGCCAGTGCCTTGACTTTACTCAAGAACCTACTCTGAGAAAAACTGTCATAAATTCCAGAAGAATATTATCCCATCAAGTAGCTCTACCATAGTTCTTTTGCATACCAACTGTCTTTTTGTGATACAAATTAATTTTAAATTGGAGCAAAATTTGATTTATGATGTTGATATCCATTTTTAGGAGGAATCTTCAAGGTGTACTTGTCTTTCTCAGAAGAGTATAACTCTAAACCACCAGAAGTGTTTTTTCACACTATTCCATTCCACCCAAATGGTAGTTATTATGTTTAATATTATCAAGGAATACCTTAAAATTTCAGCCTTTCATTAGAATAATGTCTTCATGTAAGTGCCATTGACATTTTTGCAAGGAATTGTAGACGTGAGTCAAGTTTGAAACCATATTTGTTTCTTTTCATTTTTGTAGATTCATTTTACTAATACCAGATTATTTATCTTAACAAACCTTACATCACCAATCTCACTCACCAATCTTGTTTTTTACTTTTCTTTTAACATCTTTGTATAGTTTTTTCAATTACTATTGTTTGCATAATGACACCTGTGATTTTTGATTTGGTGACATTGTTAAAAAACTGGTGTATTTTTTCTGACCTTTGGTTTGCATGTCAGGTCTCAAATTCATGTTTTGGTGATTTGCGAGATTACCATCTTGATTAAATGATGGGTGGTGGTTTCGGTGAAATACAGAACCTTTGTCTGTGGTCCAAGTCCCTGATTTGACAAGCGTTCATTCAAGAGTGAAGAGCAGCTCTCTGTAACTCCTGGCATTGGCATTACAAGGTGGGGGTAACAACAAAAGGAAGGACCAAGACACTGCTTGAAAGCATAGCCTCTCAGAGTCCTAATCCAATCATAAAGCTTTCAGTTGTTCTCCATATGGGATGTGGGAAGCAAAATTTTACTATCAGTTTGAGCTACAAAAACTTGAGAGGAAAACCCATGACAAAAATCAATTTTTAGCTCAACCAGTCTTATTTGCAATCATAATATACCAAATCAAACTGATAGACAGGTGTCATGGTATTAATTCAAGAAGAATTGATTGCTATTGATAAGTGGATAAATCAGTTGGGTTGCACTGTAATCTCATTATGTCTGTCCCCCATTCATGAGAATAGCTTGCTTGATAAATAATTATTAATGCCCTTGAAGGACCTTAAAGTGACTCCAAAAAACAAACATTGCATTTTAATTTATTATATAAAATAGCTTAAAATACTTCAATTAAAGATGTACAAAAATGTTTAAATTTGCATTGTGTATTCTCCCAAATTCTTGTTATATAGTTGACATGCAGAATGGGGTTCCATGCATAGATTTCTTAAATGACATTGGCTTGTGGAAACCACATTATGATGTTGTCTACATTCTTCTACAGCTTCAGGTAACATGGTTTAAACAGCATTTATGTGCAAGTATATCATAAATGGAGTATAAGTCTGCTATATGTTGTTTATTAATGAGAAAGTGATTTTGAGTGATAACTGAATTTGTGAGGCACTTTCTTTATGCTCACTTCAATGAAGTCGTATTCATGATAGCAATAATATCAAGGAAGTAGTATGCATTTCTGCTGACCAATGGTATAAGAGCATCTCAAAATGGATTGATTACATAGCATGTTAACAATTATTGCTTTAGTAAAGATTGAATGAATGAATAAATGAATATATGAATGAATTAATAAACTCATAAATAAATAAACAAGATATCGAATGAATCAATCAATAAGTGTGCATAATTATACACAGGAAGTGTTCCCTAGTTCTTCAGTTGATGAAATCTAGCTAATTCAAGATCGCTTTCTTCTTCTTAATAGACAATGCTGGATCATCCTGTATTGGAAAATCCTGTAAACGTTGAAGCTGCAAACATGTGTAATAACAGACCCAAACATTACAGACAAATGGTGTTGGATTGCGTATTTGCAAGCAAACGCCTTGAAGGCAAGTTTGTAGATTAATTATTTTTTATCCTAATTAATCTGACTTTTTATGGTTTTTATGGATAAAGTTTATGGAACGTTTACATTGAAGGTTTATTTTGATGAAAATGAAAATATTTTTGATAATTGGTTATTTTAGGGTCTAGTGCTTTAGGGTTTTGCTATGGCCAGGCTGTCCTGGGGAATTTTTTGACACTTAGCTTGGAATTGATGTTTTTTAACACTTAACAATACCCAAATACGTCAGGGATGTTGTTGGAGATCTGACTAAGCCTTCCAGTTTTGTCTTATATTCCATTCATTATAGCTGGACTCAAGCCGCAGATTTTCAGTCCTCTGAAAAAAGAGAATTCGGATATGCATTTTCAACCAGAAGCGAAAACAAAGGCTAAACAGCAGATTTCTTTTGAAGATTACCATAAAACCTGGCTGAATATAGCAACATCTAAACCACACACTCTTGGAGGGAGATCTACTGAAGATACAAACGCAGATACGGTTGTTAATGAGAGTCATTTTGGAGTGATGCAGGAAGAGCTGGAGGAAGAGCTGCGAAGGCAGCTATCAGAACATAATTCTATAATGTATGGACGATTTAGGGATAAGAGATTAAAAGACGAAGAAAGAATCGCAAACCTTCAAACGACCAAGGCTCAACTGCTAAAGCAAATTTACTTTAAAGAACAAGGTTCGTATCCGAGGCTTTTCTTCCCAGCTGCTCAAATTTTACGTAAATCTTCAAGGGTGCTAAAATTACCCTTGAGTATCTACAATCACTGCCAAAATTACTTGGAACACCCAATACTTAGCGCTGTGCTTTTCAATTTTTCAAATGTTTTCCCGAATACTACTAATTCCGTCCCCCTTTCCCCCAAGGCAATATTGAGAGTATAGAAAAATATCAAACAAGCCACAAGAAACAGCATACTCTTCTTTATTCTATAGTAAACCAACATTGTTCCTAGGGGGAGAGGGGGTTGGCTGAATTTGCCTTTGAAAACCTACGTTAGTGTTCCAAGACCTTTGGTAGTGATTGTATGAAGCGTGGTTTATTGTAGTTCGTTTGCCTTGTTAATACTTGTTATAATGTCACATTTGCACTTAAAATTCTTGAGTACCTCTTTTGAATAACAGTGCTTTACACAATTTTTGGATTTTACTGATCAAAATATTTGTCGGTCATTCAGTGATGAACAAAATCGTGATGGCGATAACTGAATAATCTCATAGTATCTTACCAATTTATTTCAAAATAAGTTGTTTAATTGGTAATTTTACTGCCGCTCTTCATTTAAAACACATCATGCTTTTACTGCCGCTCTTCATTCAAAACACAGCACCCTTTTAATTTCTCTCTTCAACTAAAACACAGCACATCTAAAACAATCCAACTTTTTTTCAGACCCAACCAACAAACCTCTACCTCATGTGACATCGAGACTAGATCCAGACGAGCCATTTGATGAGGAGGTTGATCAACTAGTATCCTGGTCAGAAAAATTGCCTGGAGTTTTGGAGTGAATTGCATTGAAGCCTGCAAAGCTCTCAGCAATTCACTAAGACTTCACATTAATAATTACCCTGTAAGTATTGTACTGAGTTTATGGTAGAGTTGCATTTTCGAAATATCGCTATTGCCTCGAAATGAATTATTTTTAAATTCGATAGTTGCTTTATTTTTTATAGAAAAAGCTGTAAGCCTTCACGTGACACAGTCGTTTTCTTTCTTCTCACCAGTGCATTATGAAAAGATGCATATGTAATCAAAAGTGGGAGTAGTCTACTGAAAACAGTAAGCCGAATTATATTACACAACATTCACAGTTGAATAATATACTCCTTGATATCTAAGAAATCCTGCCTGTAAGTCATCAATGGCAATTCCATCCCACCATATTGTCCTAGAACGTGGCATGTGTGTAATGGATGAATTATACTGTTTCCTGTTATAACATGTCATGACGACAAATCTTTGTCAGGTTATTCTAAAAGGGTGGCTGGCAAGGTGGTTTTTGCATATGGTCTGTTTACATCAGGACAAGAGCACCGATTATGAGACAAGATGGTTCTGATTGATGAAAGCAATTATAGTCAAGCTTTCCTTCCCTTCTATTCGCTGATGACAATCCATGTTTGGGTGGGTATTTATGCGGTGATCGTTTTGTAATTTTATGATGAAACATATTTTGATGTGTGCATGGTGAAAATAGCCCCATAAGCGCAAATTATTGGCCGTTGTCTAAATTTTGTATTTCATTTAACAAACCTTTCATAGCTCACATACCGCAAAATATTTTGAATAGATAGAAACATATTGAAATTCGATTTGTTAAATGTTTTCAACAACCTGCTTGACTTGAACATATGCGCAAACATACGAATAAAAGACCGACTAGAATGTCGGACAGATCATTCTGTGGCGTCGGGCACTAATAAAAGTTGGTACTAGTCTACAGAATATTGGTGTGACATGCTGCGGGTCACGCCCTGATTTAAAATTTGTAATAAAAGAAATATCATTTATTAATTCAAAAGATCCGAAAGGTGTCTGAATTTATGACATTATTGTGTAAAACTTTCGTGGCACAGTTTGGATTCTTGAATTGATCTTGTTTTACTTACTTTCAAAACTCGCCTGTAAATATATAGCATATGTATATAAAGATTTAATTTTTGTTAAATTAATTATTACTATTTTACCTTGTAATTGAAAAAATAATTTTACTTTGGTTTTAGTAGGCATCAACTAGCTGTAATGTAGCTATGTTTATATATACGCCTAAGAAATTAATGATAATAATAATAAAGAATAATGATATTGTTGACACAATCTGTTGCAGTGTTATTTAATAGAAAATTGTTCATTTTGACGCTGCTTATAAGTCCATGAAATCTGATTACAATATTTCACACGAGGGTTGGTGAGAAACTCAAGTATGGTCTAGGCCGGTCTAGGCCCAGACGAAAAGGGCCACGTATTCTTTGGCGTGAACTTTCTAGAGGCTACATGAAGGGGGGCAGTTTATTGGAGGTCATAGATAGACCATTTGAGTAGAAGATTTTCACGACCTAATGATCTCAGTTAAAAAGCCGCTGGTAAGACCGAAGTTGGAAGTGCAGACTTTCACGGATCACGTCTGGTACCCAGTGTCTTGATTCGAGGCAAAAGTAGATCAATGTTGCTGTTAATCAATTTTTTTAACTTAGGTATTGCTCCTGTGTGAGACGACTATGTACTGTACCTTTAGGTATTCCTCAAAAATAACCTCGCACCGCAATTCTTTCCATCGTTAAGAAACCTCTTAGATGCAACCCATCTAAACTCACAGAAACTCTTTCATTATTTGATTAAGGGAGATACAAAGTATAACATCATAACTTATAAAGATGAAAGAGCAAGCAGGGTCCTGCACCTGGGAGCGTTAATCCATATCGTTGCGTAAGCAGTACTAGAAATGAAAGACTAGTACTGCTGGCTGGGTATTCCGTTATCCTAAGTAGAGAACAATCGGCGTCATCCAAAGAGACAAAATAACAGAGTCATGGAGAGGCAAGACGGTAGTAGAATTTGAAAACTAATACCACGGCATCACAGTTTTTCTTTGGGGGGGGGAGGAGGGGATACCACAAAATGGATTTCAGGCCCACATCATTCAGTGGATGCCTCCTGTGTCTAGGACCGTCAGATAGCGGGTTTGGCGCGCCATCATTCCAAAGCACTGTGCAACACAAAGCAAAGGTGCGTCTGCAGTAAGAGCTATTGAAAGTTTACAAATAAAAAGTTTAAAGAGAAACTGAAAAATAAAGTGTTACTATACTAGTACCGTAAGTACCACTACGCGTCACCACTGGATCATACCCATTTTCTTGGCTCTTCTTCCATCGGGAATTGGAGAAGCGAAAGTATATTCCTTGATGAGCTGAAGTCTTTTATATCTTTAGGGCCTTTTATCTAAAATTTTGGTTGGATCCATTCCTTCCTCAGCTATTACGTCAAATTCTATGATTCTTGAAAAAGAATTAGGTTAGGTTACACAGATACCTATACCTGAGGCTGGATGGTTTTTAATTTATTCTTAAATTAATAAGGTGTAAGAAATCCAATTGCATGCTTTTTCACTCCTGGGAGGTATCCAGGCCTCATTTGCCAACAAAGTGAGTGGGAAAACCTTAATTTGCCAACAAGTTTGAATGTTACCGAAAAAGCACCCACACATGGCAAAAAATTCTCGTTATTGAGATGACACGTTGCTCAAAATTGCAGTTCACCGTAGTCAGGGACGCCTGCACAAGATTAGGGCAGGAGGGGCAGTGTTGGTGCCGAGGGCAAATCGTTGAATTTTTCTATTAACATAATCGAGCATTCCTAGGTGGGAGGGGAGCGAAGCTGGGGTAACATGATATAATATTGACTTGAATATGTGCCACCCCTACAGCTGGCTTTTTTACCATCAAAGATTCTAAACATAAAGAAAATGTTGACGAAATTATCCATAAATGAAAATAGGTATTAAATAGCCTTGTCGCTATTCACAATATTTGGTTTTATAAAAATCATGGCTGTTATAAATGGGCTGGTTGTAAAATTTTGATTTCCCGCTAAGTTTTTATACCGATCTACCCTCCTTAGGTTCCTGTAGTATTTCTGAGGGAACACGTCGTTTGTTTATCATCTATTATCTTTGCCGCTCTCTCTCTTGTGGCTGACCTTGTCACAGACAAACTTTTCATTCTCTGCATTTTTGTGCTGGTGTTATCATCTTTCTAGTATTTTCTAATAGATATTAACACAACGAGAGTAGTCAAAGTGGTCATCATATTTCAGGGCACTTTTTGCCCCCTCTGCCCCTCTTCGAAGAGGGCAGGAGGGGCAGCTGCCCCTCTAGCCCCCCTTGTGTAGGCGCCCCTGACCGTAGTTCAGCCTCAGGTTGTTCTTAATTTGTTCTTAACTTTTGACCAATTTTGAGGCTCGTGTTCTTATAAAATTGTTCCTATAAAAAAGAGTGTAGGCTTAACTATGATTGAAAATGTGATTCCAGTATCAAATTGTTCTTTTGGTCATCCACAATTTTAAACTGACAGTTCAAAGAATTTCAAAAACAGTTTCTCGTATTTCATACATATACATTCTAAGAACAAGGTGTGTCAGTCTAGTGGCATCGCCACGGGGTGGACTGGGGTGAACATGTGAACTTTTCCACCCTAGTTTTCCCAGAAGACGATATTCTAACTCAAACTCAAAACATTTTTTCAGCAAATCAATTAATTACACGCTACGTCATTTAAGTAAGTTGTTTAAAATTCAATTATTAAATCCAAAATTACAATAAGAACATTAAAGAAAAAAACAACCCTATATACAAATAAATCAGCTGACGGACACATTAGAAAAACTCAAGATAGAGCTATCAAAGCCCGGTTGACGTGATTTGACGACGAGTTCACAATTCATTTTGGTTTGAATAACAGTAAGAATGAGATAATAGAAATGCAAATGACACTAGAAAAAAAGCAAAGGAATTGATTAAAGAAAAAGAAAAAAAACTATATTAAAGATAAAAAATGGGAAAATTAGGTTTATAGTATGTGCTGCTAATTTCATAATATTCGATTAGGTTGGACTTCCTAAAAGGTAGTGTTTCATTATATTTTTGAAAGATAATTTGTTGTTGTCTTTCTTCAAATCCGTTGAAAAACCTTTGAGGGGGATTTGATCAGATAGATTTCTTGTCTCGTTCTTGCAAAGAGTCCCCGTTACCGCAAATGCTGCTTGAAAATGTAGATAATGCTTGAACATGAAAATGTTCAGTTCACATTTCGGTCGTAACGGACCACTCTTGTGAAACTGGAAGTTCAATCAGTGCAGTGTAAAAGCGAAACAAAAAGTACCGCAAATATGGAGAGCCCCCTACCCTAATCTAATTGTTATTGTTTAACGATGATGAACGCGTTTCAGCGCAGCAACCCGAGGATCAACACGGAAAACTTGCCAGTACAAGGAAGCTTCTTTTGATCACAGAGAGATAGGTCGGTGCATTCCCAACCCACGTTTTATAAGAGACAAAACGCAGGTTATAGTTTGATTCAAGGCAGAGAGAGACCCCATATCAAGCTGAAGGTGAGCACTTATACTGGTACAAAATGTTTATCTTACAGGTTTAGGCCTTAGGCCCACGTTGCGTGTAAATAAATAAAATGGAACAAGGCCGAGAAGACCTCTGTATTTTCTTGATGTGTGTTTTTTATTGCTTTTCACAGTTTGAAAAGTTTCAAAAAAGAAGAAGAATTAACCCGGCAACTGAATGAATAAATGCAAATTATTTGTGCAAGAATGTGTTTTGTTGTATATTCTGACTTTACTGACATCTATGGCGTTTTGCCCTAGCCTTTTAAACTTCAAATATGAACAATCAGGCTACTTTCTGCAACTTTGTTGCTAAAGTTAAAACCAAGAATGATTTGTTTAGGCTCAAGGCTTCGACCACTATAAATTTTCTGTAGTGTTTTGCTTCGTTTATTAGTTTACATATTTCACATGAATTGTTCACATGACACCAAACTTTGATTAAAAAAGTTCCATTTCCTTGATGACAAGTGAAAGAAACAATACAAAAGAATTTCAAGTGTATTTCAGTTAAAAGCTGCTTTTTTATGTCGGGTCAATTATTTTTAAATCAATTATGTCAAAAAGAGTAAGCAAACCTCATATTGAAAATGTATCCTCCCTTCTCATACAAAGTCAAAAACGTGTGCGTCCTTTTTTAACATCTACCACTCTGCTGCTACTGGACATATGATATTATGACAGGTACGAATCCACAAAGGATGCAATTTTTACATTGTTATAGGAAATTAAATGAATTAATCAATATTAACATTTTAGAGTTACTTTCTTCAATTGTTACATGCCCCCCTCCCCCATAGTGGTTGTATTCACGCATTCATGCACAATTTTTTGACTTTTCACGCATTAAGGCACTGCAAAATTGGCCTGCAGTAAGATTTGTTTGTCATAAATTTTTATTCTTCATTTTAGTATCATTTTTACTATTAACAAATTATTCATTATAGTACAAACAATATTTTTATTTCCTACAGGAAGTTGATTTTAGAATAGGAGCTGAAAGCTAAACAATTTATAATGAAGGATAAAAGCACAGTTGTCAAAGAAGGATGGGTTTCGAAGAGAGGTATGAAACTTAAATAAGATTCTAGCTAAGGTATTTAACTTAGTTAAAAATTAGCCTCAAGATAATTCTAAAATTTTGGAAAACCTTTGTATCAGGGCACAAAAAGTTGTTTTCCTTCCTACGACCAGATAAAAATCATGCATAAATTTCCTGCGAGAATGGGAAGCAAACGGTAATGCTGTGTCACCAGCTTTATAAAATATATAAGTTTAGATAAGTTTGTTATCACTTCAATTTCATTTTCTGTTTTGGTGACTGAAAAGTTTTATTTTTCATTAATTAGGGCCTTAATTGATCTGGAATAGGGGTCTAGCTATAAACTGGTAAGAATATTTACAATCAGGATATAAATTTGGCTATAATGCACACAGGCATAAAAGTACAAATGGAGATCAAATTGGGATAGCTGTTATCTTTGGGTGATGAGGGCAGGCATTAGAATGAAAAAAATTAAAAAAATGAGCCTAAAATGATTGATCATATGATTTCCTTGTATCCATGGAAGTTTTTAACAAACTACTTGATGAAGATATAGGTAAGAGCCCTGAGAAGAATTCATTTGCGAAAAGCATTAGAGAAAACTTGCTTTAATCAGTAAAATTCATTATGATAGGCAATATACAGTAGAGGCCTTGCGCACATCAACAAAGCAAAAATTTGCAGAATTTTCAAGAATTCTGCAAACTATAACAAAGATTTTTAAGCCAGAAAAACTGTAAGCTTTTATCAAAAAAGAATTTTTAAAAAAATTATGAAGGGTTCTTAGGTAGAAAACCCTTTCTGACCTGTACAAGACACATACATAAGATACATTTGTTTTTTCTTCATGTTTTTTTCTCTTGATGAACATGAAAGAAACAAAGGTGCTTCTTGCAAAATATTATGTTTAAAAAAATTTCCTGGGACCAACCAGTAAGGTAGGTTTTATGCCCTGCTTTGTATCTAATTCCATTTCAAGCTACTGGAATACATTTGAACTTTTTTGACTAAAATGATATCTCATCACATTTAAAATTCCAATGAACTTTTGGTTGCCTTGTCAAAATGCAGTACCAGTGTTGGCTGGCACAAAAATAAGATGGTACTAGTAAAGCAAAAAAAATTTTAGCAGAAGGAACCAGCTAGAGGAAGGGTGCTGCAGGGGCATGGTCCCTGGAAAATATCTGTTTTCATAGCTAATATGACCAAATTGTCTTCTAATAGCAGGTCAGAAGTTTTCATACAATACCTCGGTTTGGTTGACTTCATCTGATATTGCCAGCTCAAGGGTTTACTGGCTTTGCAGCAAACGGAATCTAGTACTGCAAACGTTTTTTTCATTGTTGGCTTGTAGAAAGACAAATGGTTTTATGTCATGTTGTGTCACAAATGACAATGGCACAGACTTCTGCAGTAACAGATAAATGTGATCTAGTACCATGGTGTACATAAAGGGCTTATTCACTATCAATCTTTCAATGGGAATTGAGATAAGGAGGGTCAGAATTAAGATATGGTGTATTCCGCTGCTCTTCCCTTTTTGCCATTAATTCAATTATCATAGAAAAAAGGAAAATCATCCAATACAAAAATTTGTCAAGCTTTCAAAATAAAATGGTACTAGACTGGTACCACTAGTACCGCTGCGAGCCCCAACTGGGCAGTACCACAGGCGGGCCTTGGGAGGGCAAGTCCCTTTTTTAAGAATTTTTGTTAACATTCACAGTGGCAAAGTATTTCTTTCAAAATTGACTTTGTAAGAGATGGAAGCAGCCTCTAAGAGGAATTTAAAGCATTGCATTCTTTAGAGATTAGTTCAATAGAGTAAGAGCTTTTGGTGCTGCTAGAAAAATCTTACTTAGACCTGCACAGTTTTAAGTTGAGAGTGAAAACACCAGCAGGGATATTAGGGTAGTTACCTCCCTCCCCCTCATTTTCTCTATTGAGTGGTCTATCTTAAAATTTTGTTATATGCACAGGAGACACATTTCTCTAAATAGAATAGGATCTGGTCCCATCAACCATTAGTGCTGCTTCTGAAAGCAAATTCGCTGTTACATGACACAAGCTAGGGACGACTTTTGTTGCTTCAGTTAAAACTTAAGTTTCGCTTCCAATTATACCACGCTTATTCAGTCCTTTATTGATTTTTTCCACTTTTGTCTTATTGCTTTCCGTCTTACCTATTTACAATAATGATTTAACTTCAGGGGAATATATAAAGAACTGGAGACCAAGATATTTCAAATTGATGAGTGATGGAAGTTTTCTTGGCTTTAAGGAGAAGCCAGCAAAAGAAAACACAGAGCCACTAAATAATTTCTCTGTTGAAAGTAAGTTTGCTTGGAATTTTCCCCAATATTGTAGAAGAAGAAACTGCAGAAATATGATGCGGCTTTTACATTGCATCATGTTTTTTGTAATACTATTGACCCAAAGTTTTTTGGATTATATCCTTTAGTATTTTAATACTTTAATTAAACACTATAAAAGTATTTTAATTCTATTATTTAGTTTATGGCTCTGTGTTTACATGGTATCTTGTGATATCATTTAATTCAGTGGAATATTTGATCTCAAAGTAAAATTTTGGTGCCTCTTTCTTGTACTTTAAGTACAAGAAAACAGAAACATGGCAATTATTGGTCAAGGATATTTGAAGAATATATTTTTATTCTATTATTACATTACAAGCATATTTCTATTTCTAAATGTTATTATGAACATACTGCTGTGTAAGACATTGAATAATCATGTAATTAGTTTCACATATACCTTTAGTCCCTTGTTTTGTTTAAAAATAATACCAAGCTTATCACATTAAAGCCATAGATTAAAAAGTTCAATGGTTTAGAAATGTCCATTGAAATGTCTTAGAAATGCTTTTCTTTAAGTGAGAAAAAGGCCAAGAATTGATTTTTCATATTTATGTTTTACATCTTTACAGGAGCACAGGTTATGCAAACAGAGAAACCAAAAGCTAACACATTCATAATACGGTTTGTAGTTTTGTTTTTGAAGTAAAAATTCACAAAAAGACATGCTTTTAAATTTCACTTGCAAAATTATGCTTTCATTTTGAAAAATGATACCTTAAAATCTGCAAATGTTTAATTTTTACTGAAAAGCTTTTAATGAAAATTTTTCCTGGTTTTCCAAATCAGAAAAGGCACTATGGATATTTATTTATCTTGATGAAGATAATTTTTCTGATATTGTTCACTGACTTTGATAGGTAATTAACGTAACTAACGTAACATAACTAACGTAATTAGGTGATTTAACGTAAGGTTGCTTATTTATGTAGGGAAGTACCAATTATTTGTAGATATCATTTTATGATATACTTTAAATACAGCAAATATAACAAAATGTAACTGCTCTTACAGAAATAACACGAGTCAAGATATAAAAACTTTTAAGGGAACTAGGAAAATAGTCTTTGATAACAGGAGTTGATAACATGACACAAATTTTTTAGTGTTAATGAGTGTTGACCATGATGAACAAGTTTTTCATGGTGTTTTTTGTAGTTAGCTGTTTGCTTAGCATACTTTCTACTAGCATACTTGTTTGAAAAATTCAACAAATTCTTGGGATCTTTCTGTTTTCAGTCAAATCTCCCAGTTTCTCTTAAGAAAAATCCAAGATTTCCAGGTTTTGAAAATTTTAGGTGGACATTTATTTTAAGGAACTGAAGTGGCAAAATATAAAGAGGGGCTCATTTGAAGTGTTAATCTAAAAGCCAAGTTTTGATATACAATTTGCAGACAGGTATCTGCTGCCCTTAAGTTTGACAAGCTCTGTCAAGTAAAAATGAAGGAAAATAGTTTTGTCAGGAGGGTATGCCTTTTTGCAAAATTTTCTGAATTACAATAATTGCCCAATTGATACTTTTATTTCGTCAGGAAACCATTGGTGTAGATTTTCTTTTGATTTTTGACTTAGAAATATGTTAGCTAGTGAAATAGTAAAGAATAGCCATGCAAACAGGGACTCCAACAGGCTATTTGTCATAACTACTGCCTTATGTTGTTTTGAGAGAGCACATCCAAGGTAAGGGGCCCCCACTACTGGTTGTGACTTTTCAAGCATACACACTGCAAAATTGGATTTTTACGCTCACGCAAACAATAAATGCAATATCAGCTATTGCTCATCAGAGCCCTATTTGAAGGACTACAACACTACTTTCAAACTTGGAATACTAATTTTTAAACCCCAATTTACTGCAAATTTTCTGTTGTCAGATGTGAATTGTGTACTTGGTAAAAATTTCAAATATTAATTGATCTTCTAGATGTTTCCAGCTAACAACACTTGTTGAAAGAACTTTTCATGTTGAAACAAGCGAGGAAAGGTAAATATTGATTTTGCTTCTTTTTATGTTTTTGTGAGTCTGATAACTATGAAATCTGATAACTGTCAAGATTGAGACAATATGAAGATGATGGATTGACTTAGAATTGAGGAATTGACCTTCTTTGTAAACGTTTTTAGATTCAAACCACTGTGCCAATAATCACTTCCATGTGCTTGAGAAATACTTGAGGTAGAAAATTTTCAGAATGTCAGGAAAATAGTAGGCTACAATGTAACTAACCAATTTAAGGATTTATAGGCTGATCGAGTACCACATAAAACGCATGATGATGGAGAAGAATCTAAATTTGAAAGTGCAACCCTTAACAGATTAAGCTTTACAGGCTAATCCTGAATGCAAACAAAAATGGCCTAAGGATAACTGTATCTTGTTACTCAGAATGGTGTTACATGGATAAATGTCAATTAGTAAGCTTGTATTTCAAATACCAAGAGTCCAACAATTGAATGGTTTGCTAATGTTGTGATCACGTTTTTGGTGATTTCAGATCTTTATGGGTTAATGCAATTGAAGAAATTTCAAAGCGCTTGCAGGAAGAGGAAGATTCTTCAAGCAAAACCAGCACACAAAGTTCAGACAGTGACTCTGATCGAGTTAGTCATTTAATCTCATTATTTATATTATTGTTATGAAAATTTTATTTACGAAAAAGCATGTTTCTAGATTGAATTTTATCATCTTCAGGTTTAGTGCATTGATATCAAGAGAAAGGTGGATTTTATTCTTAGGATTCACAATATTTTTATAGTTTACTTTGCTAAAATGATCCTGGAAAGGTATGAAAAATAATGAATTTGACATGGCACTTCTGAGCTACAGCTTACTTTGTACATATTGGGGAACTGAGAGATGTTTGTTTTTATCGAAATGTTTGTTTGATTTTTCAAAAAAGCTTCAGCTTTGCACAAGTATTCCAACAATTTTGGCAAGGATTGTCGTTTCTAATTCTATGCATAATTGTATTTGTATTAGTATGTGCGATTTTCTAGGCTGGTAGAAAGGGGTTTCTGACTATCTTTGATAGTATATCGAAGCACTTATTCTCTTTGAAGCCTATCCCTTACATTTTACTTCTTTTTTTAACCAAACGGCATCTCTGTCTATGTTTATACCAAGTGATCAACAGTATAATCAATCTGTGGTGGTTAGCTGTCTTTTGTATTTAACTGCCGAAGATGAATTTCGATTTATCGCTCACTGCTTTTGTCAGAGCATCTCTGTTTTGCTAAAAATCACAAGTTTGTTTCCAGATCCATCTACCAGCATATTTTTAATCATATAAGCACCAAGCTTTTTATCAACTATTGTTTTTGTTAGATGTCTAAATCTTTTCCCTTCTCAATAGGGATTGAATTTCTTTTGTCAAAATTTGTCATCTTGTTTTAGACGCTTGAGGACTTTGAAATGATGAAAGTTTTGGGAAAAGGAACATTTGGAAAGGTGATGATTTCTTTCATTGATTTTTGCTGATCCAAAACCATTTAGATGTGTGTCATTTGAAATTAAAAAAAATACGACACTGTATAGCTTAGTTCAGATACATATAAACCAAATATTCTCGTTATGTACCAATGCAAGCTTGTTAACAAATATATAAACAGATTATTAACGATTTTTTAAAGGAACAAGAACAATTACAAATCTTTTTGAAACATATTTATTTTTAATGATCACTATTATAACAAATTATTGTTTCAGTTAATTTGCTGTCTTCCTAGTATAAAGTTTAAAGTCACTGTTTTGTTTTTCTTTTGAGTTTATTTAAGGTAAGAACGTTTTTGGTTATTATAAAAGCCATTCAAACATCCAATGTTTTCCTTTGGCCAACGGATATTTTTTTTGCATTTCACAATGGTATTAGTAGAAAATGAAGTGTCACCTCAGCCGTTTACTTTGGTGACTAGACTTTGAAATTTGTTTTGATTTGAATTTGTATAATTTTGGTGTAGCTTCTTTTCTGGTTTTCTGATTCAATAATTATATACTTATAGGTTATGTTAGGCAAAGATAAAAAATCTGGGGAAATATTCGCTATCAAGATATTGAAGAAAGAGGTCATCCTTCAGAAGGTATTTTTCTTTTTATATGATTAAACATTAATATTCCCTTGCATTTATATCTTTGCACTATTTGCCAAGTATTAGTACATATTGCTAAATATTACTACATCTTTATGCAGTCCAACTAGCTTCAAGCTGTTATCTTTGCATTTGACGTGCTTGAATTCCCAGGTACAGCTATCGGTATAAACGCCTCATCACATGCGGTATTGCGTGCCTATAAAGTACAACCTTTCAAAGCCATCTCTTATTCAAGGGCGTATGTATTTTGAAAGCAGGGAAATAACCTTGAAGCTTGGGTAGAGAAGGGGAAGGAGAGGTTGCCAGATCTCAACATCTTTTGTCAAAGATTGTAGATTTTTGTTCATCTAGCTGTTGTTGCGTATTTGCCAGTATTTGATAACTCAAAACCAGCATGTCCAGTTTCTTCTATTCAACACGTAGGACGAAGTTGAGCACACTCTCACTGAAAACAGAGTCCTTCAAAGTGCCAAACACCCTTTCCTTACTGTAAGTACAATCTTTGCTTAAATGATACCATCTTGAGTCTTAATGATTTGAAAATTTCCTGTTTGCTGTAAGACTCATTTGAAAGCTGGATATCTCAGCTAGCATTTTTAAACTTTTAGTGGAATGAGATGTCATCATAGAAATTTGTGTTTTTTAAAGCACCTTTTGCAAGTCCTGTTTCTTTTTTTCGCATGTCACAGGAAGCAATCTTTCAAAGCCTGCTTCTGTGAAAGGATTATAGCGTTTGGATCAATGTATTTTTCTTTCAAGCTACTTTTGATTTTTTCACTAGTTTCGTCATTATATAGCACAACAGAAAGACTGATTATTTCTTTATCCTATGCTATCCTGAATTTTGGTTAAATGTTAAACAGTTTGAGTCCGTCAACTCGTCAAGCGAATGAAAATTTAAAAAGCTTAAATTTTTTCTGTTCTTTACTTTATGTTTAGAATTTCGTTTAAAATGTAACTGAACACTTTGGCGATGCCATAAATAGAGTCCATTGTATGCCTTTTTTGACACAAATTTCATGGCGATTTAAATCTTGCCTTTAACACTCTAACATGATGATGAATCTTTACAAAAAAGATTTTTGTAGCTCCAGTCCATCCACTCATTTTGTACATGCAAAATTCAAGTTCTTGTTGTTGAATTATTTTACAGCAATTGCGGTTCTCCTTTCAAACGAAGGACAGACTGTGTTTTGTAATGGAGTATGTCAACGGTGGAGAGGTAAGACGCTACTTAAAAATTTACCCTCAGCTGTTGCAAAAATGGCAGCTGTATGCTGCGAATTTTTGTGGCTTTTGTTTCTGTTATTGCTGAGAAAATCATGTAGTTTGTTATCTAGCGCTGCATGCGTTATTCGTTTAAAAATCATTTAGAAGAAGTAGGAGTTTTGTGAGTTGTCAAACATATCGTAACAGTTAGGCCTTTGTTTGTTACAGTATAAATGTTTTCTTCTTAAAGGCATTGAGTCATAATAAAATGGATTAAGTATACCCTAAGTGCCAAAATCCGCTGAATCATGATTTTCATCATTACAATGCTATTGGCTGGCCTGGAACTGGTCACATGAACTCACCTCGTACTGATTAACAAAACAATTTCCATCAATAGCAAGTTGTCAACAACGGATGCAAATATCACACGAAACAGCAGCGATCACGCCGAAACCAAAGGCCCCCCTATAGAGAAGGCCTATTTACCATGACTCAATGCCTTTAATCATTAGTGTTTATTTTTCAATTCTGTTCCGTGTTTTTACAACAATATTGCTGAAGTATTGTCTCTTACTTCATTTCAGTATTTCTCATTCAATTTCAGCTATTCTTTCATTTGTCGCGAGAAAGAGTGTTCTCAGAAGAGCGTTCTAGATTTTATGGAGCAGAAATAACTTGTGCTGTCAAGTATCTTCACGAGAGAAATATCGTCTATCGTGACTTGAAGGTAATTTTCTTCTGTTGTAAACTCAAGCTTGATGGATCTCAACACACTCCCAAGCTCTTGTGCTGAAACGATATCTTGACTGCCAGTCTATACATTGCTTTAATGGGAAAAGAACTGGGCACCACAATATTTCCAGGACTAGATCGTTTCAACATCATGAAAGTGCTCCTTCTGTCTGTTTTACTTGAAAGCATGTGGCATAAGCCTTTAAAATTCGATTTCAGTTCTGTGTCAGTTTTTAATTATTCATCAGTCGTGTCAAAATTCGACAAAATCATATGGCGGAATTAGACTGTGTTGCACTACAACGAGCTGATTCGAGAAGTTCTCAATATGTTGAAGTTTATCGAGATAGACACTCCCTCAAGTGCCACCCTTATTTTAATTAAGTTTTCATGGTTTTTCATATTACTCTCTCGTGCCCAAAGAAGTTCAAGCAAGCATTTTAAAAGTTTATCCGATGTAACATATTTTTGAGCACTTAGAATGACTTAATTTAACCCTTTACATGTAATACTTTAATGTCGACAGTTTTTTGTTTATCGATGACAAATAATTTTTTTCGGATTTTTCCCCTTTGCAGCTTGAAAACCTGCTTTTAGACGCCGAAGGACACATAAAGATTACAGATTTTGGATTATGTAAAGAAGATATATCATTTGGGGACACAACAAAAACATTCTGTGGAACACCTGAATACCTCGCTCCAGAGGTTTGTACGTTGATTGTGTTCTATTGCGTCCGTTAGCGTTGGGAAATAATGACTTATATACACTAGGCCCAAACAGAAATATTTATGGACTATGTTTTTCTTTGTCTTCTTTTCCTTTTTCTTGGGAATCTTTTCATATATGTTAAACATATTTTGTTAGCGAGAGGTATTTGTATCTATTCGAAGCTCTCTATACTTTTTTCCGTATTATTTAAGCGAAACTATCTTCGGAATCTTTATAATTTTTCTTGAGCCCGGCTTTATTGTTATTCTACGGATTGTCAAACGAATGGGTCCGACATTCTACTGTAGATTTACGGAAACACTGATTATCTGTAAAAAAGTTTTTCTGTTTTGAAACTTTTGAGTCAAATTTATAGATATTTTCTGCTATCTGCTGACGTATTATCTCAAAGTAGAACACACATTGCTCTTTAAAATTTTATGCTCTAGTGGGGGTGAATCAAAAGATTGTACTGAGAATTTCCTGTTTACAATAAATAACTTGCAATTTCTATGTAGCTGAAGATTTGGGATTTTCCATACATCTTTTTTATTTCATCTTTATTTTTCGATAAATGCTGTTTACCAACGAAAGAGCATTTTTCGATACATTAAAATGTTAGAGTGATAAACTTTTCAATGTACAAAGAGGAGCGCGTTTTGTCCTCAGAACGTTAATGTGAAGGGGCCTTAAATGAAGAGGTTTTGTTTAATAGCAGTATTACGGGATGCTAATGGCCTCTTAGACTAAGTGTCATTTCGTTATCACTTTGTTGGTAAGGCCAAATTAATTGCATTTACCTATAGATTCACAGTAAATAACAGGAAGATTCAAATCAGGCCCGTCTCCTTTTCGCAGGTGCTTGAAGACAATGATTACGGTCGCAGCGTTGATTGGTGGGGCTTTGGTGTTGTTTTATACGAAATGTTATGTGGAAGGCTGCCATTTTACAACAGGGATCATGAAGTTTTGTTTGAGCTTATTCTCAGTGTAAGTAGTTAAATTGCGTCAAGCACTAACTTTTGCTACTTTAAACAAGCTATTGGAAGTGTGGAGAGTCCTAGGTTTCTAGCTTAAAGTTTATGTCCGCATGACAAAGAGCCGTTGATGAATTTATGTGTTGTTGTAGAAAGAAATGCGCTGCTAACTATTTATTTCGAGGTGTAATATAGTTTTTCTAATCTTGATAATGAGCTGAAACATTATTTTTAAATGAGGTAGCCTTTGGAAGTGTAATGATTAGATTTTGTTCCAAAAACATGTTACCTTGTTTCAAAACCACTTTAGTTCTAAGCTTCCAAAGTTTTATGATGTCAATTTTATTTTAAGTAGATCTCATTTAACTTCCAGCTCTATTCATTTAATCATGTTTGTGCAAATCTGAAAATCCATTGTCTTAAACCAATAATTACTTACCTTAAATAATTTATAGTTTATGTTTGAACACTGTGTGTAGGGCTGCCATGTTTTTTACGAGAGAAATACTGCAACCAAGCATAGGTAGATCTTTTCCAATAAATAATTTATTACCTTTTAAATCTGTAATTCCATTATATAGTTATCTGTATGGGCTGCAAAATTTTTTCGAACAGATCAATTTTCAAGCTTTTTTTACAATGTTTATTACTTTTGCTTTCAGGAGGAAGTTCGCTTTCCTTCGCGATTGTCAGAGGTTTCCAAAAATGTTCTTTCTGGCCTTTTGACAAAGGATTCCAAGAAAAGGTAAATTATTTCCAGCTCTAATACACTAAAGTCGTGTTTATGTTGAAGATCGTTGATGACCTGTCCCTTCAAATAGGAAACTTCCCACTCTGCCCGTCAATACACGTGTAAGTCTAGCCTTTCGAGTATTGATTGCTATTAAGGAATTGAATTGACGTATCTTCATCACCTCACGTCCAGGACAAATGATTCATCCTCAAAACATTTCTCCCTGTCAATATCTCACTGTAATCTTTGCATATATAGAAAATTAGTAGGTCACCATCAGATTTACCGCTTATGTTCATTTATGATCTCAGTTGATGTTAATGGAAAATTTAGTGATTTTATTAAACAAGTGTTCAGTACGCCTGTACAGTTGTTTATGAAATCGCCACTTGTTACAAGTGTTGATTATTTTTGTCTGCAGACTTGGCGGAGGTAGTCGTGACGCATATGAAGTGATGGAGCACCCATTTTTCCATGGCATTAGCTGGGATGATGTTTATAATAGAAAGGTGAACAAAGATAACACGTTTTTTCCTTCTTGCAAAAAACTGTAAAATCGGCATATTTTAACTATATATGTTATATTTTCACTTGTTTATGATATGTTACTTTGTTCTCTCTCTGTGCCCACATTTCCCTTTATCTCATTCTTTTATTTCTTTTTATTTCCTGCCACCTATTTAATCTGTTAAGAATTTCGTGTCATTTAACACCTCTTTGCTTACGTTTTTCTACGTTTTACATTTTATATTTATGTACAAATGTTATATGTGATTGTCAAATAGTTATGGTACTGTTCATTTGTGGATTTAATTTGTCAATTTGCAGCTCCGTCCGCCATTCAAGCCTGAGATCAAGGGCGAATCAGATGTAGGAAACTTCGACCCTGAATTCACAACGGAAACTCCACGCTTAACGCCACCAGAGAGCTCAGGTTTGTCCTCTCGATTTCACAACAATATACGTTATTTCCATTCGTTGTCTAATAATTGCAGTTGAGAAGTGTTCAGTTCTTTAATCCACTGCTTGTAAGCCCTTCTCATTATAAATTTTTAAATTGCGATTCTGCAAGAAATGTTTCCTGGCTTAGAAATTTTTTGAACAAACTTTCAATGAATAAGCAATTTCACAGTTTTTGCCGCCATTCTAGCTACAAAATTGACTGGAAATTCTGCGGTAATTTGCTCGTTTGCTGCGTGTCCGCCATTTTTGCCAATTCATAATGGCGGCAAAAACTGTGAAATCGCTTATTGCTTACGAGATAGAAGACTTCAAAGTTAAAAATGAAGCATACTAGCAATATTTAAGCAAGAATTTTTCTGTTAAAATTTGTCTCCTTTGGGTGAATGAGATATTTAGTGGCTTGTATTAGTCTATACACAGCGTTTACATTTGAGTCATACTTTTCGTTGGCCATTTAAATTCTCATTGGTTAGACTATACAATAGACCTATTGTTACGGAACCAATCGGCCAATCATCCATGTTTCTCGATTTCAAACACGCTGCAAAGCCTATCGTTAACTCAGAACGGTTGACTGACGGGACATACAGTAGGAAGCCGCGTGTAAGAACCTTCTTTTTTCAGGGTTTGGCAAAACAGGTTCTTGTATTATTGGGTATTTATTGACAGTCTAGGCTTAATGGGTTCTTAGTTAAGTTCTTAATTTCTACAGAGTATATATTGATGCTGGTTATCAAAAAATAGCATTAAATCTTGTCTGTTCTTCATTCTAAATTTTAATTAGTGTACCAACATTGTCCAACAATTGATCAATGATACAGTACAGTATATAAAATAATACCAATAAATTTTATTTTAACATACATTGTGCATTTTGAGTTTTATTTTAACATTTCAATTTCTTATCCCTTTTTTTGGTTTTTTGTAAAAAAGTATATAAATTAAATGATTAAACCTCAATTATTAGAACCTGTTGGAAATTGTTTGGGGGATGAAAAAAGCAAATTTTTTGCCAGAAGGTTCCCAAATCCCTAGTTTACACGCGTCTTTTTGCTGTAGTGCCTTTAAACTTCAAAGCAAGATGCGGGAAACATGATTGCCCTCGACCGACAAAGCAGCAATAGTTCGGAAAGCTTCCTTAAACGAGAAATTAATTGAGTTTTTAAAAAATGTTGAACTAAGGATTTTATACATTTTTTTGTAGTTCTATCCGAAGACGCGAGCAAGCCAGTTTTTGGAGAATTCGCATATCAAAAAAAGTAACTATTTGCGCGGAAAATTCTTCTTGTCTGTGTACCAATGTCTTGACGTAAAATAGTTTTATTAATCTTTGGAAAATTTACCAAACGTTTTGGGAAATAAACTATCGTTTTTGCTAGTTATTTACGAAGCATTCGTTGTCGTTAAGAGAATAAGAATGTTTTGGGGGGGGGGGGGGTGTTATCGCGCAGGTGAAGATAATCATCTCATTTCAATCCTATGATAGTTTCAATCCTATTATCTCAGTCTTAATAGTAGTATCATACTGTAAAGGTCGTATATAAATTCGATGCTCTGCCTGCAGCCGAGTTGATGACTTATTTTATCAAACATTATTATTATACTCATTTCTTTCTGTGGTTCACTTAAAGGCTACTGAAATGACAAACGACATGACGTCTTTCGCATTGGATATTGTATGTCATCCAGCCCCGTGCAACCCCTGTTTGATATTCTGCAATAGGTCTCTGTCATAAGGATTCGCTTGGTTAACATCGTTTAAATTACGTAGTAGCAGGGGGGTTTATACATGCAACGCCAAGGTAGATTGTCGTTAGGTACCACCACTATATGGTTGTTTCAACCGTTTTGTAGTGAAATTTTTTTATTGTTTTAAATTAAAAAGGTGATTAGTTGAATGTTTGAATCATTAAACTTGTTGCATTGGAAAGTAAAATTTCGATGATGAAGACAAAAACTGTTTGTTATGATAACTTATCAATCGCCAATGAACCTATCCTAATAAATTTAATTCTTGGCTACATCCTAAAGAGCTAGTAATAATTTGATTTGTGAAAGATGGAAATTTTTCTATTGAATAACTTTGTTTCGTTGCTTATGCACCTTCTTCTAACATGTTTAATGAACTCTGATAATTTTTTTTGGAAATATCAATTAATTTTGTAGACAAGATAAGGAGGGGCTTGTGTAATCCATAAAATGGCTAGTTTTGTAGTATTTGATTTCTAATATTTTTGATAATTTTAAGATAGAAGATGAACATTTTTTGCTATTCTAGTAGTCCTTATCTTCGCAGTTTTTATTAAATACGATATATTCTGTTAATTTTCGCCTCTTTTTCGTTGTTTGTTGTTCTTTTGAAGCCAAGAAAATTGAAAGATTTATGCACATTGATATAGACCATGTCGCGATTTCGAATTGATTTATGTTTTAATATTTTCGTAATGAAGTTTTGGGTTTGGTGTGCAGAACAGGTTGATTCTAAAGGTTCTAACAGGTAAAGCGTTACCAGCCCACTATTCAACAGACATGTAAAAAGTAATCTTCATTAATACTGTGCCATCGGAACGAAATTCATATTGGGGGAGGGGGGCACCCCATTGTATTGCTTCCTATTCAGGACACTGTTATAGAGGGAACATACCACAGTTTGACAATTTTTGGGGGGCTTCATACCCCCCTCGCTTCCGACGCCCCTGATAAGATGAAATTAATTTAAAAGGACTTTGTAATTAATCAGATGTTTTAGTCACTCATTTGCAATAGCTGCATCAAGAATATTTCATTGAAAAAAATACTTCAATTCAAAATTCTGCAAATTAAAATCCTGTCAGTTCGCAGGCACTCAATATTTCTTCGATTTCTACTTTTATTTCTTGGGCTTTGAAAAATGGGCTTCAAGCTCTAGCCATGAAGGAATTTTTTTTTGGTACGTTAAAATGGCATCAAAGAAACAGAGCTGCCACCAAGGACGTGGTGGCCTGGGGGAAAGGGGCCGTGGCTCCCTCTGTTTTCAAAACTTGAGGGATTTTCTAAAAAAAATTACTGTTATGTCGGAAAATTCTCACACTTGAGCTGTGGTTAAAACGGAAAAGTGAAACGAACTTTTAAGCGACATAAATTACCTGAACTAAAGTATTTTCGAGGAGCAATTCACTTTTGTCAAGGGAATACTAGATTTCCACAAAAACAAAATGATTTCGCAGGATCCACCGATCTCCCCCATAGAGTGATTTGCTAATCGGATTTTGTCAGTTAAAATCCGAATCTTCAAAGGCCAAATTTGGTTACGGATATTGCTCAATATTAGTCATAACTTATATATATTTTTGATATTGAAGACCGGAAAGTGTCAATTTTGTGCCTATCGCCAGATTTGAAAATTTTGTCCCAGACTTGAAAAATTATGCAGTTATGTTGTATAAGGTAAAACACTTATAAAGGGGAACAATGAAGACAATCAATACCGTCGCTTTCCGCCAGTTGATACTCATTTTAAGAATAAGATTTTATTATTAAAATTTACTCCAAAGAATGCAATTTCTGGTGAACTTGAAGCATTAAGATTATAAAAAAATTTCCCCCTTCTGCGGCAACCATGGTGTCGCCTTGGGTAGTAACTTGATCTACCCTTCTACTGATCTATATGTAGGTCACGCCCCCCTTAACACTTACATGAAATGCTTTCATTAGATTGAAATAAATCAAAGAACTTTTGTCGGAAAATGTTTCTTTCTGGCCCCTCTAGAATTCATTGGCCACGACGCCCCTTGGTTTCACAGTAAATTATTTTGGCATTCAAAAATTACAACTCTATCAACCTCCTGGTTGTGTCTTTTTCTTGCCCTTTCAGTGTCTGCCATAATATTTGTATGCCACAACACGGAAATGTCTTTCCTTATGCAGTTCCTTATTAAATAACACCGAGGTTAATATATCATCAAAACTCTGAAATAAGGAGATGGAGATCAAGGGTATAATAATTATACAGTGGGATTTCTTTCAAAACAGAACAGTTCTTAAAAAAAATGCATATGAAAATTGTTTTTTATAATGCTAATCTTATAAGGGGGTCAATTTGAAACTAGCTAAACTATATTTCTATGAATAAATTATTAGACTTGTTTTAATACCAAACAAAAAAGAGTGGATATTGTGGGTTTGGTACATATTCCATAATGGTCTTTTGGATTATGTAATCCCATAGAATGTATCTTTTCACGTCATACTTTCTCTTTCCCTCCTCCCCAACTACACGAACTAAGCTCCTTCGCTTGAGTTAGAGGGTTTAATGTTTTGATTAAAATGGCGGGCGGAATTGACATGAGAATGCACAAACCGCATCATCAGTGGTTAGAGAGAGTTGAAAGAAAAGTTTTCAACGTTTTTGAGTCATTGCGAGCCGTTTATCTCGATATATTGGAAGGTAAATGTGGATTTCTCGTCTATATGTGCTTCTTCAACCAACGTATTATAAGTCAGGCCTATAAAGTAGAGTAGGTTAGGCCTGGGAGGACGATTGTTAATATAGATTTTCACCAAAGAAATTAATTTCTCATCATTTGATACCGTAATTATGTAAATATTCTTTCTATAGATATCCAGTTTATCCAACAATGATGTTTTAATCGATGAATTTATAGCAATTAAGTTTTTATTCCCATGATTTGTTTTCCCGCCAAAATTCTTGAGATTTTTTATGAGCAAAATATCGTGTTCCCGTCCACCCTACCCGAGGATTTATTTAAATGTGCAATGATAATCAAAATTTTGCAGTGATAAAATCAAATTTGTGCAGTGATAACTTTTTAAGAGAGCCATTTTAGAAAAATTCCAAAAAAATTTCCTGAAAGTAAATGCCATCCTGATGATCATCATTACAAATAACAAACTAATTATAAACAGTAAATAGGGAATAGTTTAAGAACTTCGCTGGACCAGCTTATTTCATGTTCTTCTTGTTCAATATCTCGGCTTTCGAAAACTTTCTGGAACCAAGACTGCTTGTCAGCTTTTGGGATACCTTTGTTTTGACGTTTTCTATCTATATGAAGTAGTGAAGAGCTGGTCGTGGATCGTATTCTGCCAATACAGGCATATTCCAATTTATGTACAAATTGCTACTGATTGTTTGGTGTTGAAGTCAGTTTCTTGAACATGTTGTAGAGACTGTATGCAAAAAACTATCCTCTCGCAATCTCCAGACTGGGGCTTGCAAACAAGAATCCTAGCTAAAACTTTTTTCAGGGCATCATAATCAGGTGCAGAAAGCTTGCAAGATTGCTTTCGGATTTCCTTTTATCCATGCTGCTCTGTTTTACATCTTCGTATTGGTTAGCTAAGGTAAAGGTCAATATCGGATGCAACTGCATCATGGACCTCCCTCAAAAATGCCATCTTTATCTGAAATAAATTTCACGAAGTTGGAAAAACTGGCCTTGGCATTTTCATCCATTACCAGTCTGTTTCTCCTGAAATTTTCCAATGCAAGCAAAATTTCGGACATTATTGCATTGAAATTTCTTATTTCAGAAACAAACTGATTCATCTTTCTTTGGCAAAGTTCTTTTTGCTAGAGCATTTTCTCAAATAATGTAACCCTTCTCTTCATTGAAAACTTTCCTGAACATATTTTTCCCAACCGCCCAAAATTGTGCCTTCATGTAGCTTTCCAAGCTTTTTTATGAACTTTGTAGCTTCTGGAACTAGCTACATCTACTATAGTGATATCATCAGCTTGTAGCTTTTCTGGAATATTTTCAGCAGAAATAACACATCACCAAGAAAGCATATGAGGGTCAAGTTGTCTTTGTTCAATAGGAGTTTTCTAAATCCCTTTGCTTGTTCCTCTTTGGATCTTTCAAAATATCAATTTAATGCTCTCCATGATGAAAGGATGGCAGAAATTAGGGAAGCTGTGAACTCTGACCATCTAATTTCAAAATATTTTGGTAACCAACAAACACAAAAACTTGGCTCTTTTGCAACTTCTTCAAGCTCGGATGTGCATGCAGCTGATGCATGAAAATAAGTTGATATGCCAGAAAGTTTTCTTAACAATACACCAACTTCTTCTACAACTTTACAGACATCTTTGAATGCAAGTGCAGAAGAATGCACGGCACAGACTGACTTTAGCATTGGAAATTGCACTCTTTTTTTTCCCTTGTCTATGAGCTTCCATAAGCCTTTATGCTTTCCGACGTTCTTATTTTCTCCATCTGTTGACAAGTGGCTTGCAAATTGCAGCACTTTACAAAGCCAAGACCAACATATTGCAAGGATTCTTTGCCTTCTTTCTTAATTGTTTTGATGAGCATGAAATCATTATCTTTCTATGTTCTGTCCATTGAAGCATGGCAACAAAAAGAAACAGTGAGGCTATTGCCAATATCTTCCTGGAATTTTGGGATATCAGCTTTGACTATGGTGTCAAGAAGCTCCTGGTGACATGCTGGAGTGACATACTGTAGATCGAAGGTTGATGCAAGATAGGGCTGAAATTGTGCATTGATGTCAAATTGCTGGGCAATCTCAGCTGTTACGAGCCTTGACGGCCAGGAAAATGCAGAGGCAGTTAACAATTTAGCATCATTATATACATGTGTTATCAACTTTCCAACTTTATCAGCAAATTCCTTATTTTGGGCCTTAGAGATCTTAAACAATGGTACCGTCTCCACTTTCTCTTTATCCAAAAGGGTGGACAGTATTGCCTCCATTTTCTTGGTTTTCCACTCTCAGCCCCCATGCACAGGATGAAAAAGGCACGAATAATGGTCGCTCTGCTTGATGCTATTTGTGACATTTTGAATTGTTTTGGGTCGTTCTGTGTAACTTTGGGTCGTTAGAGCTGGTTTTGGCTGGTTATGGGTCGTTTTGGCTTGTTTTTGGATGATTCCATAGTTTAGTAGAACCGTTTCTGACCAAAAATGGCCTTTTTGTTCTGTCTGTAGATTTAAACATTTTGGTACAACCTTTGCTTGTCATGGTGCATTATGTATGAAAGAAATGAGTTTCTAAGTATTCTAAAATACTTGATTTGTGTTTTGATGAATAGTTCTTATGTTTCTGCAACCATTTATTCTATAATGCTAATATCACTTTTTGACAGGATCATCATTAATCTCAAACTTAGAAGAACCAAATTACTGTCAAAATTGTAAAAGAGAGAACAAAGAAGAAATTGCAAAATCAAGTTGCCTGGATGATGATTTTCAAGAAAGGTAAATCGTCCTTATACTCTGTTGGATGATATTGTTTACATAACTAGAATATATATTGAGTTTGAGCAAATAGTGAAGATATAACAGACATGTTTTCAACGGGTCAGATTTCTTGGTAGCTTGTCAACTAGAGTCAATTTGAAGCTTTAATTGTCAACTGTGCCAGCAAAATTTTGTTGGAAGTCAGATATTATAAAATGTTTGTTAAAATATTTGATTAATGTTCACATATAGTAATTGTTATTTCCATGCAGATCATGCAAAACCATCCATTTTGTCAGATAAGTAAGTTATTAATAAGGTTGTGGAATTTAGCAAGGAATGGGTTAAGACCTGTGTTCAGGTATTTATATGAAAATATGAGTTTGAGGACAATGAATATTGTTCACCGGGAGTATTTTTGCACATATCTTTGATATATTGAACTTTTCAAGTTCTTATTTGGACATTTTAAAATTGAGTTTCAACTTTTTTGTAAAGATCATTTCAGCAAGCAAGGAGAATATTAGTTTAATACTCTCAGGCATGTATTTGGTTGATGATTGATCTTAAACTCTCTTTAATCAGAAGAATATACAAAAAACTGTTGGCTGCCACAACTGTACACACACACAACTGTACTAAAGAACTGCAATGTGCTAAAGTCCTGTACTAAAGTACTGGATGTGCAAATTTCTTGAGAACCACCTAATTTTTTTGTTATTAATCTTTGTTTGAAAGTTTCCTCTTTACCAAAATTTTGTTCTTGCCAAGTATATTTGTCACATCATTGACAATAATTGTGCGGAAGTTCCGCATAGGGAGTGAAATTTTTTTTATATTTACTGCCTAGCATTTGAAAGTAGTTTTTAGGACACTGAGCATCTATGCTTATTGGGCAGTGTTCTCATCCTCCCTCTGGTTGTGACCACACCTTGTGATTCCGTTGTGACCACACCTTGTGATTCCTACATCTGAAAACACAGAGAGCTGGCAACTCTCCTCACTTTAGGTGAAAGTTTGTTTATGTCAGGGGGCTCGAACCCTTGACATACCCTAGCGTCTGTAGCTAGCACATCTAGCCACTGAGCCATGCTCACACACAGGAAAATCTACAGGGGAAAAAAACTTGTTCGCAATTCAGAAATTTTAGAGTCAGAGAAGTAAGAGACGGAGAAAAAATTAGGTGGCTGTAACAAAAAATGTCTGACAGATGGGAAATTCAGTTTTAGATAGAGAGGAGTTCAAGGTGGAGGGTATTCAAGATATGGGAAGTTGACTGTTTTTAGTTTTGTCTAGCTACTGTAGTTACTAGATTTCAAGACTTTTTATTGCTGATATATTTCACTGGCTTTGGGAATGACATTTATTTGCAAAATTATATTTCAGCCAATTAGTTTTATTCCTACCAAAACTTTATGTCTTTGAGCTTTGTAATTATCTCAATCACAATCATAAAGCTCTGGGATGTTTCTTGCCCTAGAAAATTTAATTTAATTTTAGTTTCTTCCTTTGCTTGTCCATTTGAATTAAAATATTGTTGTAATAGGAAAATTTCACGAACATTTGTTCTTACCTCTTCGGAAAAAAAGGTTTTATTGAAAATGCTGTTGTGAAGCATGAAACACTCCAAAATATTGTTATTTTTCAGCCTTTTTTATTCAGTAAGCTAATTAAGCTATAAATACTTCATTCTTTCATAATTTTTCAGGTGTTTAGCAAAATATAATTCCGAACTTGAATTTTGGAAAAAGAGGTTGCTGAAACGGAAGGATGAATACAAGCTTCCTGAAAGCGCAACGAATCATCGAAAGGAGAACTCTAGTAAGGAAGCCCATATTGACCTTGATCAAAATGAAAGAATAGGAAAAGCAGATTGCACGAACCCAGGTCCAGTGATCCATGGTGATAAAAATGCCATTGAAAGTATTAAAATATATGATAATGAAGTTTATCCGAAAAAAGATAGTAATACGATGGGGTTAAGAACAGAAAAAGAAATCAAGGCATCAGACAAATATGATGCATCAAATGAATTACAAATAGGTAACGATGAAACAGCAAGTATTGATGAAAAAATAATCGACATAACTAAAAATGAAGATAGTGAAAGGTTTTGTCTGGATGACGGAGTACCAAATAAAAAGGAAGAAGACCCTTCTTGGAAGCGCGCTTTCAGGAACTTGAAATCAAAACAAAGCTCTAAAGTCAAATACCAGGAATGTAGTAAAAATCATGCTAACACTTCAATAAATGACTTTTTTAAACCAAAGCAAATTGCCCCGATTCGGAATATTCATTCTCGGCGGTCGAAAAGACAGGTATCAGAAGACAGTTCATTGAAGTTACCAGATAAGAAGAGAACAAAAGAGACTGAGAAGGGTACACATAGCTCGCTGTTAGAAGAAAAAAGAATTGATATGCAAGACAAGGATATTGACAAGACGGATTCCCTGAAGAAAACCAAGCCTGTCTATCACCGCGATATTAGCAGTGAAACTGATGAAGCTGGTGGTTTAGGCCTAGCTAAAACTAAAGTCTGCAGCACTAATGATCATTGCGGCTCTTTAAAGAGAGATCCTTGCAAAAGCCTGCGGATTGCCTTTGATACAGGAGATATTGACACTAGTTTAGATGATACTCATTTTCTTCCTACTCAAGCTAAAAGCTTAGAACAGAAACATAGAAACATAGGAAAAGAGACAGGATCGGTTGTTTCTGATACAGATGTTACAAGATGGGGTGTGCAAGAGAATCTTGGCCTGCCATCTTTCGCCAGCACCCCTATGTTGCAAGATAGACATTTTCAAAGAGCGTATCAGTGAGTAGCACCTATAAAAATGTTCATAAATTCAAAAGATTTTTGAAAGTTTTCAAGATTAGTTCTTTCCAAAGGTGAATTGATATTACTTACAAAATCGCTTAAAACATCAAGAATCAATTTACATAGGTGAACATTTCGGTGAATATACAGGTGAAAATTTTGGTTGATAAAATTTTTTCTATTTTCCAGAAATCCCTATCAAACACCTTAATTTGATTACCACTATAAGAAAATATTTTCTATCAAAGTTATATAGATTGAGGTTAAAATAAGCTAAAAAATTTGTTCAATTCTGTAAAACATTACAGAAAATAAACACGATAAATCTTTGATGTATTCGAAAGTGTTCTTAAAGTTCAATAGTGTGACGTCATAAAAATTTAACGATTTTCTCAAAGTGATATTTTATTAAAATCTAAACATTAATTAGATTTGTTGCAGGTTGCCAGAGAAAGGGAATTAGGAGGTGCGCTTACTAGCAAAATCCTTTTGCTGAAAATAGAATAAATTATGCTGGCCGCTAGTTGTTTTTTATATCATTAATTGCTTGATCTTTTACCAAACAGGAACGGGAACGACTTCGACGAAACAATGTGGTCAGCTCCACAAAGCCCATCGGTTGTGCCACCAGTGTTTTCAACCCCTGAAAAGCCCATTGGCAATGGAATACCATCTTCTGACGTCAAGGTAAAGTATAACAATTTATCCGAAGCAAAGTGATGATTTTTTTTACCGAAGAGCCTGTTTATGAATTTATGTCCATATCCATGAATTTATATTTGTAAAAAAATAACTATTTGTTTACGTACAAAATTTTTATTAAATATTTGATCTTCAACTTTAGCTCCATTAAAGAAACGAAATTTTTTTAATGAAAAATTTCTTCAACGTCAACATGAAGACTGAATGACAAGATATTATGCAGTCACATTATCGTTAGCTAGATACGATCTAGTTGCATTGTGTTGTTGTTTTATTTTTCTATTTTATTATTATCAGTATTCTGTTAACAATTATAATTGTAGTAGAATTTGAATAATAAATCAAATCAAATCGAATCAAATCAAATACGTATATTGAAGGACAGAAATGCTTACACTCTAGGAGTCCAAACCGAAGGAGACAAAGGGTGATGTTAATGCTGGGAAAACTCCACTACCAATAGATACATTTCAAAGCCACGGGCATGGGACTGAAGTATCATACGATTCGCATCACAGGAGCAAGCGTTATGACTTGACATGCAAGACTTCTGATGCAGATCTCAGTTGTGATATGTTTCATGGCAGCACTCTGGATAGCGAAAGCAATCCAAAAGGTACCACCTTTAAGAACGTCTGCACTTGTATTTTACATAGAACTCTTTAAAAGCCCATTATAACTATTCAAACTCTCCTAGGTGAATTTGTATTTTAAAGCTAACATTGCCAGCATCGTCTAGTTTCTGTTGATTGGGACTGTAGGGTCGAACTATCCTTACGAAAAGTTTACTAGCAAGAATCAAGTCATGCTAATGTCTTACTTCTTAGATTTCATTGAGAATATCTCAATGATTAAAAAGCCTCGTTATAAAGTCTCCAGTTACATTAAGGTTTAGGATGTTTTGTGTCTTCTCAGGATATGAAGCATCTTACAACTAGTTATCATCCATTTATTTCTTTCACACAAATTTTTTCAGTTACTACAGTTTTAGAAATGAAAAATAAAAGATTCTTGACCGCTACATTTACTTATTTTTGTATTAGATGATGAATCTAAGGAAGAGCTTTTAACGAAGAATGAGGACTTTGTAGAAAAGAAAATGACTAAGAAGCAGGTAAAGTTACGAGAAATAAATACACATGATATCGTTGTCCCATTGTTTAACCAAATAACAGCCAGACCATCCAGATAGGCCCTAACAGGCTGCAGCATTTCCCAGCAGTTTTTTGTTTATTGTTGAGGCTACTGAAAGAAAACATAGAGAAACATTAAGCACTCTTTCTCATTAAACTGCGACTCTCTCATTTCTGCATACCAAGATCTCATTAAACTGCGATCATATTTTGATCAAAACTCCATTACGATTTCTGCATACCAAGATGGCTATTCACATTGTAAACTTATTTTTATTTTGGTTGTTTTTTTCTAAACGAGAAATGGGTCAATCAAATTAAAATCTTTAAAGCTTCAAAATTCTATCTGCTTAATTGTATTTTTAGAGCTTGAGAAAAGACGTGGAAAATGAAGATTATTTTAACAGGTGGGTTAGCTTGTAATATTTGCCAAACAATTAAAAAAAACTCAAAGTTAAGCGGGACGAATCTTGAAACAAATAGACCCAAAACTTAAACATACAACAGCAAAGACTTAAGAGTTAATTTATTAATTAATTTATTGAAAAGGTGTTCAAAAATCCGCCAATTGCAGCTGTTTGCCGATGTTAATGACTTCTATATTCTTGCTAGAATGGAATGTCTTAACTAAAAAACGTAAATATAATCATTGTCATCTGTCTCTAAGAAAAGATCTAAGAAAAGACGCGGGATATGCCCAAGAAATTGTTTTTTAGTCCTCCTGCACCATTTCCATTTTAAAGTTGTTTCGTTCTTTTTCAAATATATATCTATACTTGCAGGTTTAAAAAAATGGCGAACCCAGATATAGACTACAAATACAATGTGGTTGTTCGGAAGAGAGAAGAAAGAGACAAGTTGGATGGATTTGAGTGTCGGGAATGTGCAGCTGTATGTTTTTTTGTGAACATGGCTTTCTTCGTTGCTTTGTTACTCAAAAAAACCCTGTCGGTTTTTTCCAAAACAAGAGAATTTTGAAATCCCTGACAAATAATTCTGTACTTTATGAATTATATATTTTGTAACAGTGTGATTTAATGAAATATTTGCGAGTGAGCTGCAAATTTACTTGTGCCTAAGTAGCTTGTGATATATCTAACAGGTAATTTTGAGAAACACTCTGCAAATAGTAAATTTATCATTAGATTTTCGAAATTGATTCTAGAATTTTCTCGCTTAAAATTCTTGCTAACACTTGTTTCCAGTTTCTGACCTTCACTCGGGTCTTCTAATTTCACCTTTCAAAATACAGGGAGATTAAAGCCCTTTTTCTCTACTGCTGTCGGTTATAAAACTGATGCAGCCCTGCAGAAAAGCAAACTTTTCACATGGTTTCTTTCTCAGCTGTATTTCAATGAAGTTTTACTAAATCTCGACTGCTGTTTATTGAGAAGTGAATTTTAAGAGTCATTCCTCTACTCTTTCAGTGGTATAAAGACGAACTAGATAACGAGGAAAAGAGAAAGCACTTGAAATTGGTTTGTCGTCATAAAGCAGTTTCGGCACCGCCTCCATCTACTCCGGATGGCTTTTGGTCATTAGATATTCCTGCTACACAAGAATACATTGAGAAAGGCCATATGTACGATGAAAATGATCCTTTACCTGTGCATGCAATGCCGAAAGAGAGAAGGAACATGCTGCAGGGTAAAAAGAAACTTGCGAAAAGATCAATAGCAGAAAAGTAAGAATCAGTGTAATTTTTCTCGTTGACTTTAAGTATTTAAATCATGTTTTGATGAAGATCATGGCTAGTTTAGCAACAGTCTCAGCAAGTGGTCTTTCATGTGCAAATTAGTATGTATATGCTTGCTTGTCAAGGCAAAACAGAGACCGAAACCCTGTAATTCTTTAAAAATGGCTCTGTCCTTTATGCCTCTCTGCTTTTTTCAATCGGCGCCCATTTAAGCCATGGCCAAACGAATAAAGGTATAAAACATCATCCAACATTGTTGCATAAAACATATTTTATTCGTTTGGCCACCATGTTTTACGATGTTTTATGATGTTTTGCAAAATCTGATTTCCATCAAACATTTTGAAAACATATCTTTTGTTCTCATGTTTGATCAACAATGTTGCCTTCGTTTGGCCATCCCTTAGAACATTTGTTTTACTAACGCAAGCGCAGTAGGTTAAAATTCGGCAAATACAATGCAGTAACTGCAGGAAGCTGTGCGGCATCGCTGGACCATACCAGATGCTTAACGTTTGTTTTATTCGTTTGGCCAGGTCATAAAAAATTGTCCAACAATGTTGGTATAAAAATGTTTTGTAATGTTTTACGGATGTTTTATTCGTTTGACCAGGCCTTTACGTCGATATATCTGTTGCTTCGGAAAGCAGTTATCTCCCTGAGGCACATAATCCTTTGTGACGTCATACACGACGTAATATAAATTGGGTTCTTCATATACTCAAGTCAGTTCAAGTGGAGCATTGTCGAATATGGACAAAGTCGTGTGCTTTGTCCAACAATACACTAAGAAGGGAAATCGGACAACTGCTCCTAAGCCATGCTTAGACTATATGAAGGATCGTATGTACGACTTTGAGGAATTCGGACCAGATTATGACGATGTCTGCGAAGATAACACGGAAGACCAGTTTCTGCCAGTCGATGCTTGGTCAAGTTTCTTTATTGTTTTTGTATTTGTTGGTTCTGTAGCACTGTTGTCTTTAGCAATAGTGAATCTTATTGAAACGAACAAAAAGCTGGCACAGTTCAGTAACGAAACAAGTCGGTTAAGGATCCTTGGTAATGTTTCCTTGGTACTCTTAAAAGGTAAATTAAACTCTCAAAAGTGGTGAAGTTTACACGTTTTATGATTTGGTGGTAAAGTTTGCCTGCTTTTAAACTCCCTAATGTGCTTTTAAACGCTTTAGCCATAAAAATATAAGCACAGGTTTCCAGTTTACTGCATTTAAGCTTGTGTAGCTATATGAAATATTGTCCATTAAGATGAGTCATCTATAAACACAAAAAAGAAATTTGCAGTTGGATTTCATAGACAGAGAATAAATGTTTTGCTGTAATTTTTAGGGAATCAACACCATTTGTGTGTTAGAAATAAATTTGAGGAATTCTGTTTTGCTTAATATATCAAATGCGTGAATGGTCTGCAGTCTTCGAATTGCAAAATGTCAATAATGCATTCTTCTAAAAGATTCTTTAATATGCTTAACTTCCCCCAAAGGTATTCAGCTTCAGCTTGGCCATTTAGAGCAAATTATAAATAACTTGCTATGAATCAACCATTGAGTAATTCGAGAACCATCCATACTTTGCAGAAGATTTGGTTGCGCGACTGAAATTACTGCCGCCACCGTTTTCACGGCCTAGGACGCACAACTGAGACGGGGTTCCCTGCTGAAACCGCTACAATTTTCTTTTCATTTTAGATCTTTTTGCACAAAACCCTTTAAGCCTACAAGCATGATGCTCAATTTAAAAATAATAATCATAATTTTCTGAATTCAACATACAGTTATATATAGAAATCTACAAAACAGCGCTCTTCCAGGGAGCTAGGAGAGTAAAGGACCAACATATTTTCAAATAAATACTTACAGAAACACTCTCATAGACCAGCATGCAACTTATAATTATTTCAATTTTAGCTATTTTTGTACAGCTCTTGAGTATTGTGTTATATACTTTAGTTGAGAACTTTGTTAATTGCAATAATTATAACTATAGGTATTTTCCTATCTGATTTCAGCACGTAAAATAATTTTCAATCGCTTGTTAGCTTAGAATTTAGCTGTCTGATGAAGAAAATATTGAGAATTTTCTAGATTTATCATAAATTAAAATTTCATTATCATTACGGCAAAATACATGTTAATAACTTGATTTAGAGAGATAAAATACTGGTTGAATTGTTCAATCATACGATTTTAGTTCAATATTTTGGTTCTTTTTAACCCTTGGTGTGGCTTTTGTAACTTATTAATATTGTGTAATGATGGAAATTTTACAGTGTGATATTGGATATTAAAATGGCATATTAAAATGGTACACTCTGCCTTTTGAAGTTACCTCCTTGTAAGAGTGTGGTGGCATGGCACATCAAACAGTTTTCTTTAGATAAAGATATGTCTATTGACATCTCCTAAACCATCAAATACTTCAACCGATTTTGACCAGTAACAACAATATTTCTAGATTCTGATCAGAGAAGAAGAAAATCGATATCGCAAGCCAATGTGCCGTCCATGATGTGTCTTGTGAGAACAGATGATTCGGACATTGTCGCAAAGTAAAAGCAAGCAGACATTGTTCCTGGATCTTTGAAGTGAGAAAACTTCGAATCTGATTCTTTTTTAAATACCATCTGTCTTGTGATAGTCTCAAAGTTCCATAGAAAAACTACCAATCTTTTATTAATACTTGTAATTGATGTTTACTCTTATACACTGCTCTCTGTTGATGGTGAAAAAAGTTGGGGTATACATTGACTTGTTGTTGGTTGTAGAGATCTAGGATAAAATTTTCTACAGCTTTCTTTGTTACTCAAAACGAATAAACGGACACAGAACCATAAAAAGTTCTAAAATCATTTTACAACTTTTGCTGAAATTACCACTAACTCTAATTTTTATCATGTTGCTAAAAATTATAAATATTATTTTGTAATTGAGCTAGTCGCTTTAAAATAATGATTTAATCATTGTTAGAACCTGTTTTAAACAAGCACTATTTTGATAAAATGTGTAAAACTAAATACCTCGTTTAAATGCCTGACGAACGATACATTCGTCAATTTTACTAATGCGAAGTCAACTTTCAAAAATAATGATAACATAAACATACAGACTTGAAGAATTGTTAACTGCTTTCACATTCAAACGAATCAATTCCGTTTATGTCACAATATATCTTGCAACTTCGATACAACGATGATATATTTTTAACTATCGGCAACATTTGGCGACTCATAATCGCGAAACAGGTCGTTATGCCACAAACTTGCAATGTTGAAAGACTTTGTAAGCTTCCCTACGTAGATCTCTATTCGTGAATGTGTATAAAAATGGGTTAACGACAGCATTTAGGAACAGCAACCCGGATGTGAGGTATAGCCATCTTCCACTTCTAAAAATTCGTCCGCTGAATGCATCAATCAGTGCAACTACGGCAAACGGCAAGGTCGAAATGACGAATACGAGAACCACTGCAGACAGCATTGAGATAGTATGTCTTTCTTTTCGCAACCTCGCAATCTTTGCTTTATGATCTTCGACATTCGTAAATTCGTGTACTTTGCGCTGCTGACGTAATGCTGTTCGTAAGATGTATGAGTACACAAATGCTAAAACTGTTATCGGGGCCAATGCGAAACCAGCAAATATCCACAAAACATTCCAGCGATTCACAAGCAACGAAAAGATGCAATCCTGCTTTGCCAGTTCCTTACTGGTGTTCATCTCAATAGTGACTGAAAGAGATCCACTGCTAAGAGCCAAAGTCCAGAAAAGTGCCAACAAAGTGACAATTTTTCGGCAAGTTACGATATTTGGATGGCGTAACGGGTAATGAATATAAACGTAGCGATCATAGGCTATTAATATAAGCGTGAATGATGAAACCGTCAGAGGGATGGTAGAAAGAGCAATTGCAGCTTGGCAAACTGGAAACAGCTTAGTGGTGTACGCTGCTATCCAGAGTGGCCCACCAACAGCGCAAGTCAAGAGATCCGTTGTAGCTAGATGGCAGACCAAAATGTACGTCCATGATTCCAGTTTGAATTTCTTTAGAATGAGTAAAATAACAAGGATGTTCCCAGCGATACCGATGAAAGAAAGTAGTGACAAAACAGTTTGATTTACGGTCAACCTCACCATCGTCGCCGTAGAGCTTGCAGTTCAAACCGTGAACAAGAAGATTTCCTCACTTGTCTTTTAGATTTTTTGAATATAATCCTTTTAATACTGATTGGTTTTAAAAATAAAAATTTGTAAATCTAAGCTAACACTTAATCACAAAGTCTTCAAGCAATTAAATTTATCCTCATGTCATGCATTCTTGATAGTGATGCCCCTCAGCCTCTTCCAGTTGATGCAAATCCTGCATAATGCCTAGTTACGATAAGGCCGGTCTTGAATTCCATTCAAACCACACCGATGTTGTTTACAAACATATTCACAGCTGACTAAAGGAAACTTGCAATGAAAAGGGCGTTATACCTGTTTTTCTACGCAGGTGCTGTTCAGTACGAAAAGTTCTTCCTGGAACTATTTCACTCTGGAAAGAGCGGGAATAAGGTCAAGCATGACAAGGGCAAATTCCTTATCTTCCGAAAAAGAGGAAAGAGCAAACCTTTTCACTCCATATTTTTTCACATCCTGCATAAAAATATCTGCATTTCAAACAGTTAATGCAGTAAATATTGAAAAATCCTTAGGCCAAAGAATACTAAATATTCACTTTGCTATATTTTTGGACGTGTCAGGTAATTAAAACATAAAATCTTTGATTGTAGACTTTTACTCGTGAAACGAAGATGGATGATTCCCGTATAATTACGGAAATATTTCTAAAAAATCAATTTGATGACTATGTTGAAACACGAAGTGTGATAAGACGATTCCTTACAGTCCTTAAATCTGTCAACAGTTCTTTGAACCAGAAACAAGTAACTGCAAGAATTCTTAAAATGATTACCTTTGTCTTCTTTGGTCACAGCTTGATGCAAGATGACAATATCAAACTTTGCCTGTTTCAAAACTTTCCAACGCTTCTTTTGGGTGACACTTTCAAATTGGTTCCAAAAAACTTTCAACTTTTGCTTCCATATTCTTTTTTATGGGTGACCTCTGAAATATTCTTAATTGCTATTTTAAGCTATTTATACCTTTGGTTAACTTTATCCACTTATTAAGAATTCTCTAAAGCACAACTGAGATTCTCTTACTTTCTTTTCTTCGATAAAATGCAAGTTCTCTAGATTCATTTCATTCGAATCGCCAACCAAATCATAGAATAACCAATGGGCATTTGTAACCATATTTTTAAACACAGCTGCGTAATTTTTTGTTTTGCAGTTTTCCATCCCTTTTCTCCCAGCCTTTTTAGTTTTATCTGAATTTTTCTATTTTGTCTTCCATTTTCTTCCTTTTTATCTAATGCCTTCCTACCACTTTTTCCCTCGCGTTCTTTCTCTCTTATTTCCTTCCTGCCATCCTGCCATCCTTCCTTCCTGCCATCCTTCCTTCCTTCCTTCCTTCTACCTTACCCTCTTTCCTTCCTTACTTCCTTCCTCCTTACCCTCTTTCCTTCCTTACTTACTTACTTCCTTCCTACCTTCAATTCTTCTATCCTTAACTCCTTCTTTCATTTACTCTTTTAATTTTAATTTTTACTTTCTTTTCTCTGACTAATGATCCAGGACTATTTAGAAATTCCCCAGGCACAGTCCCAGTTTGTAACAAATACTTAAGCAAGCATTTGTATAGTTAACTGAGACCTCGATGCATAGGCCTTTAGCATAGAGGCTATGAGATCATTTAAAATGATTTAAAAACAACAGTAACCCTGAAGTGCTGTTTTTATTAAGGAGGGCAATGGTATTTGCAAGTACAAGTTATCAACTTACAAGTGCAAATATTTTCTAAAATGGTGTCGCACAGGAAGTTACAAAACGATATTAGTGATGTGTGTTAAGCCATATAAAATATGCTGGCCAAACCTTGTACTCCAGCACAAATTATTTGCAGTCACTAAAAGTTTCTTTTCAGTGAATGAACTGAGTTGAAATGTTGATGATAAAAATGACTAACAGGTCACCTCAATTCAGGCATGCGCAAAGGAACTGTAGTAATTAGTGATCACAAGGAAACTTGAATATTTTGTTGTCCAAAACACCTGGAAATATAAAAACATTTTTATCTAAAAACAGCCTTTTAATAAGATATATTGTTCCATCAGATTTTATTTTCATAACACACTTTCAGACTTTAGGTAGCAGCATATCGAAAAAAATAAATGTTTTTCAAATTCTTATAAGGAAAATTCTAAATTTTGGTTGTTCAAAGATAACGGTGTTAGATTTCTGTTCAATGAAAATCTGCTCAAAGCTTTCTTTTCATTTTATCTTGCCATAGTACTTTCATTACATCACTTTTATCACTTTTATCGCCGTGATGCTTGTCAATCTCATTATTTTCTGCACTTTCAAAGATAAGAATATATTGTTCAGAAATATTGAGACAAGGCAAACATCTGCGGCTCAAAAAATACGCTCAAACGTATTTTGTTGTATCACGCTCAAGGGATTGGCAAAGATTTTTCCAGTTAACTTTTGAGTCCATATTTCGTCTAATTGTGAATTGGACATAACGGTTTCATGCTACTAAGAACACTATTTTGTAATATAAATGTCTTTTTCAGCTATTAAAAGGTACCTGGAAACTCGAAATTTTTCCAAGGTATCTTTCTTATATTTCTTATTTATCTTTACGCAGTATAATTTTTATTAAAAATTATTTCTAATAATGAACTAGAAAAAATTGGTTTTATGCTACAAAGACACGATACACAAATGCCTATTTAAAAGTTGCAATGTATTTACAGCCTGAAAAAGTTGATCCTCCAAAATTTTAATATCCTTTTGAGTAGATTTTCGAAACGAAATGGCTTGGAACATTCGTCGAATTTTTTAAAACATTTTTCTTCTAAAAACAGATTGGGTTGCTTGTTTTTGGGTTGCTTGTTTTTGATCGAAGGAAGCAATTTTTTAATTTAGTTTCGGAATTTAAGTCGTTTTTGTCAGAAAATAGCGATTTACTAGAGAGATTGAAGTTTCATAAAAAGTTGTGGCTATAATCTTGGAAAAAATTTTTCAAAAAGGTTTTTATTCTTAAATGATGATCAGTTGCTTCTTTATGAGCAGAATAAATAAGTATATACATACAACTAAATGATATTGCACATAACAAAACACTTGCATTTGTCAAGTAGAATTTAACATTAATAAAACAAATATAAAGAAAGACAAATCACACAAGAGACAATACTTCTAACAATTACTCACTGAAACCTTCCTGAGATTTTTCGTTGCCATAAATAATTACTTGCAGTAAAGCTTTTTTGAAAGGTTTGTTAATCAACAGGGTTGTAATATTGCCTTCACATTGTCGCCAAAAAATGTCTGTCTGTATGATAAGTACGAAAAAGCAGCAAAAAGTGTTCCTAATCCTCAATACCATCATTTATTGGGCAGAAAAGGTCTTAAGTATCGCTGAAATGATATTTTTATTCTGTAAAAATTCAGCTAAGTCCAGCACGAAACACTGAATTGAACTCAGGCCGGCGTGAGTTTCAAACCGGCCTAAAATTTCTCATGTGAAGGGCCTCTAAGCGTTTGGCCAAAATCATGGTTATTTCATGGAATGTCATATATGATCCAGGTGGGGACAGACAGCGTTTGTAACTTTCGTTGAGCGTATGTCGCGGCAAGTACTTTGAAATGAATCTCAACATCACTATTCCTTGTTTACATTCAGAAATAACTGATTGGAAATGACAAGCGAAGGAATGTTTTGGATCAAGTATGATACCAAGGGGTTTGTGCTCGGGATTTTTATCACTGGAATATCATTAACAAAGGTGGGACGGTGATTCGTTGGGTTTCTCTTTTTCGAAAAGATAACCTCTACTGCTTGCTTTGATGGGTTGGCTCTGAATTAACAGTCATTCGCCAATTGTGTGCCAAAATCTTGATAAGATCTGAGTCAAAGTTAATAGAACGCGCAGCTTAATGTGGGTCATCTACAACCGTGAAGATCGATGTGTCGTCAGCGAATTGTTTCACATTACATTTTAAGCCATCTGTCAAGTTATTGATCTAAATTGAAAAAGAAAAGAGGACCCAGGGTAGAACCGTGCGGGACAACATCTGAAATAGTACCCAATGTAGAGATGTTTTTCCATTCAAAACAGTACGCTATTTTCTATCGTTGAGAAAGCTTTGCATTGGTGTCTGTAATTTACCAGAGATACCACATTGACGTAGCTTGAATGTGAGATTGAAATGTTATCTACTGCAAATGAAGCATACAACATACTAACCTTGCAGCATTGATGTAAGTGCATCCAAGAAGCATACATTGCAAGGTCGTGCGTTTGGAAGGATCAAAATGGGCAACGATTGATCAGTTCAAATAGTACATAACCGATTTCCTTGACAGAAGAGTATATCAAGGCATTTTCTCTTGTTCTAGTTCCGAATTTTCTCTAATTATGAGCTAGAAATGATGGTTTTGTTCTACAAAGAACCGCTAGACCACGCAAAAAAGAAAATTTGAAACGCTCAATGTGTTTTCATCATTCCTCCAAATATTTGATTTGTCGAAGGTAGTAGCCTTGATTTTTCCGGTAAACTTTTGAGTTCAAAGCTTTCTATATTTGAACTAAACATGGTGGTTTAAAAAAGAAATCTGTATTAAAAAATCCGTTTAAAAAAGATTATTGGTTGATTTCAATATGTTTACACTTCTTAAAATGGACATTCGACTATTTTCTTTTTTCAAGCCGAAGCATAAATTTTACACATCAAGTCCATCATTCATACTTTCTAGTATTAGATTTTAATCAAGAATCTAGCATTTAGAGAAAAAATTTCAATGCCTTAAGGTTGTTAAATGGAATTTTGGATAATTTTGGTTTTTTAAAGTTCATAAACATAGATGTTCTGGTAAGTCTAGATTTAAAACTTTTCTCTCAGTTTGCACTATTATCTCATAACTATTGAATGCTCTTAAACAGTTTTGAACCTAATTTTTTATATTTTTTCACAATTTCAATTTTTCCTCGATATCAAAAAATTCTGCTTTTCAAGGCCACAGGGATTAGATTTTTGTGAAAAATCTGGATTCCCAATTTATCTCTTAGCGTAGCAACTTGACTTGTCGTAACCTACCGCTTAAGCCTCTCCATTTCAAAAAGTGACCTTTGAAATTTTTTTGTCCAATTTTAGGTAATAGACTATCATTGTTGATAAATATGTCCAAAATTGTAGGCAATGCACTGTCACAAAATATCTTCAAATATTTTTGTGAGGATTTGCAGTCATTTAAATGTTATTTCCTTTCATATTATTTTGTTGTGGCATTAAATTTGCAAATGTGTTCGTCTTTAAAATTCTTGCTTATACTCTCTTTCGCGATCAGTCTCTCAATGCTTTGACCAATATGGATGATTTTGATCGTGTTATAGGCACAATTCAACTCAAAAAGAACGTACCACGGCCACCTTCCTAGATTTTCAGCTATAATAATGCAGACTTATAACTGAATCAGTTGAATGAGGATATCATATTGATTTCAAGTACTGTCGTTAGTTTTGCAATGTACACAGGTATTTCCTGTAAGCTATGAACAACGAAAAGATGTTTTGCGGCGATTAGACACCAAGAAAACGGAGAAATCAATCAGTGTAAATTCAATGAGCATTTCAGATGCATTGCAAACAATAGTGCTTACGAAAGACTTGGTGAATCTAACGCTAGTCTGAGTCTGAGTCACTGGCCATGTCTTGATCTTCTAAAGTCAGTTCGTCCAACATTTCTTCAAGGCCTATACGCGGGGCATCATCTGCATCACTCTCAGAAGGAGCTGAATTTCCCGCAAAATCTGTAAAGAGAACATGACGTTAAACGTCAACAAACAAATTTTTTAAAAATTGAAAATATATTGACATAAACAACGGTATTTCAAATCCACCAAGTTGGTGCAAACAGGCCAAGCCATAAGGTAGCGTAAAATTTAGAAGAAGAGTTTTGTATTTATTCTGAATTTCTAACTAAAGCCATTTAGGGAAATTTTAGGGAATAAGTTATTTTTGGATTGTGATCTTCCCTTGATTTTGAGAAATTTTTTGCGAACCAGGAACGTTTGAATTTTTCGCCTCGATGAATAAAGATGGCTCATTCTAGGTTAGGGCCCCGAACAGAGCTCAAACCACAGCTTCAAGCGATTTGGTTTATCGAGCATTTGGCTTTGTATTTTACCGAATTTTTTGAAAATGGTATATTCTAGATCTATGATTTCGGACTAAGTTAGATCTTGTAGTAATACAGTGGTGGTAATAATATGAAACCAGTAACCTTCCCTTGAGAATTTTTACCAGGATTTGTAGACTGGGGCATAGTATAATATACAGTGGAATGTGAGCAATGCCGTAATGTTTGAATATCTGTTTGAATATCTATTTAGGATAGACAAAATAATTCTACTAATCAGAAGTCCCACTTAAGGGAAGTTTGACATTGAAAATAGTATAAAGCAAAGAAAAAAAGAAATTTTGCCTAGAAGCTGCAGTATAATATAATGTCGAAAAATCATATAGGCTGAAGAAAATCACAGAAGTCCGACTAATGTGATGCTGTTCTCACAAGGACTGTAATTCTAATATCCAACTATTAAAATCCGATTTGTGCAGGGAAAAGTAATAGCATTCATACTGAATTGACTAGGACCAAGCATTTATCTGTGCTAGGAAATATTTCACTTATGGGAGTCCGGCTTTTGAAATATGCGACTTATGCGAAATTTACTGTACTGCACAACTTGTGGATGCGTGTATACTTTTCAATCAAGAAAAACGAAAGACAACAATTGAACATCCTCTTGAGTTAAAACAGGTTCGAATATCTTGATTCTGTCAAATATGTACATTTTGTAAAGAGGTTCACAGGCGTTTAATGCAATCAAGTAAGTGCCAAGAAAGAATTTTCAAAAATGGATTTGAATACAGCAGACTTTTTGAAACATTCTGAAGCTTTTTATCTGGCATTATTTAGAGTATAAAACTTCAGAACATGGACCGAAAACTCTACGCTAGGAAATACATAAACCCAGTTGTAGATCATAATACGTCCATCAGAAATGCAAGCACGTGACTGCAGTGATTGCGCAATCAGTGCCGCTTGCCTGCTGAAAATATCACAAATTGAGTCCTGAGGTGAAAACGAACTCCCTCTATCTACAGTATAGAGTCTAAACAAATAATTTTCCTTTAAGTAATAAAAGCACGTTGTTTAAATATGTGGTGCATAAAACATCCACAATAAATATCTATATATATATTCAGTATTTGATTGATACGATAGAAGAGACCAGATTCTGTCGATAAATCTTTAACGGCTACAGAGTAAGTTTCCCGATCAAATGTTTCTGAAGTAAGACATTTTTTACCTAAAGTTGATATAAAGAAATTCAACTGACAAAAATTGCTTTTCAAAGAACAGCAAATGATCTGAATAAGAGGATTTAAAGAAATTTCAAGTAAATAAAATTCCCGATGGATTTTAAGGGCTGATCCGTTGATTATGTAGTCAGTTAGAGGGATTAAAAAAATAAATGCCAAAATTGTGTGAAGTCAATTGATTTAAAATGTGAATTGACAAAAACTTACTTTTGTAAATATTGATATTCTGCCTAAAGTCTTTATCTTCTTCAATGTCATCTAAAAACTCATCATAGTCCCTGAAATACAAGATAAACTCGAGATATAATTAGGTTCCGTTTAACGAGCAACAAGATTTTCATGAGCAAAATGATTCCCTAAGAAACACCGCTGCTTGCCATGCTAAACAATCCAATAAAAATAATCAACAAGGCAAAAAGGCCTTGACTGTGTATTCTTAAACTCAACTTCAAAGCTAGTAAGCGAAATTAAAAACAAATTGTGATAAGAACGCCGTCGAAAGACAATGTTTAGTTTCAATATTCTTCTTTGTATGGTGTTTGAGAAATTACAAGGCGTTTCACATTTTTAGCGGATTTAGTGGCTGCCTACACTATTAATTGTAATTAAGGGCTTCAAATCATAGGGGAATATAAGAATATGAACACTTTGTACCGGACACACGGCTAAACTAATTCTGAGTTAACGACTTCAGAAATATAGCTTGCGTCAGATCTGTCCAACTTATGGTTCCTAAGGCGCCATATGTCTGTAGAAATAATTTGCTTGAGCCGTAAGACTGTATTTCCATTATTGTTGATATCAAGATGAATGTAGTACTGTGTCGAATCAGCAATGAAAAAGCTACAGTACTAGTTCTCAGCAAAGCAAAATTTTATGGTTTAATGAGTCGGAGCAGGAGCATGGTGAGAGGGGGCAGGGGGCATAAATTAGAACAACGATCATATAAGGGCAGACGATGATTTTCTAGCTTGTTTAAGCGAAATTATCTTGGAAAAGTTATTTTTACTTTTAGCTTTAATGGCAATAAATCTTTATATTGAGCATTATTTTATGTGTTGTACAGCATAGGCATGTTTTTATCTTTATTTAACATTTTCTCTTTTCTTTAATAACCTTATAACACGAAGGTCAAATTTGTCTCTCTATGCTTAACATGTCAGAGCCCCTGCGGAGGTATGGAAGCAGCAACCCTTCTTTCTGTATCAAGCGCTGTGAGGAAAAGGATGCCCTAGTTTACGATGGAATTCAACTTGATAACAAAATAAATGATGAAACATAAAAGTTGCTATGCTGTGCTTTGCTGTGTTATGTTACGTTACTTTTTGTTATGTATGTTATTTTATATTATGTTTGTTATGTTATGTTATGTTATGTTATGTTATGTTATGTTATGTTATGTTATGTTATGTTATGTTATGTTATGTTATGTTATGTTTTGTTATGTTATGTTAAGTTTTGTTATGTTGTGTTATGCTATGATTTGTTCATGCTTTAAGTCAATAGACATACTTTTATATCACTTAATATTAAGAAAACAAACTTTACCTGATGGCTGTCGGTCGCTGAGAGTTCATTGCGCGCATCAGGTATAAATTTGCGCCAACAGTTACTGTTAAAGCCGAGAAATACCAAAAGCTGGTACACAAAATGCAATTAAAAACAGCTGGTATCTGTAAATTTCCGAACCTAATAACAACAGATTCGAAAGCACATCTGGTCACTAAAGACTTCCATTATCGTTTTGTTCAAATATTAAGCAAGTCTGGCTGATGTGACAAACTGAAACACGTTCTGCATTATGCGATCCATTGTGACCAAGGAATATCCGCAACAGGTTTTTTGTGGGTTATCAGAACTCAAGCTTTCTAACCTAAAGAAACTTTACATTTTGTTGCATTTATACGAATAGCAGAGATAAGACAAATCTTTTTTATTACGAATAAAAGTCAGGTAGCATTCTGTATAAAAAACGGTCCTACCTCAGCAACACGTCTGGATCAATACTTGTCGTATCTTTGGCAATTCCATGCAGTTTCCAATTCCTAGCCTTCTTTCGCTTTCTTTTGTCTGCAAATGACTTTTTCACCAAAACCTTCAAAAGATATTACTGCAAAAGTCAAAGCAGTTCCCCGGGCTGGCAAAAACGGGGAAAACACATGACTAGCTTTAAAAACTGGTCTTAATTGAACAAGAGACAAATCCACTTAAATCTAAATTGGCAAAGAAATTGACAGTTAGAGGGCAATATTGACGATTTCCAACATGTCGTTCTCAATCATTCAAATAAAGAGAATTAAAAAGCATTTCTTTCTTATTTCTAAAGACATTGAGTTTCTTAGGATAATCTAAGAGAATGTTAAGCTGTTTTATAAGTTGAAACATCGCAGATTCCGTACCTAACAAGACCGATTACTATCAATAAATGGCAACAGAAAAATCGACAGGTATACTATAGAGTAAAAAAGGGATTCAAAGAGAAAAATTGGTGTTCAAGGGCATTTCGATCAAGAGATAATTCACTTTTGCAAATAGCGTACGAGATTTCAACAGAAACAAACGGATTTCCAGGGATTTTCTGATAAAACAATAGGATTTCCACCAAAGATGTATGAGATTTCCATATAGTGATTTGCCCCTCGATCTTGATGATTAGAAATTAGGCAGCTTGAGGAAAGCAATGCTTTATCTTACGTTTGGTAGTCAAATGAAAATTGGCAGTAAAAAATTCTAAAATTTATCACTGAATATCTCAATTGTAAAAAGTACTTGACTTAAGAGGCTTAAATTTAATGGTCCGGTATAACTTTTCTATTTTTTCTAGAACATATTTAGGCTAACGAAAAATCAAATCGAAAGTCAAAATCAAATCATTTAAAAAGTGCCCCACTTTTCTCTCCCATAAACGAAGAAGAGCGCCATTGAACTTTCAGAAGTAGTTTTTGGGGGAAGATTCAAGCAATTTTCTATACCTTAAAGTCTTTGAATAAGCTATAAGTTCTTACACTGATTGCGCTTATAACTTAGGACGCATCTTTCTTTAAAATGTTTAAGCTTTTTAGCAATTGAGTACTTAAGTTAACATCAGGATATTGGGTTCTTATATTTTTGTACAGTATTAGAAAAAGGTCGCATCAATATTATGGCTTCTCTTAAAGGGACCATCAGTATTAGAAAATATAGGACACACCCCATTGAGATGATTATGTTCCGAATATACAATAAAAAAATTCACATTTTTTCCTAAACACGAGACAATTAAACAGTATTAACCCAGGATAATCTTTTAAATATTAGGTCTCGCTACAAATAGCGGTTCCCTAAAAATTAATGAATATCATAAAAAACCTGAACGAAATATGATTTTGCTAAAAAATTAATGCTGAAAAATTTTAATATAAAAGTGCTTAGGTTGATTTCTAAAGCGAAAAAATAATTAAATAGGCAAAATCAGTTGAAAGTATATGGTTCATCTCAAGGCCTAAGAACAAATCTCTACATTCTTGCCACTGGTTTAATATTCTGAGTCCAAACTGTGTAATTATTGCTGCCATTACAGGAACTCATGTTACCACATCTTATAACAAAAAGCAATTTCTAAAAAATCCGCAAAGGAATTTGGAATTCAACCAGGATGAAAATGGATATAATTATTAAACAAGGGTGGAAACTCACAACATTAGGAACGGCATCTTCCTTCATTTTTTCCAGATGCTCGTCATTCAGATTGGAATTCGTGAAGTCAAATCTACAAAAAATGATGCAAAGGAATACCAGTTATCGACTAAATTCCAAAGCTAATAATATTCTTTGATCTCACTAGAAAACAATATTAGCCAGAAGAAAAAATCTGCAGGCCTTATCTGGGATGGTACTGTAAAAACCAACAAACTGCATGTTTTTACAACAGCAAATATTCTTTGACAAGGCAATATCCAAACGATAGTAGACTTTGCATTTGTGTGCTATTGCAAGATTGCAAGGAAGAGAAATTGCAGACGACGTTGAACATTCATCAGACCACAACTGTGTGGAGTTCGTATTATTTGGTTAACAAGTCAAAACAAAGCAGGCTTTCTTTGTGTAAATACTTTCTCAAATTCCTTGCTAGGCCAAACTGCACTCAAAAGAAAGTACAGCATGGACGCTGTCTTTCTTTTCTTGCACAAATTAATTTCCTATTGCATATTAAAGACATATGCAGCGGAATATTGCAATAAATTTTAATACAGAAACTCGCTGCAAAGAATTTTGAATACAAAGGAATAGTCAGTGAACAAAGAAATTATCACTACTTTCAAGAGACATGAAACCTTGACTTGGGTAGTTGAAATACGGTATTATAAAATATGCAGACCCAAGAAAACAAGTAAATGGGCTAAAGATGCGAAACATGGAAGTTATAGCTGTTGCAGTTATATTAAAAAAGATTTTTTAATGTCATACGACACTTGTGGATAACAGTCATTAGAAAGACATTTCCGTATCATGTTGCCAACATGGCCACATTAGGTTGGATTTCTTAAGGAAACAAAGATTACCTAAGATGGTGAGATAATTTACATATGGCGCTTCAAACGCCAGGTAAATGCTTGGACATTATTGAGCGCTAATGCGTCAGTTGAACGTATTTATTTAAAGTTTATGGATGGATTGCTGACACCAGTCTGTGAACACTGGGTATAATGCGTTCGGATAAAAACCCAGAAATGCGTCTGATACCATGATAATCCCGTAATCTTAGTTGCAGCCAAGTAATAACGATTCTTGGCTTAGAGAAAATGACAAAAGCAAGATATCCTTCTGATTACTGCAATAGCATCAAAATAAAGTAAAGCATTGCTAGTAAAAATCTCAAAGTGGACTGGAAGGTTGTCAAGGTATGACAAAAATAAGACATTGATAAATAAAAATTGAAAGTGAACTGTAAGGCTGTTAAAGAATCGAAAAAACTACAGCATTGATAGACAAATGACAAAGGTTACGGTATTCGCGAGACCCCTGGCTTGATGAGTTACAGTACGCTTCAAGAAGCAGCACTGGGGTACTAGATACAAAACAATCTAGGCAGGCTCATAAACGCTAACTTGACATTGCACAAAGGGTCTTGGGTTCCCTAGCCTGCGTCACAGACCTGATAAGGAGATATGGTCTGTGACGAAGGCTATGGGTTGTGCATTTATGACAGAATTTGGATAAGCTACTAATAAACCTTTCTTTGAACATAGATACAAAGACAATTATTTACGCAAAAATCTACTATAAGAACAAGAACAGTTTTACAGAATTAATATGCAATGAAAACTATTACTTCAGCGTGAACGGAATTCTGGAAAAATTTTCATCCGCTAAAGGTTTAATTTATTCAAATTATTCAAAAAAAATGTTTGCACAAGATAAACAACGAATCCCTGATTTCCCTTAGCAACTGTAAAAGTGGTCTTTCAAAAGCCTAAATCTCTTTTTGGAGCAAATTATTTGACTTTGAAACGATTCATTGGTAATTGAAAGAAGCTGATATGTTGGTGCAATTGAAAGAAAGATAGTTTTTAAGGTTTATTGGTAAAAGTAAAGAAGCATCGTTTGTGTACCATTTCTGGCTAGTGAGAGAAGGAGTAACACATAAGGTTATTAGAGAGGTATGAAGCACAAAGAAATACGGCGTTCAAAGCACAGTTTAACGAATTTCAACCGATGAAGAGCTCTCAGTTTTGAAGCTGTATTCGAAACCGAAAAATTATCACATTTTCTTTATTCAACAGATAAACTACATCAAAGATGTTAGAGCCTTCTGGGATGCGTCGGAATCTCCGTATTTTTTCTGCTTCCAAGGTTAACGACAACATTCCTGCGTTTTTAGTACAGCTTTTTACAGACTTGAGTAACAAAGAGGAAACCTAATGCGATCTGCAAAGGCCAAAATTCATCCCATAGCAAAATATTCACGCTAAATAGCTCAAGTCGAATTAGACAAGACACTGCTTTCATGGACAAACAACAGGCTTGCCTTTACTTTCAGTGAGATCCAGGTAGCATTTCAGTTGCTATTCGTCAAAATTCAGTATTAAATTCAGTATTTTCGAATTAAATCAAACTTAAGCTGACAAAATTAATCCAATCAGTAACATTTGACGAGCTTTTGAGGTCGGAATCCAACTACGAATGTTAGCTTCAGAAAGCGGTTATCATTGATGTGTTTAGAGTCATTGCAACTCTTTTGAACGCAGCCGGGTTTTTTCAAGCCAGTTATGCAAAGTTACTATGCAGGCCAGGAAAACGCCGCCAATTTCTACTTCATCGTAACCACATATTTGATTAGATAGTTCCTTAAGAGTTTCACAAATTACTTTATAGTTTTATCTAGCGCAAGGATAAAACCTAGGTATTGACACCATCAATGTAGCACTGTATAGAAAGCGTTTCAAAGAGATTTGCAACTTGGTCGTTTCGTAAAATTAATTTAGAGAAATTAGTTGAATTTGTATCAAACAAAATTTTCTTAACTGGCTCAAGGGTGGCAAAAACAAAATTAGAATTCTTTCCGTCCTACCAATAAACGGAATCAGAAGCAAAGAGGAGATTATTCATAAAGTTATTAACTGAAGATGAAAGTATTCAATAGGGGTAGCACGCCCGGCCTCGCACACGAGCCAGCAGTCTCTTTTTCAAAGCAAACAACAGTGAATCTACATAGATTACCAGAACATCAAAAGAACTACAATCCTGGGTCTTATTGTTGAGAAAAATGGTTAACTAGATATATCGAGTTGGAGAGAGAGAATGGGTGCATCTCTACATATTTGGTCCTGGATTGGGTAACGTTCAAGAACTGTACAAATAGTGCAAAAGACATTCAACAGAATCTCAGAGTTTTGTCCAATTTCGAATGCAAAAGACAGATTGAAGAAGGAGAAGACTAAGGAACTAGAAAGCTTATGCTCAATTGCTGGCTAATAAGTTATGAATGTCGTTATGAAAATATGAATAGACAAAGGATATCACAATATTCTTACTTCAGTACTAATGAAATAAGAATATAGTTGAATTTTATTATGATCAGGTATAAAAAGACCGACAATTATCGTTGTTTGACGAATCACCTACATCCAATGCAAAGAAAGTTTTTAAAGATCTAACCAAACCTAACTGAATAAACAAAAGTTTGTTAGTTAGCTCTGTCTTAACTCCTAAATAATTTACTGAATTCACGTATTACATGAACGTCTTCCGTAAATCAACTATTGATCTTTCACTGGAAGCAGCTATTAGGCAACAAGTCACAGAAATGGCCTGTAATCATAGTGTCACCCAGCTAAAACCCCGATAAAAAGGTAATCTCTTAAGCTGGACGTAATTCCGGCACCGCAAATAATTCACATGAGCATTTTTTAAGAGTCAGACAGCGTAGCAATTAATCAAACAAGAGTAAGCTCTCAAACAAAGAGGTGTATATAAACGTACAACAGCACAAATCCATTTTGCTCCATTTAGCGCCAGATTTGCCTCTACTCTGCCGCGCGGTACAGTGGTGTTTGATTTTGCTTTAAACCTTTTCACTTTTGTAATGCATCTGTGTCGAGCCTGAGACCATAACAAGCATTTAACGGATAGAGATGCACAATTTAGTAAGAATTTCCAGCACCATTTTAAGACAAAACCACTTTATACCTGCTTATGACATCAACTAAAAAGTACACAGCTGTTACCTGTGTAACAAAAATTGTGGAACAAGGCAATTCTTAGCAGTAACCCTGAATTACCTAAGTTACGTGAAACCAGGCAAAAAATACAGTATTTTATTTGCATTATTATCATGTATCAACCAAAGCGACCAGGCTATTAAAAGTGCAATTTGGAAAGCCATACATGATAAGCTTTTTTTTTAATTAATTCATCATCAATATCTACAGAGTTTTGAAATCTTTTTTGTTATTTTTGTATGGAAGAGCAGTCCACAAAAGAACAGAAATTTACATTGCCTAGATCATGGAACATCATTCATCTTGAAACTGTAACGAAATTTGGTACTCAAGATCGTAAGAATCTAGAGAATTCTTGGTTAATTTTTTAAATGTACAAGACAAATTTAATCCTTTTTACCAAGGAAAATGTAATCAGTGCCTGTTGAGCAGAAAACAGTATTTTATGAGAAATCTAGAAAATTGAGTGGGACGAAAAAAACAAATCTTATTAATAATGTCAAACTTACAGGCAGGGTAGAAATGTAGGTAAACTAGAATCGTATGACACGATCTAAACGATACATGGTTTGAATTTGTGCCAGATAATTTGAAATCAGCAGCTGCATTTTAAAAGTAGGTGTCTCTTTTAGGTAATATCAAAATCGGATTTACAGATAGAAACATTCTTCAGTTTCCTTTTGAACTTGGGTTGCCTATCAATTTTTACACGGATTAACTCTTGAATAAGAAATTTCTTGTGGCCAAGTGAACTCTGATAAAATCAGGTACATAATATCACTGGGAGGAAATATTCTTATTTACTTGCTGGTATAGATTTTTGTTATTTACAAATAATTTACAACCAGCTGATACACACATGATACATGAGAACTTTAAAATACATTCATTAAACTCATTTTAAGCTGGCTGCAAAGTCATTACCGAGCCAGCGTTACTTTGTATAGTGCTATTCACAAGGCCTAGAAAATAGGCCATTGCGTACAATATTATATTGCATGCGATTGTGAAATAAAAACTGTTTATATGTAACAGTACTTAGTTAAGTATGAATATAAAAGCGTGGGAGGAAATATTATTCTTAGCCCAGTTTCTAAAAACTAACGTACTCTGTTTACATTCTCACATACCAATTAGAAACTGATCGTATGATGGCACGAAATCGGTCAGTTTCTTAAGCACACAGAAGATTCCAAGTCTTAAGCGAAGTACTTCATTTCCAAAAAAGTGCACAAAATGTTTGCATTCAAGGACAGGGGATGAGAACATGGGATTAGAAAGCGAATTACGGGCGCAAAACAAATTAACACGAAGGGCACACAAAGACGCCGAAAAGCCTTACACGAAAAATGAGACAACCAGTTCTTACAAGGTCCTCCAAACAAACGCGGTTTCTCATGCAATATGAGGTGAATGCTTGCAACGGACTTACGGTGACTTAAAAATGACTATGGCAGATGTTGCAACCATGGGAAAGTTTGCAGAATGCGGATAAGGAGGGTAAAGAATTGTAAAGGTCTTTAAATCACGTAAAGGTCGAAAAACAGTGCTATTTATTGTTTTATCTGCCCTTTTTTGCATAGTGCCATTTAAAAGGCACCGAGGCATCATCAAAGAAGTCATACATCAAAGACAGTTGTTTTATGGTGCGGTACATTTTTATAAGAAAAGGCATTCGTGGATCTGAAATACAAGTGTATGAAGTGGCTTAAAACCTTTATGACTGCGATAACTATTTTGCTACTTCCAACACTATCTTGTAACGGCATGAAGAAAAAAATTTTATGAAGACGAAGTAGAATTGTTTAAACAAAAGAGCATGCAGCGTACGATTGTGTTTCAAATATTTTTTCTCACAAATCGAGACTGTATTACAAGCTTTAGGCAAGAAATTTTTTGGGAAAATTTTGGAAAAAGTGTACAAAATTTAATTACGAAAGATTTTATCCCAAAATTGAATTCAAGGTAGGAATCAGTGCTTCAAGCAAATGGTATGGGATGCATTCACATACCGGAGGAAGATATATTGTCAGCAGCTCTGAAGAAAGACCAGTGATAAGAGGCTGGGTACTAGGTAAAAAAACTTGGAAAAAAATTTCAGCTTAAAGAAAATTTTTTGGAATATTTATGCAAGGCAGATTGAAAACGAGGCCTAATTTGAAAGAAAAAATTTGCTCTTAGAAGCGGCAAAGAAACATAAGCTTTGAGCTAAAAATCAAACGATCCACTTGAAAAATTATATCGACCTTTTTGTAGCAATATATGCTTATAGACTTAATGAAATATACGTCATAAAAGATAGGCTTTCAGAAGCCCATGCACAATATGGAGAGCTACTGCTTACTGAGAAGTTAGGGTGTGGAAGGGGAAGGTGTCAGCAACGATAAGGCTGCCAGTTGCAGTATAAGTATAGGGCCATCTTTTATAAGGCCGAAGAAATAATTTGCTGCAGGAAAAGTAGAGTAGGAGAGACGCTTTCGCGATATTATGCCTCAGCAAGAGTAGCTTGCACGGTACAACGAGTAGGTTTGGTAAAGCTAAAATGCAAGAATGGCTTTAACGAATCCACTGGCAATAATGTTGAAAGACTAGAAGATGGTTGATGGGTGAATGAATGGCAAGGAGAGGAAGGAATCAATTAATTAAGAAATAATAGGCAGGAAATTCAATGCACTTTGTATTCATGATGGATGCAAAAGGCTTGTCGTTTCTGAACCCAAGAGGAAATAAGTCATAGAATTAATTGTAAAAGAAAATATGGCAACGAGTAACTAGAAAGTTTTCTACGAATCAAGAAAGTAGCAGCAAAGGTTTGAGAACCATTAATTACCAAAAACCACAATAGCATGTATTGGTCAGAGGCGAGGGCTACATCTTGTCGAGGTATATCGGCCAAATGCTCGTCCATCCTGAGAACAGTTTTAGGCATAACAGTAACGGGAGGTATGAAGATATAGAGTAACGGGAGGTATGGACTATAAATATGTTGTGTTTTGTACTAAGCGGATAACTTAGAAGTGAAATATTAAGCCACAAGTTGAGCTGCTAAAGTAAACAGTTCCCTGATATGGAATGATAATCAAAGATATGGAATGTATGATATGCAAAAAATTAATAAGACAAGTGATGGTTAATGTTGTTGATATTGCTGTAGATAGTGATTTGGAAGGAGTCGAATTTTTAAGGTCGCGACATAAACTGAGCATTTAAACTGGCGTCTGAGAACAAGAGCATAGCAACAAAATAATAAGATCTATATAAAATAACTCTGCTTGGTTTTACTTCGTTGGCCAGTAATTAGTTTACAGTTTAACCTAATTCAAATAATATTCAGTAGCTTACCCGAAGACGCTGTCTCCAACATTGAGGACATGGCCAAGATGCGTCCTGCAGTGAACCTGGTCAACCGACCCCATTTCATTTGTTCGCATCAAGTAGACATCGGCAAGCAAGTACTAAAATAAAACGACACCCAATTCCTTCAGCCACAGTTTAGAAAATGGTTTGCATTCAACTTTTAAACTGATTCATTGAAATTTAGAACTGAAGGTTATAACTTTCAAATACGAAGGCAATTTTTTTCGTGTTTTGTTTTTGACGATTGGCAAATTTTTACTTTTTGTCGAAAACCACCTGTAAAAACAAGACTTTGCTGGCAAAAACCGCGAGACGTGAAATCGAGCTCTGTGAACTAGTAATGTTGAATCAACAGATTTCATTTGCCTAATGATGGAATTAAGCGTGCAACATGGAGCTGCAACTTAAGGCCGTCCTGTTTGACACTACAACGTTTCAATGAAGATGCATACAAAAAGAAGATAAAACTGGGAAACTCAATCTTAATCTATTAATGACAGTTCTTGGCTGATGTACAACGACAAATCCTTGCCAAAAACAATAAAAAAGGCATTACAGTGCTTTTTCTAACACTACTACCCAACTAACTCATAACACCGTACATTCGCTCCATAAACAATTTTAATGAGCAAATTGCTATTCGTAATTGATTGCAGCACACTTTGTCACATAAAAACCATGCTAATAAAGCATTGACATAAAAATACTTTATCATTAACATTATCTTGAGAAAGAGGGGCTTTGTTCAATGGTAAGGGACGTTTTTCAAGAGTGGTGACAAGGATTGATTGTAGAAGTATTGAAACAGTGAAAATTGTCAATGCTGACTGGAATTTTTAAAACGTGAAGATATCAGAGACACGTAATGATCAGTGGCCTAAGAGGATCAGAAGAAAGAATTGGCCTTGAAGAGTAAGAAGATTATAGGAAGAAATGAATTCTGTTATCTCCTGATCGCTAATGCCAAGTTAACAAAAACTAATTTTGAGCGATATCTGCATGATGAAGAAAAATGAAGCATAATTCATTACTCTGCTCTTGGCAAGAAACTTGGTTCCTCCTCCTGCAGCATCCATTTCGAGAACCGTGTAGTCAGTTAGCTGTTTTGAAGCGCACATACTGCTGAATGGACTTCGCCAGTACAAATTTGCAGATACTTCAGCAACTTTAACAGAAAAATAAAATATTTAAAAAAACCAATTTTAATGTGTCATGTTTTAAGAGAAAAGCCAACTTAGGTCTTTTTCCATTCCAACTCATTAAGGGAACTGCAATTTTCTATTTCATTTAGCAAAACGTTGTTTTCCTTTACTAAGATGTGATTTAATAAAACTTTTCAATCATTATCTTAAAATGACTGTCAGGCCTCTGTAAGAAAGAGTAAAGTTCTCATTTTAACAAACAGTTGAGGCTACATTGTTGAGAAAATTGAGGAAACAATAGTCTAAAATGATTATGGATAGCTGTGAAAAGAAAATAAACTGGTTAACCATGAAAATGATCGACACAATGACAGCTCACGTGACAGATTGCATCCAATAGGCGATGGGATTTGTAGTAACAACTGCCTTATTCATGAAGTCATCACTGTTACAAAAAAGCTCACCTTGTGTTGTGGCTGGGTTGATTAAATGCAACGAATTTGTTACTTTGTAGCATACCAAGATCTGACTGTAAAATAAAAGTTACATGCATCATCAGTTTCAGAATAAAACTGGGCGATAAAAGTCGATCATGTACAACTTTCCTTGCCTAATAACAAGAGCATATGATAGATTAGATGAAGACGCAAACAGCTGCAAGAACTCTCCTTTACGACAAGCATGAATCCTTTCTCATTTCAAAATCATTGTGTACAAAAGTCTGTTGGACACATCGAGCAATAAAAATCATTGCACTTTTGTTTCAAGGACAAATATGCAAACATATCAATCAATTAAAAACCTAGATGTAAAAACTGTACTTTTACGATAAATTTTGAAATATTTCATTTTAGCAAGAAAAGCTACTATTTTAGTAAACTATGAATTCTTATCATCTTCAAAAGAAGTCATTAACGATTTCCCGTGACGTCAGGCAATAGAAGCCCTGGAGGTCTCAACACCATGTGTCCAATCAATTGAACGTATCCTGAAGCTGCCCCTTCGACGTCACGCTTATTGGCATTTATCTGCGATAAAAATTACAGAGCCGTGGAAAAATGAGAATAACATGTAGTCATTTGGATTTGCTTTCTGATTTTCCCATCATACTCCTAGGTTCACATTCCTTAGAGATTAGAGATTGAGAATGTCCTAAACGATTACGTCAGATTTTTAATTTCTACAGCGTTGTGATATTAAGGAAGCAACAGGGTTGGGCTTTGTAAATCTTGTCACCATCAAGAGTAACGCAGGGACCTGACTTTTAAAAGGCAAAATATCCGTATCTTTCAAAATACTACTTTAGCGAAATAATCTTTTTGACAAAAGCTCAATCCATCTTTATTCCCCAAAGCTATATTGATAAAAGCATTACGGGATTATCAACCTAATATTAAACTCAGTTTAGCCTATAATCTGCTTTAATTAACCCATGTCACTTTACATTAGTAAATATTATAAGTATATCTTTAGTAATTTTCGCGGTCTCATCAAAACAAGCTAATCCTCTGAATAGTCGAATGCATTAATTAAATTGATATCGGTTTACCTCGCCTTAATGGTAATTGTCTTGATTGGCCTAATTTTGGGGATTACAAGAAAAGTTTGAAACTGGGTTTTTCAAAATCCTTCGGCTCAAATGCTGACAGGGGGCGGGATAATTTGAGAAGCCGGAAGATTGAGGCCTGCTTTTGCCATTAGCACACAAAAATACGATTTCGCATTGAAAGTCTGTTGATAATAACCCCAAAAATTTGAGAAATAGAACCACAATGTAAATCTTTAAGGCATGACTTGAGAGAAGAATGATGTTGACATATCAGCATATAAACAGAAAAAGACACGATTAGAGATAATGGGGCAGTATTGGAGTATAAGGGTGATCAGTATATATAGTTTCATGCAATGCCTTGTTTACAGTTATTAAATGACACACTGCCTAAAATTTTAGAAAATACCAATATTCTCTTAAAACTAAATTCTCATTCCTATCGACCGAGCCGAGCCTCCTATCGAGACAGGATCGTAGCTGTCATTTCTGTCTCCTTTTGGCTACCTTTTCGCTTGACATCTAACTTGCAGCAAAAGCGTACAAAATCAAACTCGTAAAAAGCAGCTATCAGGTTAGGATTGTGCAAGACAATTTAATTGCTGCTTAACTGTTTTAGAGTAGGGTATTTTCAATAATACTAGCAATATACTTACCCAATGTTTCCAAGAGACTTTGAAAGCTTCATCGGTAGACACACAATATCATCCTTGAAAAAAGCAAAAAGATTTGCAAGAAGAGAGCAACTATGCTTTTTATGAAAAGAATTGGGGGAACTGGAAACTTGCAGAGTGAGTACCTGAAAATCTAAAAAGGTGCTGCACTGACTGTTTTTTATCTAAGGACTCTAGTGTTGAACATATATGCATCGTTAGGGATAAGTGTTAAGTGTTAACTTCTGGCCACATAGGTTAGGTGCCTACAGAAGTGACAGACGGACGGAAACACGATTTCGTTATTCTGCTGCAAAGGGGAAAAAACAGGACCAGGCGAATTTGCACAAACTAACAAGGACAAGATATCGATAAAACAGTATTTTGGTATGATTGATGAATGACGTAATTCGATGAATGACGTAATTCGTGGCCAGTTTTGCTTTCATTTGCGCGATAAAAGCCATCAGAAGGAATACGCAAGCAACTTTTATGGAAAACCCTTGTTGTACAAACATGTTCTAACAGAGAACTGTAAATATTAAGATGGTTGCCAAAGGTTTACATTCTCCTTTGGGTATCTCCATTACTTTGGAAGTATACAGCCAAAATCTATGAACAAAACACAATTGTTGCAGTTATGTGTCAAGTTTACCGAGCACTCGATTGCCAGCTTTAACTCCATTTATTAATTAAGAATGACTATATTCGATGTCATTTTGTATGTCAAAGAAAAATCAAGCAAAAAACCATAAATCAAATGTTTCGTTTCGCTATATTAGCGTTTCCAGTAGAGTTAAACCAAAACATTCTTCAATAAACTGACCTTAATCATACACTAAGTTATCGTTTAAAATAAGCATATAGCGCGCTTTTAGTTGTTTTTTGCCTTTATTCGCCCGGAAAGACCATCTTGGAGAGCGCAAGGTATTTCAAACTGGATCAAATGAATCACTGTTTTGACACATCGCACATTGACAACTGTTGTCATCTGGGTGAATAGGTCGACTTCCCAAACTAATTTATCTTGAAATGCTTGCTATAAGAAGTTCTTTTTTCTAGATAAGATCTTGTTAGCAGGCATTTTTTACATTTCAAAAGATTCACAACCCGGACCAAACTGACTAACGCAAATGCTATAGGACGCAAAGGTCTTCAGGGCTTATTTTTGACACCTTGATAATAGCTGGTACTTTGTCTAAGCTTTTCTAGGATTGACTTGTTTCTAAGACACAGCGGGATAAGCTAAAATTTCACCAGAAAGGGAGGGAGTTTTATATTTTGGCTTTACTATCTATCAAAAAATCATTAAAACAAGAATCACTGAGAGTGGTATTTGGTTACAAGGGAAATCATTTAAGCCGAATGCTTCAAGGGAGATTTAGCTTGCACGTGGCCTTTATTAATCAGCAATACAGAATCTCTAGGGCTCACTTTATGAAACACTTCAAGACTTCGATACTAGCTCTAGCAATATCTGCACCATTTGAGCAACGACCGCTAAATCAAGCAATCCATACAATAACTAAGGTGATTACAAATGTGGTTGATTGTTATCGACACCCTCCAAGAACAATTTATTGAGCGGTAGGCATGGGTGGCAAATTCAATCGCACAAAGAACTAAATGTAAAATATGATGTGAATAACTGTTCAGAGTGAATGAACTTATTCAACAGAAAAAATCGACTTTGTTTTAGCATAAACTTGTATCTGGATAGTCAGACTACTGTGAATTTTTCGAAAGAAAAGCAAACATCAAAGAATAAAGCAAATAAAAACTAGTAGGATAAAATGGTATTGACGAAATAAGTTGGGTGATCACTAAATACTGAAAGGCCATACATAATTAATCTTTCTAATTATCTCCCGGCCACAAATGATGGCTTTATGGGCCGGATATGGCCTGCAGGGCTTGTGTTTGATACTTTTGTATCATTTGATATTTTCCTCTCGAAGGTTAAATTCAAAATGACAAATTTGCCAGGTACTTGAGAGTAGATGAAGAACATAATAACTCGAAAGGGAATTAAAATATCATTGCGAAGAATCACAATTGCAATGGGGGGAAAGCCACAACTTCTTCAAGGCTTTTGCTTAGGTATTTATTCTCCACAATTATAAGCTAAACATATAGGGACCTTTAATTGTGATATAAATTAATTGTGATAGCTCTTGTGACATCACTCAAGGCCCACACAGGAAAATTGCGAGAGAAGGACAATCGAGAACAGACTTGCTAATCAACACAGATCCTATTTATACAAGCAGATGAAATTTTCTAGAAATACTGTCTAGAAATATGGTCTAAACGTATATAGTTTATTGGTATTTGACTTAAGGGGCAATAATTAGCAAGAAGCGGTGCTTGATGAAGAAATAGAAGGAGCATAAATGAAAGATTTTTAAGTTGTTAATAAAAGTGACAGATCCTGTGAGCCGAGAGAAAGAACAGAATGAATAGCAATAAACATAATGCACAGGCTTTGCCTGTTAAGAGACAAACAATAAAGGATTTTGCCCTAAGAAAGGCTTTCATGAGAAAAACTCTTTCAGATTCACAAGATTAGAAATATCAACAAAAGTGAATTATCTGCATGAAAAAGCATAACGTACAGGCGGGTTTCACATGCACTAGAAGACATTAAAGCACAAATTTTTACTTTGGAGAAACTATTAGTGCCCTTTATACGACAGGTTACCCTGATTTACGACACAGGCCTAATTATACAGGATTAAGCATCTCAAAATGATCTTTGACAGCTGTCAAACCACAAAACTATGAAGTCCTGATAGCATTGGTTTGTAGAAGGCCTAGAAGTCAAATGCAACTGAACTGCAAACGAATTAAAGCTTTCCGTGGTTTAAGGGTTTGAAAATAGAACCTCTACCCTGACTGACTTAAACAATGGTAAAATGTAACCTTGAAGAATTCCTAACTTAATCTAAAATGACGAAGAGTACACGTCGAAACCATATACCCATATAACACTGACAATTTTGATGGCTTCTAGTCCAAGCCTATCAGATTCTTTTCTACTCCTGTTGACAATGCTTGGGTTGGTTTTCTAACTTAGTATTCAGCCAAAATTTTTTTTATAATAATATCGCATTGTAAGTGTAATAGGCCCAATTTCTTTCCTTACGACTAAAACAGAAAGATTTCAGTACATTTATTTGTTTTGCTATCTGTCTTTACATTCCAGCTACAGTTATTTTTCAAGGACGCATTCTTCTATCTAACGGTTTTTTACAGTTCTCTTGAAATACAATTCCAGAACATATTTTGGCTCGATAGTAAAAAATCAAACAATAAATACTTTGCCGGTAGATAAAATAACTCGCATCATGAATGCAAGATAACTCGAAAATTGCTTATTTCAATCGTTATCATCCCATAGCAGACTCGGGGAAGATTTTCGGCAAAATCGTACAGAAATTTAAAGAATGTTTGGAGAAATATCGGGAAATCAGATCACGACGCAATACTGAATGCACAATGAAACCATTTTGCTGATATCACTTCATTGGACGTTGCCAAATATTGATAACTTATCTTCAATATTTGGAGCAAACAATCTTGATATTATATTGCAGTGACGAGAATGGAAAAGGTTAAGAACAACGCAATGAATGTTATCGCTAGAATATAAAGGGTAAGGTTAAGATTAATTTTCTGATTCGAAACTCTCCATGCTGAAGTCTTGCTTAGTCTGCCTTTCGATCTGATAATGTAAAACTGTGGATTTGTTTTTATCACATATGGTTGTTCTTTTCTTTTTGCCTGCTACCGATGACAATCTTCGTTTTAGAACTGAGCAAAGTAACGCAAACTATACCTAAATGATTTTCTACCGCAGTACTATTTACGGTAATCCTATAACTTCATTCTATTAACACAAATAATCAATGGAATCTAAATACCAGATTATGACATCAAAATCCTTATGACTGTCAGCTAGCCCGAACAAAAAACTAGTCTGTAAAGCGATTGCTCATTCCTTGCTTTCCCTTAAAATTTACCATCAAAACATTCTGCAAACCATGGATAGGATAAAGAGAAACTAAGTGTAAATAGAGTTTTAACAGAAGAAGTTATACGTTGGTTGAAAATCTTACCTTGCAAATTGGAACGAGTTCAACTGAAAACGTGTGCTTGTAATTGTAGGTATTGTTGTGTATATCATGAGATATCAGTTCCTGGGCAGTCTTATACCTAAATAAAAAAACGCATTATTTTGTTTTAATGAGAGATTCTTGTTGCTTGGGAAAAATTTTATAAAATTAAAGATTTAGAAATTAAGGTAAGACAATCACAGAACACGAATTACAAGAGAAGTCTCATTACAAAATATTTACTTGAAATATTGGCCGAGCAATTCGAGTGAGGCTTTTGCAAAGGTAACAAGCCATAAACGATGAAAACCTAAAATCTAACGAATTCGTTTTAGTTAACAGGATTTCAAGGGACGGAAAGGGATGGAAAGGGAAGCAAATGTCCATTGACGTTTAAGGGGGTGTTTCCTTAGACAAAACATGATAGATACCTGACTAAACGCATTAAATCATTTCATTGATCATACTTAAATACGATTCCAGTTGCTTTGCTTAAGACATTCATTCAAACAGAAACAATACGTCCTCTACTTCGAGTCCTTAAACACAGATGCGGATTAGGATTTCACCTGCAAGGCACAACAGACTGGAGGAAATCGACCAGCTTACGGGCTTCTTCCTTCTTGTCATAATAAAAATCGAGGCCATCTGCAAATAAAGAGAGATTAAATGGTCAATGATAAAAAGCCCTATCTGTAGAAGGATTTACCTGGTCAAATAAGCTTTCTTCGTGCAATCCTATTCTGGTAACTGATGGCTAGTAAGATCAAATACTATCTGTCTGCATAAGATGCACACTTCACCTCTTGGAAGCCAGGAAACAGCCCCGCAGGACCAAAATGACTAAAACTACCCTTCACAGTCAGGATAGTTGGTGAAGTCAAAGCGAATAGAGGAAATATTCTCCATATGATTGGCTTAAGCACCAATAAATTCTATACCACAGGCAGTGTGGCAACATAATGCATCTCTGTTTCTACGCCTACTTGAAAATTACACCAATCTAATCTATCAGTTATCACCATGAATTTAAAACTAAGTGAGCAGAGGGCTACAAAGATTAAGTTGTGGCTTTAAGAGCACACCAGGAATCCAAAAATCTAAAATAAGAACGAAGGGATCTTCTCAAATCTATTGAAGGTTCTACTTCCAACCACAAAGCCTGTTTTGGGCAAAGAATCGCAAGAGCAGGACTCCAGTCATAAAATTACTTCAGACATCAGAATCAACTTCATCTCAATACATTTTAACAACAAAAATGCAATAGTCTAATCAATTTTTTTCTCAGCTCGTAAGAAGTTCCAAACAGGTAACATGGCACCAACAAAATATAAAATTGCAATATAATTGGGTTTAATGCAGAGATGCAGATGTCATACCCATAAACTTGTCATAAAAATTTACGACGGATACAATTTGTGACTTATAAATTACCAAATATGGATAGCTGGTAAGTTAGGAAGACGATACACAGAACTACAGAAGCAAAAACATAAAAGCGCTATAATGAGAAACATAAATTTAATTTGAAGATTTTACTGACCATGCATTTGCTTAACTCTGAGGGACCTTGCATGTATATTATGCTTCAAAATCAACTGCTCAAGATAGAAGAATGTCTTTTTGTGAGGAACCTGTCATAAAAAATTACTTCATCATTTACAAATGGCACCCCAAAACATAAAGTCATTAATGTGCATTCAATGACTTTTTGAAAATATTTAAAGATTGCATCATAATGAGATGCTTCTATTATTGCACAAACATGGCTCTCTAGAATCTTTATCAAATCAATGGGGAATCTTGTATCAAATCCATGGGGAATCTTGTATCAAATCCATGGGGAATCTTGTATCAAATCCATGGGGAACTTTTTTACCACCAATTTGTTTACATGAGATGATTCTGCGTGAGATAAAAACATCAAATGATTCTAGCTATCTAAAAACAAAATAAAAAAAAATTCAAAGAAATAGATAATAAATTGCTTCATTTACCTTCTGTCTCACTTGGACTATTGCTTTCCAAAAATCTTTTGCCTCCCGTCTGTGACAAAGCTCACACATTTGTCCCTGAATGACAAATTCTACAACAAACACTTGCTGCAGAATTGTAGATCCAAACACCTGCAAAGGACAATATTGTGCAACATTAAGTAAAGATATACAACAAAGTATTTATTGAGATATTCTTTAATAAACAAAACTATTAAAAACCCCATTAAAACACAGCCACTTTAATTGAGCAATCAAAATTTGATAGAAAACTGTTTCATCTTCATTGACATGTCTTGTTAAATATAGTCATTAAATAATAGTTTTCAAATTGTTAAAAATTTTTAGCTAAATCTATCACTGACATGCCACAGCTAGAAGACACTTTTAACAACAATCTTAAAATTCTCTATGCTATCTCTACAGCTAAATACAAACTTTGTCTTTTCTTTGAGAACAAAATGTATTCCATGATTAAACATAATCTTGAAACTTGTGTTCCTTCAAAATTGCTGAAAGCTTCACTTTTGAATTCAAGTTTCTGATTTTCAAAATAAAGGCAGACAATGGATTTCAGATTCGTGTTGTTTGTTGAAAGATCTCTAAACTATAAACATAAACTTCTACTTACTTCTTTTTGAATAGTTAGCTTCACTTTAATCCTTTTGGAATGTGGCTCAGTCCAGATAAAAGTTGCATCAACCAGTTTCACCTAAAAGCAAATCACTCTACATTTGTCACTTTTGACAAATTAATATAAGTAAACCCCTAAATTTAAGATTGTTTTCTAGGACATTGACTAAGTATGAAATACTGGCTCTCTTTATTGCTTGTAATAGGTTTTCACTTGGTTTTAATTAACTTAGTACATGGCACATTGTTTCACATTTTGCCAAAATCTTTTAAGCCTCTTTGTAAGCTAAATGGATAAAATAGCAAACTAATTAGAAAAGGCAGTCAGCCAAAATCTAGCCCAATTGACCAATCATAATGCAGGGTGATATTGATACTATTCATAGGAAAAATTGAAAAACACTGCTTTAGGAAGGATAAAATTATTGGGGGTACAATTGCCCATTGGAAACAAAGGCCTTTTATAACAGGAGTTTATGCCCCCAGGACAATTGTTGTGGTGGTCCTGACAAACAAGAAAACACCCTGGAAAAGTTCATGATGACAAATTAAGTCATGTTCTTGAAACATTGGCATGTTCAAGAAAAGAGAATACTGCTTTATTTTGCTGTTCTCAGAAACAAGAAACAGCAATGTCCATCCAATATTTTGTATCTTAGAATATTTTAGATTTTTCAGGATCTTGAGAAATTACAATGCAAACCCATCACCACCCAAACCCATTATTAGAATGATTTATCGATATTGTAGAGATTGGTAGAAAAAGCTCCATGTACCTTGGTTATATACACTGAAGATTTATTTACATCAGACTGTTTCAAATGGCTGATTGATTAGAAAAAATTCAAATAATATCAGTTATCTACACGAAACAGACCTTAGCAAGACCTTTAAGCCTTTTTAGACATATTGCCATAAGCTCTCTGGATTCCAAAGCACATGCCACCCATGTTGAAGGAGGTTGTAGATATCTTTGGTTAAGAAAAGAGAAATCATATTCAGAATAATTGAATAATTTCATAAAAATTCATTACATTAGCTCCATGACTAATGAAAATTTGGTGCATATTGAAGATCAGATAAAAAAATGAAAATCTACACCAGGCTGCTGTCATAGTTATCATAGTTACGTATTAACCTTGGTGCGTCATCTCTGCCAATAGAAAGACCTGAGTACTTTGAAAATACTTTCAATTTAATTTTTAAGAAATGTATAGAAGGAATACACTTTGCCTAAAACTTTCAAAAATAAAAAGCAATAACCTCTTACACAGTGGCGTAGCTAGCGGTCATGCTTGTCATGCCGGGCATGACCATCTATTCCCAGTGATAACATTTTTTGATAACAAGTGCGACCATCATTATAATCATCAGAACCGTCTTGTGTTATTTCATGAACAAGAGTGCAAGGCAGCATTTATCAATGATGGTCGCACTGTTGTGGCTAGATCCACAAGATGGGAGGCAATGCTCTGCAAGCAAAAGCTTATTGCCAAGTAGCACAGACTCATGTGGATCTCCAGAACTTTTTACAACAATGGTAGGATTTTCAGCCTGAATGGTGTTGCCCTATGAGGAGAAGTGAAAGGCACGAAAGGCTCCTTTTTGGTCCTTGGTTAACCAATAAAGATGCTTTGTGATGGGACATAAAATCAGTGAGCAGGATCATCCTGGATGATCAAACCCTTTTCAGTAATCAATTGTTTCAAGATGTGGTGCTGTTCACTGGAGATGGATGGATGAAGAAGATAGCAGTGTAATTTGGCAAACCAACAGAATTTCAGCTTAAACTCTCCCGACATTTAGCAGCATAGTCAACTGATAAGCCCTTTAAGAGCATTGTTAACATATTATGATAAGGACAATAATTTTGTAGTTAATAAATAGAGAATTCAAAACTATCTTTAATATATTCTTCAATTTTTTGTTGATTATCACATGCAATAACACTGTTTTGACACACAATTTAAGTCAAACTGACACACAGAGCTCTGTGTAGTTGAAAGTACCTGTCCAATAAATAAAATAAAATAAAATGACCAGAGACAAGTCAAGCATGTTTCTGATCTTGATAGTTGAACAGTTTTTTCTTTATATCAGCCTTTAATGTATTTGAAAATGCACAAGATCAAATTATTTCATTTAAAACCCTTATTTGCTAAATTTAGTAACATAAATGCTAAATTCTACAAGTATATAGAAACATAAATGTTTTTTTAGCTAAACTGATTTTGCAAAATATTTTTCTATTAAGTCTAAATTTACAGAAAACATTTTGCAACAAGGCTTTTCTATTATTATAGTTACTTCTATTTCATATCAAAATTGACTTTGCATATCCATTGGCCCAATTGTTTTATTCATCTATCAGTACTATTGTGATTGTTAGGTAATCATGACATCTTTGAAATACATTCAATAAATTGATCATAAGACTATTTGTGGAAAAGATGACCAAAAAGCTTATTCAGTTTCATGTGATTTATTGTGTCATTTACAAATTTTAGCTTATCTCTAAACTTTAAATTTAACAAATACATTTAAGCCTCCAAAGTGAAGGAAAGCGGGAGAATAACACAATTTTTGGTCTAAGCTAACTTTATCAACAATACTGAACTTATGTTTTTGAATGAACTCCGTCTATAGAAATTATCAACAAACAAAAACGGTGTCACAGCTATAACACACAAAGGTCATTTCATGGTGTACCAAGGTAATTGCTAAATAATAAGAAAAACTTGTTCTAAAGGTTCATCAAAATTTTTTCATAAGCTACAAGCCTTAAAATCTTTGTCCAAAAGGAACTCAGCAACTTAAAAATTGGATGTGGCAGAATTTGGCCAAATCCACATTTTTCGAAATATGTGGGAAGGGCATGACCGCTGCTATTTGGCTAGCTACACCATTGCTCTTACATACAATTCTTAACACCTAATCTTTTTCCAAGATACCTGTGAAATATGACAAAATCTAAAAAACTAACCTCTCACAACCTTTACAGAACTGCAACATTGCTTGTTTCTGGATACCATCACTTATATCAACTTTACTCCGAATGCATCCAACACACATATTAGATGCATTTGGAACTGTGGCAGAACCACATTCACAACACAATCTGAAGGAAGAAATTCAAAAACATGAAAGCATGGAAGCAGCTCACAGAATCAGAGCTCAATAAATCAGATTTTTACAATCAATAGTTTTTTTCAATTTTATTTTCCATAAACATATCGTTACATTAAAAGGCCATCACAAACCAATCTGAGCAGGGCTTAAAAAATTTTATTTGGTAGAGGTACAATGTTGTATGCAGCCTGAAAACACTAAGTACATGCAGACAAGTATCACATACAAAAATTTCGAGCTAAAGACTACCAAAGTGTAACATCATCAAAGTTCAATTTAAAAAATTTCATAATTTTGACCACATAGTTTGAAAGAATGGCATAAAATACCTTTACACCATTAGGTATGCACAAAATTGGGCTTGATATGGCCAAAATTGGATTGACTGTTAATCTAACCTGCCCCATAAAGTTACTAACCAAGATCGAATAACAATTATTTGATGGGGAAAGAGCCTGTGCTAAAGTGGCTATATTTAAACCAATTTCCAATACAAGCAACTGATTTTGTACATTTAGTAGTATTTCATAAAGATTTTTTTTGGTTATATGGTCAAAATAAAAAAATTCTAAAAGGAGTTTTTATTATGCCTATGCCATCACTCTGAACTCTAAACATTGTGACTTGGGGTCAATAATGGCAAATTTTGAAGAGACCATCTTTGTCTTCAAGATTTTGCATGTTTAAATGTTTCCTCAGTGGATAAATGAAGCGGTTTTAATAGGAAAAATACTTGGTTGGTGTAATAATTTTGCTTATTGAATGAATTTACAAGCAGATTTGGAAAAATTTTCACAAGAAATATTGATAGAAAGCATTTTTTCCCCAATTTCTTAAATTAGTTTATTTCTTTGTAACTGCAAGGCAATCTAATGCACAAAGATTGGGATCTTAATTCTACATTATCAAAACCAAATGGTTAATTGACCTAAAACCATATCAAGAAATATTGACATATTTTACAATAGAAAGTTGACATCTTTTCCAGAACGAGGAATCTGAGGGATTCTAGCCCAGTGGATATACTAGTATAAAAAAACGTAACAAACAGTTTTTTTTAGGAAGGCCAACTTGAGTGCCATGCCAAAACAGACTTAGGAAGGACCAGGATGCTGCTCGATAAGCATAGCTTTTCAGCGTTCTAAAACAACCTTCGGAAGCTAGAGGTAGCAAAAAATATATACAGTACAATACTTTTACCAAAGTTTTAGGTAGGCCTTACAAATTTCATCGTGTTCAGAGCTTTTAAATTATGAAATCTTTCATGAAAGCTCCTCTGTAAATCAAAAATTGACAACTAACAATCAATTTAATAATTCGCAACCTCTTCTTAAACAAGAAGGAAATGAAATACACGAAATTTCATACATCATATGTTGCGTTTGTTTTAGCTGGCTTTCCTTCATGTACTCCATGTTGATTCTCCACGTGAAAAGGAGGCTAGCTTCGTCGCGCCGAGGCTTGATAACTTTTTCGCCACAGCATATTGAAATGCCTGGCAATGCCAAAAATGGAATTAAAGAGATTGGTCATTCTATTATGTTCATATTTTGATTTTTTTTCAAAGTAACGTTTCTAGGCAAAGATGACCCTTTTCATACCGTGAGATATTTACCTCTATGAAGGTCGCTTATCAGTTTTCAGGAAAACAGAAAAGTGATAATTTCTGTAACACTTTTTCAAAAAGTTCTAGTCTCTGCAAAAAATGTAGAATCGATCTCTTCCCAAAAAGTTCCTTCGCGTGTTTGTAGGGGCAATAATCATATTGAATTTATCAATTTAACACTAACGGTAGTTTAGCACCAAACCTTGTGGAATTTTTAGCTAATGAACATGGCATACTGATTAATGTAGTTTACCAATCTGAGCTCTTTTCATTCCTCGAAGAAGTTATTTTTATCGTAATAAATGAAGACAGCTGATCTGTTCTATGCATCGTTCGATGCCCTATCCGCAGACATGCACAACGATACTTATTTAAAGTTTGAAAATTTAAGAAAAAGATCGTCGAGGTAATAGTTAATCATCTATATAATTTTCAAAACCGTGAACAATTTACATGACATAACTGTTGTGTTTCAGTAACTATTAGTTTTCTACCTTATATTTAGAATCTTTATCCTCAATTCACCTCTTCAAATAAGTTTCAATTCACCTCTTCAATTCACTGCTTTAAAAAGATTTATCATTTTGATAGACGTACATTTGCATCAATATGAATTTGATTTGGAATTTAAAACACTAATTGGTTTCAGATTTCTCACTTTCTAAAATCTAAACTCTTGATGCTAATATTTCGTAATTTAGCAATCCTACACAAATGAAAGGATTGTCGGTGTCCCTTCTTTCATTCTAATAGAGTTTCAAGTAAAATAGAATGGCAACAGAGAGAAACAAAATTTTTGCAAATCTCAATTAATTTCGATTTGACAGTGCATTTGCAGTATCAATTATTAGGTATAAATATGGATTTGATTACCGGTTTATAAGATGACAATAAATTAGATGCTTAAAAATTGATATTAAAAAAGTTACCTAAGCGATCATCGAACAGAAGATCAAAAGCTACGTCATCCACTTTGGAATGGAAAACACGTGAGCACCCTGATAGCATATAATAGTCCATATTTCTTTCCAAACTCCGGTTGACTGTACACGGAAATCCTTGTATTGTATTGAAGCTCATGTGGCAGTCAAGGAACATTTACAAAGGTCTCACTCAAATGTTTTATTAAAGGTTTAACCAAGTTTTGGATATGCAAGAAATCTTATCATAGTTACGTATTAACCTTGGTGCGTCAATCTAATTTTAGTACAAAACAAATTTTCTTAATATATATTTAAGCAATTTGATTCTTGGTGTCAGTCTTGTTAAGCTACATAAAACCAAAATACAGTCACGAGTCAGTTACTTTCACCAACTTTATCAAACATAAACGATTTTTTAGGCAAACACCAAAGCTTAGCTATATACATATATCTCTCTACGTGTTCTTATCTGGGTTAAAGAGTTATTTTTGCCAGTTAATCGATGCTTCATAATTAAAGAGCACAAAGTTTTCATGACAGAATATATACACATTTACATTAAAAATTTAATGCATAATAAATAGGTGTCATAATTATTTTACGTCTTCAACGACTTTCCAATAAGAAGCACCCCTAGTGCTTCCGAAACAAATATATTACAACTTGCTGGGTGTTTAAGCAGTCAGAGACACAATCGAGTGGCCCTCTAAACGTTGCATTCCCCCGAACAACAAACATTGGTATTACAACCCCAATCCTACAGCATCTAGCAGTGTTTTAACCAAGAACTATCAGTGTTTTAACTGCGAGTAGGGCAAAAATAACTGACTCTAAATTCATACGGATTAAAGAACCACGGGATTAATAATACTTTGAAATTAAAAATCAGTGCATATATAGGGCAGGTGAGGATTGGGGTGTAATTAGAGAAGACGGCTGGTAGGCTTTTCTGTAGTAGGAGGGACGGCCGGAGGGCCATTGAAGCTATTTAGGGGCCATTGCCACGATTAAACTTCAAAATCGATCATTAACGCAATGTGCAATCCTACTTGCTAAAGTTGCATCCTTGAGATCTACCTACAAGTGTAGACCTTTTGGATAACCGTGCATTTCTGGCATCGGACACTACAGCACCAGACAAATTTACAGTTACAAGATTTTGTAACGGCTACTGCCTTAAAGTCATATCCCCTTCTACAGCACATTTGATCGCAGCCGTCAGCACCTGTTGATGTGATATTGCATTCACGTCCTTTTGTTCCGATTGAGCCCGATTTTGCATCAGATCGGCAAAAGCTTGGCGATTTTTCATAGAATATCAAATCTCCTGGATTTGGTTTATCACCGCTCTTGCTCTTGGGCCTCAACTTTCTGTACCGCTTGCTTGATCCCTTTCTTGGCTTCATTACAACTTTCATTTCGTGAGCATTCTTGTACTTTTCTTTGAGTTTTTCTCCAACCTAAACGAGAAAATGCATTCAGAGATTGCATCGACGCTGACATAATCAAGAAAAAATGATCGAATGTAACAAAAACGTTGTGTTCTGTAGACTTAAACAACAGCATATTGGATTTTGAAAGACGACATTTGATTTGTCAGATCTAGCCATACAAGCATTCAATCACATGGGAAACATTCTAAAACTAAAAGCAAAACAAAGGCAAATAAAAGCAAGTAAAGAAAAATTTGAATCTACTTACAGAGCGGAATTTTGGTATATTAATCCAACACGTCTTTAGTTCACATGATCCGGAAAGACCGTGGCATTTGCATTTAGTGTATAAACCGTCTTTAATTGCCTGTTAAGATTAAGAGAGATCAATTTAGTTAAGATAGAATTTAATGTTAACAAGAATTAGACATTAGACAGGCTATTCGAAAGGTCCATAAACAAACTAGCTGAAAAAGGGGCCAAGTGGAACGCAGAAGAAACGGTATTGCCAAATCTAGATTTTCTTTGAATCAAATTTAGAGAAGCATACACATTATAGGTTGTCTGTAGGTTTTCAACAATAGATACAGATACTTTTTCTGTTTATGGAGACTAAAAATATTTTTTATTGTTTTTTGTAAAAGTTATGTAAATTTCAGGACAAATCAGTAATTTTCAAACTATATCATTTTTTCAGATAATGGCTGAAGAAATTTTAAAGTACTAAGAGTCACAGATGAAAATTCAGTTCTTAGTTGTTTTTAAGAATATCTGCAATACGCAATATCTTATTGCAAAGATACGTTAGAACAGTAATCTCACCTGTCTACCAGCGCGGTTGTTATGCTTATTCATGTCCCTTCTTGGTGTTTTTCTTTTTCCGTCTTCGGAAGAATCAACAAACCTTTCTGAAAATCTCAGGCCAAAACTGTAATCTCTGCTGCAACCGCCCCATCTCCAGCCGCCATTCGCCGGCGATTTCCTGTATCTTCTGTCACAATGACAATGTGTGGACTTTCCTTGTGCGCATGCCTCCGTCACAGCTGAAGCCAGACCAGCAGCAGTTATTGCATGAATGAATGCAGACTCTCTTGTTCCTAGGTGGATAAAACATGCCTTTTAGATATTTTGAATACATAACAGATCTTCCTTTATTTTTCAGAATACCATGTAGCACTAGTGATCAACCCACAAAATATAGATTTCAAAGACTTTCATACATAACTACCAACCTTTATCTAGAATTTTTCCAAATACTGAATTTTCCCCATTAACTGGACAGTTCCATCTGTTATTCTTAAACTGGAACTTGCATTCTTCAATTGATATCCTTGCACCCAATGCTACACTAGGTAGTAAGTCAGAATATTCCCTGCAAAGCTTCTTTTGTTTGTCAGAAATGTTTGGTAGCTGACCGCAGATCGACGATGCATCGATGCTTCTCACGTTTTGTCGCGTCATTACGTTCAATCCTCCAGTACCTAGTGCCCTGAAATGGAATTGGTGAAGATGACGTCATTGGATTGTTCTTAAAATCATCGAGGTCCTTGTATTAAAAAGCTTTTTTGTATGGAAGTGATCTTTGTATAAACTGGGCTTACTTCCAATGTGACGGGTTAAAGTATCAAGAGAAGCAAATAAGGCTTTCATTGATTTCGTACATTGGCAATTCACTTATCGCGACGTTTAAGTGATTAGATGCCAGATCTCTTTTTTCCCCAGGGTACCTGCCTTTTACATTTCCAAAATCTGGCTGTTTCAGCCAAGATACCTTAAAGACACCGTATAAAGAGTCTCCGACTGCAACTTAATCCCAATGACATTAAATGATGAAATTTGCATCAATAAGCTAGTTAAAAATGGCCTTCTGTTGATTTTTCCCATCGAATGTTTTGTGAAAATTTCTAAGGCAACAATTTCAACAAGATGATTTACATATTGAAATAACTGGGATGTGATCACTTGGACAAAATAATGACCTCATCCTGATATACAGGTGACACATGGGTTTGCTAAATTTTTTTAAATTTTTTCTTGACAAAATTTAGCGCTCTGGAAAATTCTCAAAGACATTTGTAGAACTGTCAAAGACCCTAACATAGCTTATTACCGCCTCATTCAAATTACACATAGTCTCTTCCATGTTGATCTTCAAATTTTGAAAACAGGTACACATTCCTGTATTGGGTGTTGATATGAGTTCTTAAAAGGATCTTTACATTGATATCATAAACACATTATAGCCAGGCTAGTTAAAAACACTAATATATAGTCATCATAAGGAATATTTCACTTGACCATACAGATGAATTAAATGGCTAGAAGGTTGCTTAGGTCAATACGTCTTGTGGTTGAACAAAGAAATATTTTCAAAGTTGAATGAAGCTATAACAATTTTTCTTTGTTTTTAAAAGCAAAAAGACAAGTCAAAGTGTAAAGAAATTAAAAATTTGGTATCCAATAAATAAAAGTCATTATTAACAGAGCAATAGACTCTCAATGGGTGTTTCTACAAAGCCCAGTAGTCTTCATTAATGTTCTCAATCAAGGAGTCTGTGATTTTAAGCCAATTACTACCATCAACCATTGGTGTTAAGGGCGAAACCAAGAAAGCAAGATTACAGTGCTAGCCTTTATTTTAAAGTATCTTAGTGGCTTTGATGAAATCGCGATAGTAAATATCTGCTATCTAACTGTGGCACGAATATTTTAGTTGCAAGTGCGATTACAAGCGACTAACTGTTTGTAAAGCTGGATTGCTACATTGAGAATGTCTAGATAACATAGCCCAACAGATTTGCGCTTAGTTGCATTATGAATCAAGCATAAGTGTTTCTTTTGAATGAAGTTAACAGTAAATATTTTGCATCCACTTTGATAATTCTACAAATGATCGCATAGCTACTGATTTGTTAGCACAGACATTGATCATAAAGATTAGCGATTCTTACGACTTGTCAAATTACATATTGTGTCTTCATCGAAAATTTATCATTAGTTTAATACATTCAGTGAAAGAACGAAAGGATATGCTTCATAATTTAAATGAAATGTTTAAAATCTTCGTGAATTTCAAATTAATGGTGACATAACTATCAGTTTGAGAAAATCTGTGTTCTATGAATATAATGCATAATTATAAATTCAGAAACATGAGTATCATTTGGCCACGATGTTTGTAGAAAATTGATAATTCGTACAGATGATGCATATACACAATATTTCATGCAATGGAATCTTTTAAAGAAATTCCAAACCAATCCGATCGATAACGGGAAAAATTTCTTGAAAAAGCAGGTAGTAAAATAAGAAACAGAGTGGAATAAAACTTACCACCAGTAAGCGAAGCCGCTTTGAATCAAAGCGAAAAGAAAGACTGCGATAGTAATGGCCATGTTCGATAAACAACGATCAATTCTCGATAAACGACGGTAAGGAATCCGAGACGTGCGGCAACCGCGTCCGTGTGTGATTACCAAAGAGCTCCGGCTGACAGCTATATAAGCGTGCGGGTGCTACAATTGATCCACCGAGGGGCTTGCTGCAACTCTCCGAGGACTTGTCCTATTGTGTGCGCTCCGGCCCAGTCTAAAACTTTGAAAACAAGTTTAATCGATTAATTGAATTTCTCGTACTATGAATGGGTTCCTTTCCAACTGCAAATTAAGAATAAGCCAGAAACAATTTGTCAAATGTGAACAAAAAGTCGATTAAATGAAACAATTGCAAGTTAGAAGCTTGGTTGCCCCTCAATTTATACTGCCGTCATTTCTTACAGTCGGCAGCTATATGTGTTATTAAGGACACTAAATCCAGTAGATTTCCTAAAATGCCTTTTGTTCGCGAACGACTCAGAAAGTAGAATAAATTCTGTTATCACCGAGCAAACAAATCATAGCATGAGGATAAGAGGGACAATGCTTTAGGTAAATGTAGGCAGAGATGTTGGAAAGGCTGATGGATAGGACAACACTTGTATGGTGCATTGGAGAAAGAAAAGTGCACGTGACAGCTTCCTTTCGATAACATTCAGAGACTATTGCTTGATAAATATTGACGTAAATGAAAGTACTCGCTGATAAAAGGAGAGGATTGTTTTAAGACCATCTGAGTCAGATTTGTTTTCACGTGAGAAGGCCCTTAAACGCAAAAGATGTTTGAGAGAGTTGGAATTATCGAATGATTGTTTTCTCTATCTTCAATCTCGTATGGTCACCTACTGTAGATGGTTTGGCGGATTAACCTTGTGCAAGTTACCAGGGTTCAAGACAAATTTAGTATATTTAAACCATTTCATAACCTTTCACCGCTAAACAGCCTAGTCAAAAAGCAAGGAAAGAATACTCCTTCAAGTTTTAAACCCGTCCCTCTGTAAACATATGCCAATCATTTTTGTTCAAGTTTTTGGTTAATCAGGTATGATTGATAAACAAGTAGAAAAATTGAAGAAAATTTGACAAAATTTTGTTTGCAACAATGCAGTAACACCTAATTGTAAACTTTTTTAATCGAAACTATACAATGAAATAAGTAAACAATGCTAATGATTTAATTGCTTTGGGAGATCCCAAAGGAGCTCTTTTCAGAGGAGTGGGGTAAACAAATTAAGGCGTTATTTTGACAAATTGCCCCCTTAACCTGGATGAGAGGTGTTGTCCCAAAGGGTTTATGACAACAATTGGTCAATCAAGGATATTGTTTACTCTTTTAATTGTTTACTACGAGTTAATTACATTGAAGCACAGCTGTCCTAATCAATTTGGTAACTTCATATCATTCCTAAGAAATTGTAGTTTGCTAACCCCCTGAGTTTGTAAACATTCCCGTGTCAATCTTTAAAACGTTGGTACAATAAAGGAATATATGATATCTCAGATGATAATTAGGATTTTACGTCAAGTTGTCCACTAGGAAAAAGAATATAAATGAGTCGGAGAGCATATTAAAACGAAGAGAGTCCTGTAAGAAACGCTTCAATGTTTAATTAAGTTTAGATTTTCTATTCTATACTTGCTGTGAATAGCAAAAATCTCGAACGAAGAAGTCTAACTTTGACATTCAAGAATTTTTTCAAAAAATCGTATTAGCATGTATCCTTTAAAGACACATACAGATTTATGACCAAAGTTGATCCTGGTTGTCATGGATTTGATATTGTTCAATGTAACCTGGATCCACCACCAAAATTGCTAAATAAGGAAGTGAATCCACCACCTATCATGATTTCCAAAAAATGTCATTGAGCTCGATCCAAACACAGAATCTTATTCATGCTCAAGTGCTTGATTTAACTGCAGAGTTCAATTGCAACCTTTTCCTTAGAAACTGTGTATCTATGATAACTTACATCAAATAGTTAGGATATGCATAAAAGCCATAATATCGAAACTGCCGCAAAATCAGGAATGTACTGAGCTTCCTTAATAGCTATCGTCCTCTTTTACAGCTTAAAAGCTTAACATCCACCGCAATGGTTTTATCATGGACTCGTAAAATCTTAGTTTGGAAACCAATGCCCGTAGGTAGTAATATGCTATATAAGACCAAAATTGGTTAATTTGAATACACTTATTAGGTTCGCTATTAGAATGACTTAGGTGCTTGAATATACAATATAGAAGCTAGAAACTCTAACAATACTAGTTGTAGATAGCATCAAAATTATTCGAAGTTTTCCGCTAATTTGCTCAAGCCACGATATTCAGTTGATGTGGTTTTTTCAAATTTTATTGATCGACGCCTAATCTCTTGTATACAATAACTCCATCTTTGTATGACGGCCACTAAAATTGTACAACTTTATAAAAAATGTTTATCATTTATCTTGAGTGCTTGTGAATTTTTTCTTTTGGTGGAAATGACTAGCAACAGTAACAAAGAACTCAGGTGGGCCAAAATCCAATTTAGTGGGCAATGTCCTATGAAGTCTCACAGAGCTACACCGCAAAACGCCTCCCAACTTGCATGTTCTAAGTACTACTGTGGAGTTATAGAATACTACAACACACTATAGAATAGCCGAGGAGGATTGTGTACAGTAAAATACACCATCTACAATGTAATCACAACCAATGTTATTGTTTGTGAGCTTTTTTCTAAGAAGTGTTATGAATATCATTAGTGCGTTTGTAATTCATGAAAATGTCGGAGAATTAGAGACGAAGAATATCTAGCAGCATACAAATGTATCAAAAGTAATTAGAACACTATGGTATGTTATCATCTCACAAACAGAAAGTGAAGGTAACAAATAAAGAAGTTCTTAAAAAGTAATGAAATCAAAACACGAGACCATGTTATCAGATTCTGGAGACTACCCAGGCTTATTACATTTGCTAAAATGATTTTGAGCCGATACTACAACTTAATAAAAATGTTTTGCGAAGAACTTGTATAATATGTTTAGTTGAATATGAGTTTGTGAAGGTTCTGCGGTCAGTGACATTGTCCGATGACGTAGTTGTCCTGGCCAAGCACGTGAATGAGCGGGACATTTTCATCGTCGCCAGGAAATCTGGTCAAACGATTTTTAAGGAAAGTGGCTTTAGCTTAATGCTTGGTTTTTGGACTGTATACCATCAGTCCTAAGAAGATTTCCTTACTAAACCAACCGCGTACTGCTAAGGACAAATACATGGCTCCAAATTTTAGTTCGTTCTTTAGATGAAAGTAGTGGGCCTTATCTACCGCAATGGGTTATCCACAGAAAATTGGTACAACGAAAAATCCAAGTTTCGTGTCAAAGGGATTATCTTTTGTGACTTACTGGCTCTGATTTTATGAAGATGTAAATGTACCGTCTGCAACTTGGGAGAAGACACCAAGTTCAGGGTTATGGGGAAATGGAACAGAGTAATTTAATTATCAACAAAAATTTATCAGAATGTTTTTACTACTTGCGACGGCAGCAAATCAACAAACAAGGCAGCACACTGAAAACCCGACAAAAAATTTTCGCATGAAAAAGTCAAATATTGCCAATTTTTTCGTTGTTCTGTCATAAAATTCAGGGTATGAAGGGATCGAAGCGTTGTTTCAAAATGGATGCTTTGCATAATCTCGCCAAGGATCAGTGTTGATACGTCATTTACAACCTGAACATACGTAGTCGAAAACTTTGCTTAGAACATATATTGTAGCTTATCTTTAAATGCAGATAAAGAGTCAGTTGCATTCAGATTTATAATACGTCAGTAAACGATGTTTGGTAAAATTTTCAATTGCAAAATGATGACACAGCACACTGCACCGCCCACGAATCAATTATTGTAATCTGTGAATGGAAATTAATGATGCCATAGGTACTTTAAGTCAGGCAATATAAAAGGGGTGCTCGTTTGGTGTCAAAAGGAAAACCCTTTAAATGGAACAGGATGAATTCTTCTGTAATGAAGCATATTACAAAGTATGAAATAATGATATTTTCAAGCATGAAAGTCCACATAAAGGCACCAAACGCTAAATGAGACGATTTTTAGATTAAGTAAACTAATGTATAGTGATAGCCTGCACTGAATTTTGCTGCAGTATACAATGCACAGAAGATCACCTGATGTACACCATGTCGACCTTTGCTTCTTATCAAAAATTTGATGTATTATGCCGTTTTATCTAAAACCATCGGTTTCACGAAAGTCTCCATGAGGTCACATTTCAAAAGGTTCCAAGTCATAGCGTCAAAAAAAGAAGTTATCTGTTTTCAATCCATGTCTGTAGCCTTTTTAAAACTGTAAGAGTCACAATTTCATTTTACATCAAAAAGGATCCGCGTTGTTCGGCGGTACCCACAATTCGATACATCAAAGATCGCATAGCGAGGCTTCAGATTCGATAATAAGAACTGTTAACAAGCTTTCATCATTAAAATAATTCCTCTGTTTCCCATAGATTATAAAGTGTGCATTAGTTTAACATTCCTCGAAGGAAAAGAGGGCAACATCGGATCATTGGTGAGTATATGGCAATATAATGGCAAATTACTGTATCAAAATATCCTTTTATCAGACTTACATCTTAACAAATTCGATTTATCCACTTGATCACATCTAACGAACAAAGACCGGCGCCTTGATCTTATCCACTCACCAAGTCGTAACTTTCGAGACTTCCTCAACAGTGCTCCGGGAACGCTAACCTCCAACAAGGATGGGATGTTACTAATATTGAAACTTAATGGGAAACTGTATTATCAGCTGTGTACATTCTCAACATCTGATGAAAAGCATAGATAAAATGATCTTCCGTAGCTAAGGTCCGGTTTTTTGTGGAAGTGTAAGTAACAAAAGAAGATCGTGAAAGAAAAGATACAATCAAACTTCGGAAAACCATCATCAATGAAATGTTTTTAAGCAATGATCCCCTTTCCTGTCGGTCTGTAAAATTATCTTTCCGAGGAAGTAAAAGAAAACAGTTTTAACCCAAAGGCTATTCTAGCAACACGATATTTACAATGAAATGTGGTACAATGTACCATCTAAGTAAGAGGGAGTCCCCTACCCCATGTTTTTGACAAATCAAACATTCTAAAGAAAGTGCCGTTATTTCATCCCTCTTTCTAAAAACAATGTTGGTTGCACAGTTAACTTTTATAATTAACTGTTACAAATCGTTGTTTAACATTTGAGGCTCTAAAAATTACATAAAATAGATTTGTTGTAAAGGGTAGAGTGTAATGCATTTGATAATGTGCAATATCTAGTTTTAGTGTGACAAAACTTTAGACCGTCACTGTAGTCAGGTAGTTTGAGATTTTTACCATAGGTTGAGATTGGTTTTATGTATCCCTGGCGAAATGTGTTAGATGGGAGATGTTTTAGGCAAAAGTATTGGGGTCTTATGTTTGCGTAGATTTTCAGAGATTTGTTCATTCATATTTTGTGCCATGTGCCATTGTGTGCCATCCAGTGTGGTCGGATACATGTGGCAACGAGTAGCTTGCTTTTTAGGGTGGCAGGGAAAGTGGGGCTAAACAGTTCTCTAAAAATAGTTTTTTGGTTACATTTAAGACAGTTTTGTAAGCAAAGCACGATTATCTTGTCTATTTCAATGCAAATGTCAAAATTTTACAATAAGGTTTTGTTTCAGGGTAACATTACTGGAAAGTACCCATTGTCCCCTCTCCATTCTACAACACAGGATGAATTCAATTGCTGATCACAAAATAGCCTCTTCCACAGTCAACCTTCTATTCAGATGTCAGTTTGCCCGAGGACCTTCCATCTTTTGATACCAATTTGATTTTGATGAGAGTTTTTTAATTTCATATAGATTACTAAAGAAAAGGGAACCATGGTTGATGGTTGATGTCACCAAGTATCTGCTAATCGTAACACCTCACAACCTCTTTAGATTTACTTTGCGATCAAGATAGTAAAAAAGATAATTCTCTGTTATTCGATGCTATATATATATACAAAAACTTAATAATACTTTAAGACTGTTCTAGCCAATTAAAGTGCATATGAAACATTGTAAGTTATGAATATAAGCCAATAACAGTGGACGAATTCCAAAAGAAACGACATATCTGAACTATATTTTCTTTGTTTCGCTTTTAAGTACCTCTTATTAGGTCCTTAATGCTGCTAACCACCTATAAAATCATTTTAACATGAAATCAGAATACCAATTCATTGGCTGGAAAATCGTTAACCGTGCCATTATCGGCAATTGAACACACGACGTTATTATTTAAGCGAAAATTAACAGAGAGTGTCGTGTGTGGCCTACCTAGCCTTGTTTTGTGATTTTCTGCCTTTCAAATAGGGAAAGCGTCAAATAAAGGCTTGAGGTTTGTGGATAAGAATAGAGAGCGCGTGTGTCTCCTTAATACATATGCTGCCTTTACTTTTCAAAAGCAGCATACCTAACGGAGCCTTGTCATTTAGGCTCTTCAAGTTGTCTGTAATATAATGCACTTATTAGGGGCGCTGGAACTGGTCAACAAGGCCCAAATCAAAAAATCATTTGGCCAACCTTAAAGGTGCAGAAAAAAGTCTCTTTCAATTTTCTAAGCGAGAAATACTCATCAATGATAAATGAAACTAAAACATTCATTGAAAATCTGTGCTGGAAACACTTGAACTGAAGAATCACCAGATACCAAGGCATTGCCTAGGCCCCTGCCTCTCCAAAAAGCCTTTTAATGGGTGTTAAAAAATGCTTTATAATTTCTGTACTTAGCAAACCTTTCGTTGCATTACCAATTTCAAAATTGCTTCAAAGCTGTGGTATAAATTTTAATATTTGAGAAAAGGCATATTTCAAGAACGACAAGGCCTAATGGACTTTCTTATAAAATACCAAAGTATGATTTTCCAAGCAAGTATTTGTTTAAACAATGTTGTTTTTGTTTATCTAAACGCAATTTTCAAGTAAGATTCTATATTTCTTGGATTAATATTGATTCGTCTTGCATTTCACCGAATAAAACAAGATTTAAGCAAGCTCTCTCTGGTAAAGAGAGAACAAACAGATCAGATCAGAGGACAAACAGCCTTGAGCGTAGGCGTAGAGGCCAAGAAAACTATGGTAATTCAGCCCTTAACCCCTCTCCCTCCCCCCTTAGAAATCTTTTTCGCAGTACCTTAAATAATTTACTTTTCTGGCAAAAAGTACAAAACTTGTAGTGCTATGAAAAAAGCAATGTGGCCATGACATAGAAGTTTCAAAAATTAAGTAGAAAAAGGTCTTTCTCCGATAATCGCGAAAGGGATGTATTAACGTATAGAGGTCTATATAATCAGCCAGCAGAGGAATGCAATTCAATTATTTCGGCATGTTTGTCAAAACAGTGTTTGCCTCATTGTGAAGGGTGTGCCCGTAAAATATTTGACTTTAGGCTTTGCCGCTAGGCTCTTTTCACTCAACTGCAAGGTATGCTAAAAATCGATTCTGGAAATTGTCACTGATGGAAGTCATCTTAAACTCGGATCAATTGTATTTTGGACAGAGCCTTTGAGGAATTCTTTGGCATTTCATTTTGACCCTCAACCAAATCAATAACCATCAAATAAGAAAAAAATGTACCATTAGGAAGAACATTTCAACGCAGAAAGCGAAGGCTTTATGGAAACATTAAAAAAAATCATTTCAATTGAGCTAGGCCTTTCTTTAGAACGAGATTCCAATGGTACTCGGTACTTTTGTTTTGTTAAAAGGACATGTGTCGTGATCGTGAACCTGATTGGCTAACACAATACAATTATCTTTTGATAGATATATAATAGTGACTCGATAAATATACTAGTCAATTTTTAACTATTTGATAGAACAATCTTTTAAGTTTGTTAGTGGAGTCTTCTAAACTAATGTATGATGAAATACGCTCTGATCAAGGTTCCTTCTTAGTTTGGAGGCCACATATTATCCACTGAAAAACCAGTTTTCTGGAAACATGACATCCAGACAATGTCACAAAAGATTTCACTTGTTAATGGTTACTCCATTATTGACATGACACACGTTTTGACCACCATTCTTTAAAAATTCAAATGAATGGCAATTAAAGAGGAGATAAACAACTATTGATCAAATTTGACAAATTATGCTTCTTCTCTGTATGATATGATGTCATATATAGAGAGAAGGAGTTTTATAGCGTCAAATTTACACCCATAGCTAGACGGGGTTCGGGCAAAGAAAGAAGACTCAGCAAAACGATTTCCATTAAAACAATGGCATAGAAAATGACCACGAGGTGCCATTTCTGCTGAGAGGGCGATCCCGAAAATCTTTGCGACGCATTTCATTAAGTCTAATTTTAGAAGGCAAACATTTTTCAATACAGATGACAACGATTAAGTTTAAATAATTCGCTGTTATGGTGACTGTTAACACTGTTTGATTGCTGTCGTGATCAATAAGTAAAGGGGATTTCGGATTTGATGTTGTAGAAAGTAGCAAACGTAGTAAAGGGGATTTGATTTTCTACATGGTAAAAAAGCAAATTTTGAATATATGAATGCTGCATGGATATGAAAGAAGATTGGTAATTGCAAAACTATAATTGCAAAACTATTTTCTCATTTCAGTGCAAAATTTCAATGGCCATCAATATAATATTCTTTTTAGTTAGATTTTTTTAAGTTAACAAGTACTTTTATAAATGATTCGAATTGGTACACTGTGAAGTTTAACCTAAGGTTTTGCTGTTAATTTTATAGTCCGTTGTTTCTTCAGTTGATATTTTGAAATTGTTTTGAGAAGAAATGGCAGTAAACTCATGATATCCATTCCTAGAAATCTTAGTCTTAGAAATGTAAGCTACAAGTTCTGCAGATGCCATGGGAAATTAAACGAGCGCATCGTATGATACTGAGCGAAATACAGTACATATCAGTTTGTATAAAATAAATACCCGTCTACGCCATACACAAATCCAATCAGTGGCAAAAAGGCAATGGTGAACTCAAACCAATTGATTGCTAACAAAGATTTCAAGATAACTTTTTGCATGGAGACCACAAACAATTGTAACTTAAAGATTAAAGACAACAGCAGGTAGAATTCTCGCGTGAAATAACTGATGTTTAAAAATTTTTAAAATGTCGACTGATTTCTTTTGCCCAAGTGTCGATACCCCTTCCATTTGTAATTAATTCTACTTTTGCTCGACAATGACTCGATGCACTAAGCACAGCCCTATTGCTATCTTACTTAGATTACATCACCTTAGCGTAATGATAAAACATTGTAATTTACACAGGTTATGTTTGTTCCAGTTCCATTTGTCAGCTGGTGCTCTACCTGTACGAAGAGTTTGTCTCACATTGACAACAGATACTTTGAAGGTTCAGAGTTCCACGCAAGAGCGGCCCTTCTATTAGACGTTTTTCATCTGGTGCTAATGTCCTATTTACTAGGAATTTGGCAAATCTTCAGATTAGCACTGGTAGCGATCTTTGGTCGCTACTCTCTTTGCTAAAGCTTAATCCGCATAATTTGTAGATTTTGGACGATAAGCCAAAAAAGCTAAGTACTAAAGCTATGCTAAGTGATATTTCAAGAATTGTCTCAAGAAAATCACTCCTCGTATGTTCAAAAATAAAAAAACATAAATAAAAGGATATGCTGTGATGTGAAAAACATGTCTTCTTGAACTTTTCTATGATGATTTTAATCAGCTGTATGAGAAAAGATTTGTAGCTTTTGCAGTAGAGGTAGGGCAATTGGCCATGGTTTTTCCTAGCGAATTAACCCCAGCCTTTGTATCAATCATTGAATGAACCGTTCATAGAAGAAGTGCATAATTTTGTCTTGTAACCTTTGGGGACATGAAATAATTTGAGCTGGCTTACCTTCAAATTTATCTTCTTGTTAGCGTAAAGTAGTCGATCCTTCTCGCAGTGATTCTCACTTGGCTCTCTCACAATCCACTTGGCTATCGTGTATCCTGAACAAGATGGACACAAATTAAGATAATGCGGGATTTAAGATCCTTTGACAAATTGACGACCCTCTTGAATTGCAGTAAGCGGATTTTGCTTTGTTTGTATCAAACCTCCAACTCGTCTTCTCTTTATTCAAAGAGTCTATAGTTTCACATTAAATTGTTAAACAACTCTGAATAGAACTTCAATAATGCCGATATTATTAAGGTTTTGAGTGAAAAGCAGCGACTGCATAAAGCAAAATTTTCCACGCTGGTCGACTGTTCTACAGAAATGATAATGAATAAATGCATGCCAGCGCAAGCGTACCAGCTATTTGATGAGAACGGAGGTCACCTGATTGGGACCATCGCCCTTTCAAATACCATAATTCTCAACAGAGAACCGTAACGAGATTGCGGAGCGCCAATTCCAATAGAAGATTTATCCAAAACTTAGGAAACTACAATGCATCAATCTGTTCCACCGGTAGTTCTCAAGTTCTGATTCACTGAACTGCCCTCGAAATTTCCCATGTTTAGACTCTAGCCGCGGACATTAAATTGCCGTTTATCAAATCACCCCTATAGAAGGACACATGCAATTTCAAGGGCTAGCATACAAGCAGTTTCCGTGAAAATTTTACAGGAATTATCCAACAAAACAAGAAAGGCAGGGCATAAACTAATTGTATCTGTATGAATAGGCAACAGAA